CCGGGTGTCCAACTGCCGTAGCAATCCGACTTAAGCTTTCCTTATTGAAGAGAAGGTAAGGGACGTTGCGGAACTCAACAGGAACGACCGCGGAGGTTAGCGGGGGTTCCTCCGGGGCGAAATCAGGAGACCATGGTGCCACAAATATCGGGTATCCAGCAATGTTCCAAAAGTTCCTGCTAAGCAAAATCTCACGAGTCCGAAGGTTGGAGACTTTGAGAAGGAAGCCCGAATCTTCAAGTTTATGGACAAATATTCGAGGACCATTTCGGGCCCAAATGGCATTCACCACCCCAATAATGCGTCCCATTTCCGGCGCATCTCCATGAAACCGAGCAAAGATAAACTCTTTGAATTCCTCCTTGGCAGTTTCGATATTCTCGTCTGGAATGAGAACAAAGGGAACCCCGGAATCGTGCTGAGTGGGGGCACCTATAGCCTCAAGCAGACTAGAGTTCTTAACCACAGAGGACCAATTACGATGTTGTTCATTCTGCGCAGCAAGATCCGGACCGGATTCGGCGGGGTCGGAAGTACCTCCGGAGGATGGACCTTCAACAGAGGAAACAATTGGCTCGGACCCACCAGCTACCGGATGAGAGTCGAGGGGAGCACCCGAGAGAGAGGGATCAGAAGATTGAGCAAGCTCGTTTCCCGAGACATTCGAGTGAACGAGATCTGATGTTATATTTACAGGAGAAGATGGCCTGAAAGAGGAGGCAACTTCAATCCCACCAGTCGCCACCGAGAGAGGCTGAACTGAGGTGTCACTACCACCGGGAGGAGAGCCGGGAGGACAGATCTGACTAGCGGAGGAGGAACCCGAGCAAGCCGCAGCAACCCGAGCAAATTTGGAGGTAGCCGGCGGCGCTAAAAGACGGGCTTTCTTTTTCTTCTTAGGTCTTGTCATCGGACAATTTCTCGTCCGCCGGCGTGAGGTCGGCCAACGGCGGAAGAAGAAATTTAGAAAGAGGTTTTAGAGAGGACTCTCGAGAAATTTAGAGAATGGTCCCTACTTTAGTGCTCTTGTTCCCATTACATAAAGGAAACTCTTTGAATCTGAATATCGTATATACACTAGAAAAAGTTCCATGCAATCCGTCCAAAATCTAATGATTCTCTATTTCTCTTTGAGCATTACTTTGAATAATTTGGATATATATATATATCATTCAAATATTATAAAATTTTGGATTGATACCTAATAATAATATCGATGTCGATATGATGTTTTAAGACCATTATTAATCGTTAGATCTTTCAAAATATAGAATTATTCAAAGAGATAAATCTAGTGGGACCTATAACTTTGGGAACCATCGGTTTTGGTTTTGGTCACCATCAAAATGAAAGGAGCCCAAGGCTCTTTGGTTATTTGCTTTCATGTAATACTATTGCATAGTTGCCAAAATAAACCAATTATTTGCTTTCATGTAATACTATTGCATAGTTGCCAAAATAAACCAATTATTTGCTTTCATGTAATACTATTGCATAGTTGCCAAAATAAACCAATTATTTGCTTTCATGTAATACTATTGCATAGTTGCCAAAATAACCTATGAATAGCAAGAATCATTAATCTAACTTTTATATTGTTCCAATTTTGTTTGCTTGCTTAAAATTGGTCGATTCATTTTTGTTGCTAAATCTTTTGTTTTGTGTTATTTAGCTGTAATTTTGCATGGACCTCGAAAAACATGTAACTTTTTTTTCTTTCAAAACAACACATGTATTGGTGAAAGAGTCCAAAGTATATATTATTAATGAAGTACGAAGAAATAGTATCAAGAATAATAATTAAGTAGAAATGGTCCCCATAACTCGATTTAATAAGTGTATGGTCAATTTGTGAAAGTAAAAGAAAAAACATGTGTACAACTTGGGGTTTACGAAACTATAGGCCTATCTAATCATTTATGCCGTTGAAAAAACATATGAATGTCTAATACCATCTGTAAGACTCACACCAAACAACTTTGTTTTTTTTTTGTTTTTCTCAAATATTATACATAACTAGATGACTACCCACGCAAATGCATGGTTTTTTTTAATTATTATTTATTTAATGCATAAAACCTAAATTAAATTTAGATTTTTGATTATTTTTGGATATTCATGTAGGAAAATTAGTTTTTTATTTATTTCTTAAGGTGTTCTTGTTTTGGTTAGCTTTTTTATTGGCTTTTTTTTGGATAAATTTTTTTTTTGTTAGTTTTTTACATATTTTCTTAAGGTGTTCTTATTTTTGTTGGCTTTTATATTGGTTTTTTTTTTCAAAAAGCTTAATTAACTTTCCTTTACTAAAAACCATTAATTTCTTCTTTTAAGACTATATCATCTTTTTTTTGGAATATCATAAACAAATTTGATATGAGAATCCATCAAATCTAGATATGTAATCTATATTTTCTTTTACTGGTATCAAAAGTAGTAAGATTATTTTCATGATTATTCAAACACAAAAAAAATTGCGGCATCAAATAGTTCTTTAAATCAGAGTAGCTTACATGATCATTATACCACCCATCTTATGGTAGAGACTTCTTTTTCTGTTATGTGAATAAAATTCAACCTAGAACAAACCATTAGCGAATTTTTACTTTTTTGTAAAGCTTACTCAAGTTTACTAAATTCAGTGCGTGTTAATTATCTTTAACTTACCTAAACAAATGTTTCATTTTTTTCCTTGCTTGTTTCCAAGCTCTTTACTTTGATTTCCATGCATGTATCGCATTCAATGATTTGTTATAGTGTTTTATTTAAACCATGTTAAGAAGATCATTGCATCATCAACATGGAAATATAACGCTAAGTCGCTAACCATTTGCCAATATAATTGATCCTCTTCCCTCCATTAAGCGAACCCCTATAAATTCCCTAATAACCAAAATATGAAAAGTCATAATAATTTTTTTTTCTTTTTTTATGATCATAAAGTCAAAAGATGTTTAGTAACAAAACTTAAATTAGTAGCAAATTTCTCTTTTGAGAACCCAAATAAGCAAGATAAAAAAAGTTTATCAGTAATTCTCAGAGTAATTAATCATCTTTCATAAGTTCATAGTCACCATAATTGAGAAATGTATGTAGCAAATTAACATTCAAACAGTAAAGTAAAAAAAAATAGGAGAGTTCTTTATCACAACAAGCTTGGAAGTCGTCTTGCTATTTACTATTTATAGAATTCTTGAACAAAATTCTTCTTCTCCTTTAAACGAACACAATTGAGTGTTATCGTTAATGTCTCTGACCGTAACCAAGAAATAAATCTAAAACTGTGGATCTATGGACAACGTTTATTGTTGTAGGCTCTTACATAGAAACCTGCATAAGATACAATTTAAAACTGTAGATTGGAGATTTATCAGAAAATTTTGAGTTATCTTAACTTTTTTCTTTTTTTTTTCTCTTTCATATATGCGTTGAAACATGTAGAAAAAAAATCTTCATATTAACAATTTTTGAAGCGTCATCATTAAGAATAGGAGACATCAAAAGCTGAAATTAAAAAGCCATCATAATAAATAATCAAGTTATAGGAAAAATGATTATGAAAATAATTAGTTTTAATTTAGTTTTTTTAATAACAAATAAATGAGTTGATGTGTCATAAAAATAAGTGCTGATATGTCAAGTTTGTGAGACTCAACTGAATCTTTATATAATAGATTATGTTTTTGAGTGAGAGTGATATATACTACACTTTATCTATATACTGTACTATTATATAAAACCGTTATAAAACACTTTTACTATTACCAAAACTAATTTATTGGATTGCTCTTTTTCTAAGATAATTGACAAAACATGAAGTTCAAATACCTAATTGAAATTTAATAATAATTAAAGATTTCATTTTTGTTTATAAATCTTATATATAAAACTTGGCCAACTTTCTCCAGCTGCTTGCCACATCAGCACTGGAGAAAGCGCCACCTGTCCATTTAAAATCTTAATGAAATAAACAATTAATCACATTTAAAGAAAAAGCATTAAAGAACATTAATAACTATTAATATGTATAACAAATATATTTAAATAAATAAATTCAAATTTATTTTAAATATATCAAAACTTATAAATATTATATAATATAAGATTTTTTGAAATACATCATTCTATTTCTTCTTTCTAAGTGATTTAAACTACATTTTCAAACTAAAAGTATAACTAAATTTTTATGAAAGTGAAAAAAATTATCAGACTGAATAAGTTAAGAAGTTTTAAATAATCGTATATAAAACTCTAACTAATAAAATTATAACACACAAAAAATATTCAATAAATGATTAAAGAGATAAAAAATTATTAAAAAATAATAGTAAAAAAAGTGGATATATAAAAATGTCATACAAAGTTTTTTAGTAATTTTTAAAAAGATGTAATCAATAAAATATATATAACCAAAAAACTCAAATGGTAAATTTTTCTATGAGCTATTACGTTTTTATATATAAATTAAAATAGTAGATTTTTAGTCCCTCATCACCGTAGGAGAAAAATTGGATTATTTGGTACAATCGGTGTGGAAGAGATTACAAATAATTTATCATCTAGAAGAAATCAGAAAATATAAATATTTTAAACGAAAAAAATATTGATGGTAAAAATAAAATTTAATACAAATTTTAAAAATGTATTATTTAAAATATAAATTAAAACAAAATCCGCGCATATGCGCGGGTTCTCTCCTAGTTATAGTTTTAAAGATTGATATTATTGGAATGGCAACTTTAAATTACTATTTTTAAAATTACGTTTTTTAAGTGGCTGTTTTCATAAATTTTTGGTTTTGTTTTAATTTTTTATAACAATTTGAGCGTATTTATGACGGCATAAATAGCAACATTTCTTTCTTTTTTTTTGGGCAGAGCAGAAAAAATAACAAAGGAAGAGACTTTGACCTTTCCCTGAGCAAAAACCCAGACAATCCCTTTCTGCCTCTCTGATAATAAACCACACACACACTCTCTTCTTTCTTTCTCTCTCTCTCTCCTGCTTTTCCTCAAAGGTCTCCTCTTTCTCTCTCTCTTTCTACTTTTTCCTCAGCCATGGAAGAAAAAACTCAGAGTCATCACACTACCAAACACATCCCTAGTTCCAAATCAAGAACACCTCTTCTCCACAAGCCTCCTCCTTTTCCCCATGTTCACACCAATCCTCCTCCTTTTGTCTTGCAGCCTTCTTCTAACCACCAAAATCTCAATCTTGTCTCCTCCAATCTCCATTCTAGCTACTACTATTATTACTACTACTGCTTCTACTCTCAATTTCACAACACTCTTCCTCCTCTTCTCCCTCTTCCTCCTACTCCTCCTTTACTTCCTCTTCCTATTCCTCCTCCTCCTCCTCACCAAAGATTCTTCCAATCATCGACAAAACCTCTCCCTCTTTCTCCAGGTAAGCAAACCATCGTTCTCTGTTCTGGGTCTCTTTCTTGCATGTTTTTGGTTCTTTTGTCTAAACGTTTGCTCAGAACTATGTCCGGATTCTTAATTCTTTTAATTTTGTTTTGGCTGGACGAGGTTTTCAAGGCTATCTCTTTATCTTTCTTGTTATTTGTTGTGATATTTCCCACACTCTACTGTGTAAATGTCTTTATGGTCCTCCCTTCTCTGTACTACACAATAAGTATCACTTTTTCTTTAATGTTCTTTTATATGTCATAATGTCTGAAACTTTTACCCAGAAAGAAACTCTCTGTCTGCTTAAATACTCTCTATAGGTACTGATTTACTTGCATCTTTTGTGTTTCCAATCAAAAAACAAGGAAAAATAAAATTTAAAAGTCTTTTTTTTTCTTTTTGTACTTTGATTCACCTGTTTGGTTCTTCCACCATATCTGTATGAACAGTTGTGGAGAGTAAGCAGCAACAGCAACAGAACAAGAAGAAGCAAGTTTCTGAACATAAATCCAACAGTAGAAACATCAAAGTGATTGGGTCCACAGAAACAGATGCAGAATCGACATTAGTGGTTGCTAAAAGACCTGACTCTGGTGGTCAAGAAGGCTCTTTCATTTATCTTCTCGCCAACCATTTTCTTGTCAAGTTTGATCCTTCACAGAAGATTTACCATTACAATGTTGACATCTCTCCATACCCTTCAAAAGAAATTGCTCGGATGATCAAACAGAAGCTCGTGGAGACTGAGCCGAGTAGCTTCTCTGGTGCTGTCCCTGCGTTTGATGGTAGGAAAAACATTTATAGTCCTGTGGAGTTTCAGGAAGATAAGCTTGAGTTCTTTGTTAATCTCCCTATCCCATCTTGCAAGACGGTGATGGTGTACGGTGACTTGCGAGAGAAGCAACCTCAGAAGAAGATTGATAAACTGTTTAGGGTCAACATGAGGCTTGTTTCTAAGTTTGATGGGAAGGAACAGAAGAAAGAAGGTGAAAATTGGAAACCTCTGCCTCAAGAATACATTCATGCTCTTGATGTGATCTTGAGGGAGAATCCAACAGAGAAATGTACATCGATTGGAAGATCGTTTTACTCGAGCTCTATGGGTGGATCTAAAGAGATTGGAGGAGGAGCTGTTGGACTCAGAGGGTTTTTCCAGAGTCTTAGACAAACTCAGCAAGGTTTAGCCCTAAACATGGATCTCTCAATCACAGCATTCCATGAAAGCATTGGGGTAATAGCTTACTTGCAGAAGCGGCTCGAGTTTCTCAAGGATATATCTAGGAACAAAGGTAGAGAACTGAGCTTGGAGGAAAGAAGAGAAGTAGAGAAAGCACTCACGAACATAAGAGTCTTTGTTTGCCACAGAGAAACTGTTCAAAGGTATAGGGTTTACGGGTTAACAAAGGAGGTTACAGAGAATATTTGGTTTCCTGATAGAGATGGGAAGCATCTAAGGCTTATGAGCTACTTCAAAGATCATTATGGTTATGAGATTCAGTTCAAGAACTTGCCGTGTCTTCAGATTAGTAGGACGAGACCTTGTTACCTTCCTATGGAACTATGTATGATCTGTGAAGGTCAAAAGTTTCTTGGGAAGCTTTCAGATGATCAAGCTGCAAAGATCATGAAAATGGGCTGCCAAAGACCAAATGAAAGGAAAGCTATTATTGACAAGGTTATGTCAGGACCGGTTGGTCCATCTAGGTAATTATTTTACTCAAGTTTCTATCTTTTGAGTACTAAAACGTTATAAAGATTCTAATCTTTTTGTTTCTTTGGTTTAACAGTGGAAACCAAACAAGAGAATTCAACCTCAAGGTCTCGAGTGAAATGACATTGCTAAAAGGAAGAATACTTCAGCCTCCAAAGCTTAAACTTGACAGGCCAAGGAACCTTGTAGAAAGCAGAGCTTTTAAAGGAACTCGAATCGAGAGATGGGCTTTGATGAGTATTGGAGGCAGCTCGGATCAGAAATCTACCATTCCCAAGTTCATAAACGAGCTCACTCAAAAGTGTGAGCATTTAGGAGTCTTCCTAAGCAAGAATACAATAAGCAGCACCTTCTTTGAAACATCACACATACTAAACAACATTTCGCTTCTCGAATCTAAGCTGAAGGAGATTCAAAGAGCGGCGTTGAACAACCTCCAGCTGATTATCTGTGTAATGGAGAAAAAACACAAAGGATACGGTGATCTAAAACGTATAGCAGAGACAAGAATCGGCGTTGTGACGCAATGCTGCTTATACCCTAACATCACTAAGCTCAACTCTCAGTTCGTTGCAAACTTAGCTCTCAAGATCAACGCCAAGATTGGTGGATCCATGGCCGAGCTCTACAACTCGATACCTTCTCACATTCCGAGATTGTTTAGACTCGATGAGCCAGTGATCTTCATGGGAGCTGATGTAACGCATCCTCATCCGTTTGATGACTCTAGTCCTTCAGTAGCTGCTGTGGTCGGGAGCATAAACTGGCCAGAAGCTAACCGCTACGTCTCTAGAATGCGGTCTCAGACTCATAGGCAAGAGATCATTCAAGATCTTGACTTGATGGTCAAGGAACTTCTTGATGATTTCTACAAAGCCGTAAACAAGCTTCCGAGTCGGATCATATTCTTCAGAGACGGTGTGAGTGAGACACAGTTCAAGAAAATCCTCCAAGAAGAGCTTCAATCCATTAAAACAGCTTGCACTAAGTTCCACGGTTACAACCCGAGCATCACATTCGCTGTGGTCCAGAAAAGACACCACACGAGGCTGTTCCGGTGCGATCCTGATCACCATGAGAACATCCCTCCTGGAACAGTGGTCGATACCGTGATAACTCATCCTAAAGAGTTTGATTTCTATCTATGTAGCCATTTGGGAGTGAAGGGCACGAGCAGGCCAACGCATTATCACATCTTGTGGGACGAAAACGAGTTTACTTCAGATGAACTGCAGAGACTTGTGTATAACTTGTGTTACACTTTCGTGAGGTGCACGAAACCTGTTTCTATTGTGCCGCCTGCTTATTACGCTCATCTTGCAGCTTATAGAGGAAGGCTATACATCGAGAGATCATCTGAAACTAATGGAGGACCCATGAATCCTTCTTCTGTGTCTCGAGTGGGTCCTCCCAAGACGATTCCTCTCCCTAGATTAAGTGATAATGTCAAGAATCTCATGTTTTACTGTTGAGTTCTTGATCCTGTTCTTTCTAAGTTCTTGATTTGAGTTGCTTGAGATAGAAGCCAATGTTCTTCCCCCATTTTGAGTTCGGAAGATTTTAAACAACATGATATTTGTTAAGAACATCCATAATATCCGTTAAAAAACGATGTTATTTAAGAAAATAAAAAACATATGCAATACTATCTTGTTATTATTATTTTTAACTATATTTATACTCTACTGAAAGAATTAGGTTTAGTTCTGTATAATATACTGTTCCATTTATTTATCACACATGTTATATTTTTCCAAGCCACCGCCAATTATTGAACTTTAAAAAGCCCAAACAGTGAAGTTCTACAATTTTTATGCAACTCTTTTAAAAGTGAAAAACAAATTATTAAAGTTCTTTCTGTTGTTTTGTTTGGATGCTTGAAGTTGGATCATTTAATAAGTTTCTACGATTACAACCACAAGACCATATGAATGTCAGTTTTTGTTTTCTTTTGGAACATTTCAATAATACTCTTATGGGAACACATATCATCAACACCAAAACTCCAACTCTAGTAACTTCTATCACATACTATATCACATCAAAGTCAAAATTTCAACCAAACACTCGAAAACTAAAGAGTAGTAATTTGTAGGGACTCCAAAGTTTTTTGCCTTTTTCATTTAAGTTCAAATTGTCATGATTTAAAAGAGAGATGACTATTTTTGGGAATTAAATTGAAAAATAGCAAAATTAAATGCTCTGAAACAAATAAAGCTTTGGGAGTTTGGAAAGGTGAAAGTCCCAAAACAGGAGAAAGGACAAAAGAGAGTAAAGGGGAAAAAAATGAATAGTTTGCAAGTTGGAAGAAAGTGCAGTTAATGAATGGGCAGAGTGTTGCAGCAAAAATATCAAAATATTTATTATTATTACTAATTTTTACAAACAATAACGACGACACAGAGGACTAAAGAGAGAATAAATGATTTATATTTATAACAATGAAATAAAAGAGGAGAGAACAAAAAGAGGAATTAGGAGTCTGTGTTTTGTGAGTTGTCACAAAATATGAAAAGGGGAAAGAAAGAAAGAAAGAATATGAAAATGTGCATCTTTTTGATTTTCTTTTCATCTTTTCTAGTTATCGGGAACTTAAATTCTTCAGACAAGTGAGAGAACTAGTACCAAACTGTCTCAATTCTCTCCCCCCTCTCTTATTTTAAAATATGGTTTTTTGTACATGATTTATGTAGATATTGATATTTATTATTTAGTGCATCTGAATGGTAATTTAAAATATTTAGTACATTGATATTTATGTATTAGTGCCTTTAAATAGTAAATTGAAAATTTTTGTATACTGATAATTTTTTTGTCAAAGTATTATATATTTTTTTAAACTCAATGTTTTATATCGAAATTTATATTTCTAAGTGTACGTGTAAGTATGGTCCTTCGTCTCCCATGATAAAACTATGCATTTAAACTAATTAATAAGTTACTCTGAATATTTTCAGTTATTTTGGGTAAAGTTTAAGTTAGCTTTTTTACCAAAAAAAAAAAAGTTTAAGTTAGCAAAATCATATTATGGCAAACTGTAACACATTCGAATGAACGAACAGTGTATGTGTTGTCAAATCTTTGTTGACAAAAAAAAGTGTTTATGTTAACCACTCTGGATGTATTCATGCATTTGAACTGTGAAAAACCAAAAAGGCTATTATATAGCTGGAGAAGAATATACGGTAGCTTTTAGCTAGGGATGTATACCATTACAAGTTAAACCATTCACCAATCCAGTAGTATACGACTTATACCCACCTCGTAAAAAAAAAAAAATGTAAATATCTTTTGAATCGGATAGAATGTATCATTATTCTAATATTTTTAAAACTGGAAGTAGTTTTTTTATATGATCGAATCCCATCATAGTCGGAATCACTTTATGAACCAATAGTTCATATTTGACATTTTAATGTAGCTAGCTAGGTTTCACACCTATTACTCCAGACCAGACTTGTGTCCCAACAACAGACTAGGTAATGTTTTTGCAAGTTCCAGTCTTTTATGAAGAAAAAAAAGTTGATCTGCTACTAGATGTCGAAAATACAAAACCTCCGAAGTGGCATTATCGTCACCATTGATTCTCCTCTCAAGTCTCATGCAACATGTTAACTTGACCGTTGAGACGCAAACTCTGCTTCGCTTCACAAACCAACCTTAATTAACGACGTTCTACAATTTATAGATTTGGCTAAGAATGTCGTCAAAAGAAATGTACATTCAACCACACACAAAAAAGTGAGAACCAAAACCATAACTATTCTAACTAACGTAAACTATGTATTTGTTTACTCTACTTCGTAAACAAATAAAAAGACCATCTAGAGAAAATATCTTTCAACATAAAGAAATCAAAACCATCTCCTTTATAAAACCTTTTACGCAATCCCACTTTTGTTTCTAGGGATTATTAGATATACAACACTACATATTGGGTCCAAGCCAAAATTTAAGTTTTTTATTTCTTTCCTAGCCGAATTCTATACTTTAGAGAAAAGGTCAATCAATACAACTTTACACATTGGCCAAAGCCTAAATTATAATTACTTTTTCCAGAAAGGTTTTACCATTTAAATGCATTGGATTAATAAAAAGTTTTACAAGACCAAGCCCAATGGTTAAGGAGCATTTCTCACACTTGAGAGAACCAAACCTGAACAAGAAATAGCCCAAACAACTGGGCTAAAAGCATTAACCCCAAATCCCATCTTGGACTCTTTGGTAATTGAAGGAAACTTTTGAAGAGGTCGTTGTGGCCCCTTATATCGCAAGAATGCCAAGAAACATATCAAAGATTCGTTAAACGACTAAACACGCCTAAAATCGCCAATAAACAATGGTTAAAAAGAAGAAAAACAAACACTACAAAAGTACAAAGTAATTTAAAAAACCGAACACATCAAAGCTGTATTTCAAAGCTCAGTCTAATTCATTAATCAATAGTATACCCAACTTTAACCAGACCGTTCGTAAAGATGATTCACCACACACAAAAAAAAAAGACTTTTCTTGTGGAGAGATGAAACATTTTATATTTGATTATTGCCAAAATTAGACCAAACTAAGAATGATTATGTGCCGTTACAATATTTAACGATCACAAAATGTAAATGAAATAACGCAGAAAGCCTAGGAAACAAAAAAATGCTCCACTAAAAATCCTTCTTTCATATACATGGCCTCTCAAATTTACGTCTGATGCACAAAATGCAACCAACCAAGTTCTTGTTTTTCATTGCACTGTCCTTGGATCCTCATGTTCTAAAAAAACTAAAAAGACATTCTTAAAGATCATGTGCCACGGTGGTTTCAAGAATCGGCCTAGTTTCGCCTCCCGAAGCTTCCAAAGCCTCCACAGCTTCCATACTATAAGACCGGCAACTAAAATAGAACACAGCACTCATCATTGTATCAACAAGCACCACAAACGAATACATCACCACAAGAAGTGGACCTTCCCATATCCTCGAAGACCCATCACCATAGCTCAAAATCTTCACCCTATGCTCAAACAATCCTTCCACAAACGTCAAACCTATCGTCGATCCAAGAAATATCAGCAAACCCACCTGAGTCTGCCCTTTGATCAGATCATTCGCTCTAACCAACGCTAGTGGCCCCGAGACATCTTCAAGAATCGATATCACAACCGTTGTGTTGCAGATTATGATGACGTTTGCAAACACTACTGAGAACACCAAACCAACCAAGATTGCTCCATAGGCGTTGAAATCAGGAGAGAAACCAAGAACGAAGAAGGAGCTACAAACGGCGACGAGGAAGACGCAGAAGGAAGTGAGGCAAACAACAATCACAAGACAAACCCACAAGTAAGTGAACACGAGACGTTTCCACAGTCTCTGCATTATCACCAAGAACTTGCTCATCACAACTTTCCTCCTCGAGTAAGTGCAATCCACAGAGTAAACAACGGCTGCTCTGGATAAAAGCGAGAGAGTGATGAACAAAGGGAAACACATCGCAGAAGAAACAGCTGTCTCGGAGAATTTCTGACACGAGTTCCTCACGAAAGGCAACAGAGGAAGGCCACTTGATTTGGCGACTAAGAGAAGCCTGACAGTGAGTGAGTTAACGACTGATTGATCAACCAAGAGGTTTGGTAAGAGAATCGCGGAGACAGGACAGATCAAAAGAGCAGCGATTAACATGAAAGCAGCTAGATTGTACCGGAGAATCCGAACGGTTTCTCTCAAGATCTCAAGAGCGTTCATGGAGTGGAATTGATGATGGTCAGGGGATGATGATGATGATGATGATTCTATCTCGAATTTCCGGGAATCGGATCCTTGATTCGTTCCGGAAAATCCCTTACCCATGATTTTTCGATTTCCTACGAAATGGGTTTCAGCTACGCACGAGCACGAGACGCATACCATAAACATCCGATGCAAAGTGATGATTTTTTTTTGTTGGGTGTAAAAATCGGATGCAAAGTGAAGATTTTTTTCGTTGTTCTTTTTTTAGCTTCAACCGAAATTATGGAAATCAAGAACGAGGTTAGGTTAAATGTTTAAAGCATAAGGAAAAGCGTCACGAAAGCAATATGAGAAAATTGGGATCATCGAGAGAGAGAGCACAAGAAACAGAGTTCACGCATAAGGGGATTCGAAAAGTGAACCGGGTCTATTGGGGAAAGTGACGATGACGAAGCGTCAGATTCGGTGTTTATAAGTTGTTCGGATCCGGGTCCGGGTCGGGGTTTGAGACCGGGTTTTAACAGAAAGACGAAGGAGGACGCGTGGGGATAGAGATAAGTTTCTTTTCTGGCGTTTTTGTTTCACATTTAAGGTATAACTAGATTTTACCTCCAAGAAATTTTTTTAATCAAAATTTATAATATTATTTATGTTTTCTTTATAAATATAATTTTTTAATAAATAACAAAGATTTATTTTGTATTTAGATATAATTTATTTTTTAATTTTTTCTACTATATTATGAACAAGATCATAAAAACATAATTCTAATCCGATCATTCTATTAATCGAAAAAGATCGTTATCATAAAAATATATTTTTAACTCATTCATTCTATTAATCCGAAAAACTGTAGTTACTAAACCATAATTTTAACCCATCCATCTAATATAATTATTTACTAATTTTGAAATAATATTTATCCTAATATCTTGCATGTTTTGAATATAAGACTGCAATTATAAAAAAAACCTAATCCACCCCATCAAATTACCATATAATATTAATATTTATTAGTTTTCAATATGTGAAATTTTATTCTGATTGAATATGATTAAAAAATACAATAAGATATTCTCTTAATCATATTTGTTTTTCTAAAAATATTATTTAAATTTTCAAATATTAAACTAAATCTGACCTATGATTAAAGAACTATAAAATAATTGAAATTAATATCATTTTTAGAATTAAATTTAATTACAAAAATAGTTTGAATTTTAAATTAAATATGACCTATATTTAAGGAAATCTTTAGTTATCTAAATTCATATCTAATTTTCGGATTTTTTTATATAAAAAAGAAAATATGTTTTTAAATAATATTACAATAATTTAGGATAATTTTAAAACTGTTTCTCAAAAAAAATTTTAAAAAATTTTGGGAGTGTTTGGAAGCAAGTACTAAATGTGCTTCTATTTTAATATAATAGAAGTAAAGTTATCTAATTTCCCTATAAATTAGTTAATATATTATCATATAGTTTTAATTTTGAAGACTTTTAGCGAATATGATGCAATTAAAAAATCGTTAATTAGTAAATATATTGATTTTGCTCTGTTTTATGCAGATAACATAATTATTTTTATCTGATGATACATTAGCTTGTAGTATGATATCATATTGATTACTAAAAAACATGTGTAAAATCATCAAATATCTAAGCATTTATGATTTTGCTACATTATCATTTTGAAAAGAAAAAAATGTGTCAAAAATATACACAACTAATAAAGCATATTTCCTCTATTATTTTTTTTTTTTGTGTTGGTAATGCCATTTTCCAAGATTTTACTATCCAAGAAAGTAAGTATTAAAGAAATTAGAAACTTAATCTCTATTTGGTGAATTCTTTTAAGTGACGCAATCCCAAGTATTTCTAAGGAAGAAATATTTAAAATTAGTCGGTGGGTCCTTGTCTGATGCACACAAATTAAAATAAAACGAAACAAATTAAAGCTCAATCTCGACCATGCATGCCGGTGAATATAACACTTTCTTTGGATCACAGTTTGATAACTTTTTTAAACAAGAAGAAACAAAGCTTTTTCCTAATAAACAAGCGAAAAAAAGTTCAGGTCAATCACTAAAGTTCATATTCAAATTGCTCAGTACCTTATAAATAAAATCTTAAGAATCCACAAAAGCCTTGCCTTTTTTTGGTTTTGTTTTATCCACTGGTACTTCTCCTAAGAGCTCTTGGCATGCACTGCAAGAGCCTCATTAGTCTGAGAATGTTGACTTTTTCTTGATGAATCCATATTTGAATCAAAGAATGCCTCCAAGGATTCTCAACCCTTAAAAGCCAAAACTAAGAATGTTTACAATGCTTCTCTCATCTTGATTTGTGGATGTTTCTAGAAGGGACCTGATCACTGTCTTCTCCACCAGAAGCATCGTAGCCATCACTTGTAGACCTTGACAATGGCATCATCATCATCATGGATTGTTGTTGTTGTTGTCCTCTCTGTTGTCCCATCAGACCAACAGCTGAAGAAAATCCAGTGAGCTGCGCTGAATCTTCTGCTTCAGACGAAACTCTAAAAGGGTGAATATCGTGCGAGTCTAAGCTGCTCTCTGGTGAAGATGTCACCATAACACCACCGGATCCCGACATTGCTCGGCTTGTCTGAAACGCGCTTCTTGCTTCTAGCTGAAGAGGAGCTAGCCCTGAGCTAGTTGATGTCTCCATAGCTGCTTTTTTCTGAACATTCATCAACGGTTCTAGAGGCAATTCTGCTGGTAACCGTATTCGCTTAGATTGCCTTCTCTGCTTCCCGTTACCATTAGCAGCTTCAAATTTTGCTGGGAACATTCTACGGCCGCTGCTTCCAAAGCTGCTGCTTGCTTCTAACCCAACAAACGGATTTTCTCGCCTCGCCACTGGCTGAATTATTTTGGATTTCTTTCTTGCTTCTGCTGCTGCTTTTGAAACTTCTTCTGCATTGAGACGTGCTAGAGTCCATGGACTGATCTTCACAGGTTGGCTCTTCTTCTTGACGCGTTCCTCAACCACTGACTTCTTTCCATATGAACTTACAGACGCATTCTCTGGAGGAACTACATCAAACTGCACAAAGAAACACACACAGATTAGAGCAAATAATAGTCAACAAGGCAGACAAAATTTGGGTAATAATGGTACCTGATCCTCAAGAAACAAGCGTGGTGGTGTGCACCATGCCCCACGATGAAATGTATTGAAGGAGCTAGCACTGCTTAGTCCAGTGAATGAGCTGATCATCGACATTTGAGGGCTTTGTTGACCTCCACCAGCTTCTTGCTCTTGCTCTTGTTCCCTAAGCGCAACTATGTAGTCGTATGTACTGATTCCCTGTTAGAGAAGTTCATTTAGTTAAATCACATAGAGTTATTAGAGCAAGAGTCAGCATGTACTTGAGCATTGGAAACAACCTTCTTAATGAGAAGTATGTGGAAGAAGAAAAGCTGAGCAAGTGGTAGCGTTGCCAACATTGCTAATAGAGTGCAAACTGCCTGCAAGAGAAAGAAACCTTCATATCTTGCGGACACAATAGAGAAAGATCAATTGTAAGAGAAGATAACTTACAACGACTATAACAAATGGAATTAGTGAGAAGCTGCTTCCCAATTTCAAGGAAATGTCTGCATTGAACTGGTTTCTTCGGAGTAAACATAATACCAGCACAAAAATCCCAGTTGACCATTGCATAATGAGCTGCAAGATCAAGCCCCATTGTTGCCAGTTAATAATACAAGTATCTTAAAGTTGACAAATATAAAATCCAACTCTTTTGTTTCATCAACCAAAAGAAAGAATTATACAGAACATTTTCAGAAAGTCGTGGAAGATCAACGCAACCTTACCAAAAAAATAGCTGATACCATAAGGCTGAAGAATTTACGGTAATTCCGCTTGCCAATGCAGTTGTTTAGCCACTACACAAGTCCATAAGCAATAGACGATAAGAAACTTAAAACAGATTGAAGAGTTTAAGAAAAAACAGGAACTTTTCAGGCAAATTGTTTTAATACCCTGCAGTGATGATCAAAACGGTCCACGCATTTGTCACAAACTCTGCAATGCTTGCTGTACTTAAAGACCTGTAACACGAGATACAATTATTAGTCCTCAGCACAGGCAGAACGACAAGTTTGTGATTTCAAATGGTTCTCGCACCTCGACTTCACAGAGACTGCAATAAAACATCCCATCCTCGCTCATCTGCTGATCAGAAGATTCATCTCTTCCGCTGCAACAACCACATAGCAATGCACAAGGAGAGCAAAGCAAACGCCGGAGAGGAGATCTTTCCGATGACTCCAATTTCTTGTTAGTTCCATTTTCTGCATCCTGTACACATGTGCCGTCATGAGACTTAGCACCACCTGTAGTTGATCCACAGCCATCTTTTGTATCCTTTGACTGAGGGAATTTCCCGTTTTCAGGAATTTTAAGGTACTTCTTCGACCGGAAAACTCCACGGTCTGCAGGATCTGAAGCCGCGCACCATATATACAGTCCAACCACACATGTAATCTGGAAAGAAAATGTCACTGGCTCAAGTAAATCTCCAAGAGAATACCAACCCATTCAAAAAAGGAAAAAGTAGTCACTATACCACATTGTATGCAAAAAATTTAGCCCTAAAGTAGAAGGTTATAGCTTTAGTGACAGAGTCAAGAAGGGAAATGCTTGCGTCAGTTGCTAGCACTACTTGTTATCTCTAAATTGATGAATGGAGTTAAAGAAAGAAATAGCACATCCATGGATGTAAGATCGAAGTTTCAACCATAGACCTAAAATTGGCTCGGAATCAAGAAGTATCTAGAGCTAACTTGTACTTTTTCATGATAAACTGATCTCTATCTGGGACCAGATCAGGATCCAACTATAAGGAAGGCAAAGTTTAATTTCCATTATTAGCTATAAGTAACAATTTTCACAAAGATATGTTAGATTGTGGAACCAAAGGTCTATGTACTTCAGAAAACGATAAGCATTTTACGGAAATGGAAAGACAACAGAATAGAGACAACACATAAACGGCCAACGAGTACGCAATTTTAATCTCTAAAGCATTCGAAAATTATTGATCCATGACCAACAAAAAAAACTAAAGCAGATTTGATTTCAGAAAAGTAAAGTAAACAAATTTAGCTTACCAGAGGAGTGTAAATGCCCATCGCAATGTACTGATGAATCTTATTCCCAACAAAGGGAGCAAAGAAGACGTAGAAAGCAAAACCTAGAGCCAAGAACACAGCAACAGCCACCACCTACCCAGAAAGTACAAGAAAGTTTCAACATTTCACCTCAAAAACGAAACCCTCCAAAGAAATTTCAGATGCTTTAAGAAGAAAATAGAAGAATCGGAGGATTTTGGAGTACCTGAAGAGGGTGGTAAGGAAGTTGCCATCCATGTTTCCTCATTTTCCTCTAGAATGCTGCAAAATCCAGATGTAGATCGAAGAGACTCAAGTCAAATAAACAGAAAAACTTTCCCTTTTTTCACTAATTTTCTCGGAAAAATCCAACATTTTTTCTTCTTTCACGGACTCTATAGTAACAAAAGTCTCAGAGCAAAGGGAAGAAGAGTAGGGAAGAAGACATTTGACCACTGGGTGAAAAGTAAATAAGCAAAATATTCAAATAGAAACAAAAAGAAAAGTAGACTCTTTGTTTGTGGTTTCTCTGATTCTCTCTGTACCTTCTGTGCAAAGCTTTGAGCTTTGTTGCAGAGATCTAAAGAACCCACCATGGAAGAGAGAGAGAGGGAAAAAGAGTGATAATTAAGAGATGAAAAGCAGTTACCTTTTCTACAAGGCCAAATCATGTGTCACAGTCCAGTTGCTGGCAAATCCAGTAACACTTGTTTTCTTTCTCCTTTGTTAAATTGCCATCACTCTCTCTCTCTCTCTCTCTCTCATTTCCTCAGTATTTTTTATCTTTTACTTTTTTACCCACTGATTTTCTTATCTTTATGTTTTCACCCCCACAGTTTCTTTCCCCTTTTCTTGTGATCAAATGAGCATAATTAGATTTTCCAGATATAATTGTGATTAGGTAGCCTAATGTTTGACATAAATATGTACCTCTTTAATCTAATTACAATGTGTCCTTATGTATTTAATCATCGAAGGTCACATTAAATGTTTGTACCAAAAGACTTTATATTGTCTTAAATGTTTTGTCTTCCAAACTGGTAACTACTCTGCAAACACTTTACAGTCGAAATGTTACAAGAATCAAAGCCGATTTGGTTAAAGGGAATTTTCAACTCCAAAGAAGTAACATTGCAAGGAAGATTATATAAAAACATTTAAATGGAGGAATATTATTGAAGTAGCTCCATATATCATTTCATTTTCAATATTTGAGGCCTGAGAAAATGGAGAGTGACAGAACAATAGCACCAAGAAAACGACCGTCCGGATGAATTTGGAAATCAAATTTCCTTTCAAGGTTAAGATTGTTATTTAATCTTAAAATTAGTGGTTTTTGTTTAAATTTTGAAAGCTTTGGCAGCTGTTATGTCTCTTCTTATGGCCTTTCTCTTGTCAGAAAAAAAATAGACTTTTCTGTAAAAAAGAGAAATTCACTTTTATAATTGGTTTGCGTTTTAGTTACCTTTTTCTTGCTACTTCTCTTAAAAAGGGTCATTTGGATCGAAAGCCAATGTCTTATTACATGACTATTACGTATTTGTAGACATTCATATATACGTCGACTTTGCATGCAGATACGAAGATTAATGGTTTTTCTTAAGAATGTAAAGAAAAAAAAAAGAGTTTTGCTTAGGAAAATGGAATTGTTTTATTTTGTTCAGGAATTCGTATTAACACATGTTTCGAACGAGTTTCTGACACATCCCAAGATTCTAACCGCCGAAGACATTGCAACATTTTGATAAATTTGTTTTTAATAAATAAATATATACTACAATTTAAATTTAAATTATTTAAAATTTTCACTTGCTTTTTAAATTTATGTAAGGTGTAAACTATAAATTAAGATGTAATGAATGTATAAGCTGAAGTTTTAAATGAATATTCTGTTTTTAAGAAAATATTTTTAAAACTCGAAAGATCATTAAAAAGGGACAAAAGGTGTGTGGGTGAAGGAGTAAATGTGAAGCATTAAATTCTAAGGACCTCTTTATGTATGTCGTTTTCCTTCTTCATATTCTTTTTTCTCTTGGTAGAAGAGATCGCAATTTAATAAGTTTATCGAAAAAAGAAGAAAACAGATGAGGTTTAGACAAGCATTCTTATAAAAATCCTAAAAAATGTAATTTAATTAGTATAATAAGAATCATTAAAATAGTTTGTCTCCCTTGTTTCGAGCTGTACGAAAATAAAACTACCTACGCCCCGCCGAATACGGGATAATCGTTTATCGAGATATCCGGTCGCAACCAATATTGAAAACCGTTATTTTTTCGTCAATAACATGTACTACTATATAAAAATATACGAAAACTCAAAAACTACTAAAATGTTACAAACTATAGACTTTTGTTTGTAGATGTAGACAAATTACTAAACATGTTAATTATCAATAAAAAAAACATGTCTTAAGAAATAAACGACAGTACTCAATGCAGAATGTTAATTAAATAAATACTCCCTATAGATTGTTAATAATATGGTAGATGAATACTTGACATGTTAATTACTCAAATTAAAGACATGTTTTAAAGAAATAAACGACAACACTTAATGCAGAATTTTCAAAACTTGTTAAATAAAAAAGTCTATCTCTCGTTAAAAAATGAAAGAAAGTCAATTCTGTGGTAGTAATAAGGCCAACTATAGACAAAAATATAGGACGATATAAACAGCTTTTTTTTGTTTGGCAGGACAAACTAAATATTAAGTTGATAATGAAGTGTAATTTGTTTGAATGTTGAAGAATAAAGGATATAATTGAGCTAAGCAACGAATATTTACAAAATGGGTAGATGGGGACATATAGAGAGGGACTTGTTCTCATTTGCTTGGGTCTTTTCTTTTAGCCACGTGCACTGTGCCTCTCTACCCATGCCCGTGACTCCGTATTTTTGACTCAATGCTCCTTCTTGTTTCTATTTAACTAATTATTATCTACAGGCTTTTAGGTATGTTGATTGTTGAGAGAGAAAAAAAAAGTCAAGGTTTCATATTTTCATAAAACAGATACTAAATTCTAAAGTTTATGGCAATTCAATTTGCATAGTTCTTTAAGAATTATAAATCGTTAGGCTGTGAATTGTGAACTGGTGTGGCAATGGAAGCAATAATAAGAGGTGGGGGCAAATATTACTTGATGGGTAATGAAAGAAAGAAGAAAGTTTGATATTTTGATACTTTTTTGGACTCTGACTAGTTTAGTGTAAATATGAAAAGATTATTAGTGGAAAGCTCTTTCCGTCCGATGATAAACCAAGTATCCGACCATTATGACCCCTTTAATAATCTTATGATACGCAAATACGCATAAGGTTATTATTATTTTCTTTCTGTGGGCCTAATGGCCCATTTAATCCCATGATCTCATTCTCATTTTCCTTTTTCATGAGAGTATTTGAGTTTTAAGGTCAGGTTGCCACATGCCATGATGCCACCACAAAACTTGGCTGTCAAGCATTAAATATGTCAGTTCAAGTACTCAAGTCCTAGATTACTGGTATGTTCACTCTTCCTGATTTGCCTCTACGATCATTTTAAACAAGTAAGAAAAACATCCATTATCAACCATTTCCTTGCTTGTCATTTTGAACTCAGCTACAACTTGCTCAAATCTACAACTTACTAATGAGGCCCAAAGAATAAATTATTGTACATTTAATAGAGATTTCCTCACATAATTTTTGATCGATGTGAAATAACCTTATTCATGTTTGCATAACCTCAAATTTTTAAGTATTTCGGAGAGATGAGAATATGATCAGTCTTGTGTCACTTGCTGGATTTACTACTCTGTAAATTTCATATGTATATTATGTTCTTTTCATGAAACATGACTCTTCTCCTCTTTTGTTGTTGTGCAGTACCTTTAGTATAACACGAAATTTGTTATGCATTTAAGATAAGATAACTAGATAAGATGTCTTTGAAAAAAAACACATATGGGCTTAATTTACAGAAGAAAAAGAAAAGAAAAGACCAAACTTTTTCTTATAAACTGATGATATACCCTTCTTCCGTTAAGGAGAAACAGAGCAGAAATGCTTTTACTTTATATTTTTATTTTCTATTTGCTTAAGGGTATTCAACTTAAAAAGCTAGAAAATATAACAAGAATTGACTTTTTCAAGTCATATATAGTTCAGTAGGGTTAAATTAGAGATCAAAGATTTTAACTTAGAAAATTGAGAAAACAAACATAATTTAAAGAAGGGAAGAAAGGGAGCTATGTCACCGATTTCTTCAAACTTCCTTCATGGAATACAACTGCTCCTCTCCCATTGCAGACATGAAAGAGACGACAATATCCTTCCCCTCTGCAAATCCATCCTTGAGCTGCATTCACGCAACATACCAAAACAATCAATCATATGTGATCCAACCAATACATCACATTAATTAATTAACCAGTTGATTAGAGTATATAAGCATGAAAAGGCGAGAGAAAAGTAACCTGTGTGAGCAGAGCTTCATTTGTTGGGAGCTTGACATCATCCTTGGTGCTACCATTGTCAGTGAGAAGGCTGACCTGTAACGTAATGTAATCATCAAGAAAACTTCAAACTTGAAGTATGTGGGCAAAAGCAAAACAAAGCTTGAACTAAATGAAAGAAAGGAAAGTAGTGAGAATGAGATCATACAAAGCCATCTTCAGAGATATCAATTAACTCGTAGTCAGTATGGTTCACATGTGGAACCTGCACCAAAAAAGAAAAGGAACAATTTGTGAATCATAAAGTTTTGTATAATCCACTCGCCGTAACATCTCAGGACACGCACATCACAGTTGTGGGAAGAAGGAACAATGTCTTCGAGCTTCCTAGAAGTGAAGATATCAATGCCAACAAATTTACATATGGCATGACCGCGCTTGCCAGTCGAGGAAGTCGAGGCCTCAACCACCTGTGGAAATCAACAAAGAGTGTTTCAAGTTTTTAAAAAACGAATAAAGACTAGCTCATATATATATATATATATCGACACAAACTTAGATTACGAAACCTATAAGCCACAACTTCAAAACATTGATACTTTTCGAAGAGAGACAAAACAAAGAGAAAAGCATTTAGAAAAAAAAAGACCTTGCATGGACGGCCCTTGATGACGATGTAATCATTCGCTCCTAGTCCGACATTTTTCAGCGAGTTTAGAAGAGTAAATTAGCTTATTGATATTGAGAGTAACTTGTGGCAAAAGTCAAAGAGTGGTTTTCGATATTTATAGAACCCTGAAGAACAAAAGGGGAAAGAAGACCACAAGCCTGACTGAGAGAGAGAGAGAGAGCAGTTATTCCTTTTCAGCCGTTGGATTGGAACTTCATTCCCAAACCTACCGTTCATATTTATCCACATATTGCGTGCAAATGATGTGGCCTTACCACATTTTTCTTGCTTCTCTCTTTTGAATTTTAAAATGGCATGTTATATTATTGTTGAAGATAATGCATGAGGAGGCACCTACACGTACGCTGCCTTGAGATTCTCTATAGAAAGATGCGATTAATTAATTTTGAAGTTTTTGTTAATGTTTCTTTTGTGCATTATTATTATTATTGTTGAGCGTGTCATATTGTTGAAGATACTGTGATAAGAAATAATGGGATTAGGTCGAAAGAGTAATTATTTTTTTTTCGTATTTTTGAGCTTTTACTTTCTTCTAGAAGACGAAGAGCCCGAGATTTGAACTGGAGACATCTCCCTATTGTTACCTACTTAATGGACATCATCAAAATTTCCACTACTTTGTTAACTTTTCTTTCATCCACATTAAGTAGGAATGCTAATGCAACTGCAGATGAGATAGCAAAAAAAAAGCCATTCCTATCAAATTTGGGTATTATTGCTCGGTTGAGTTCCTGCTGAAATGGAAGTGGTAAAGCTACTTTGTAGAGAACTAATTAGTAGCTCACAATTAAGATTAAGAAACTTGTTCTGCATATGAATTGTGCCATGCTAGAACAATCTAAGGAGACCTTGCAGGTCATTCTGAAGTCAGCTACTACTTACTCAAAAAGAGAGATAGATTGACATCACAGAGACATATGGTTATAATACTATAGTATAGCTTTGGAACTGTTAACAGTGACTTATCCACAACCAAAACCAATACTAAGATGGGTATGGTGTGTCTTTGATCAAACACATATGGGCGTAATTTACTAGGAAGAAAAAGAAAAGAAAAGACCAAACTTTTTCTTATATATTTTGACTCTGTCAAACTGATGATATTGATACATCCTCTGTAAAAGAGAAGCAGAGCAAAATGCTTACTTTATCACTTAGGAGCAACTTCCTTCAGGGCACACATCTGCTCCTCTCCCATTGCAGACATGACAGAGACGACAATATCCTTGCCCTCTTCAAATCCAGCTTTGAGCTACATTCACACCAAATACCAAACAATCAGAACTAATCCAACCAGATAGCCAGTTGATTTTGGAGTAGGCATTAAAAAGGCGAGAGAAAAGTAACCTGTGTGAGAAGAGCTTCATCTGTTGGGAGCTTGAGATCATCCTTGGTGCTACCATTGTCAGTAAGAAGGCTGACCTGTAATGTAATCATCAAACATTAAAGTGTGTGGTCAAAAGCAAAACAAAGCTGAACTAAATGAAAAAAAAAAAAAAAAGGAAAGAGAGAGTGAGATCATACAAAGCCATCTTCAGAGATATCAATTAACTGATAGTCAGTACGGTTCACATGTGGAACCTGCAAGAGAGAAAACAAAATGGAACAATTTGTGAGTGAGTCAGATTAACAGAGTTGATAAATGTTAATATATAATCCACTCGGGACATTCACAGGACGCACATCACAATTGTGGGAAGAAGGAACAATGTCTTCGAGCTTCTTGGAAGTGAAGATATCAATGGCAACAAAGTGACATTTGGCATGACCGTGCTTGCCTGTCTTTGAAGTCGAAACCTCAACCACCTATGAAAAAATCAACAAAAGAGTGTTTCACAAGTTCTTTAAAACCAATGGAATTAAGCAACCTGAAAAAAACGAAACAAGAACTAGCTCATCGACATAAACCTAAAAAACCACAACTTTAAAAACAGAGACTTGTCTCAGCACTAAACATCACAACACAACACCATCAGGTGACGGAGACTAAAACCTCAAAAACCACAGCGATCAAGAACTGCCTTATACAAAATCAATAATATATATTCAAAGCGAAGAGAAAAGGACCTTGCAGGGACGGCCCTTGATGACGATGTAACCACCCTTACGGATGTTACCAGCCTGCTGAGGATAAGTCTTTGAAGCTCCCGCGTCGCTTGACTCGAAGTGGTGCTCCTCGTCCGACATGGTTCAGCTAGTTTTGGAAGAGGAGAAGATCAGTGAGAGCCACGCACAGAGAAATTGGTGAAACAATTGGTTTCAGAGAAACTTGTGTCAAAGTCACCGACTGGTTTTCAGTTTTTATAGAACACTGAAGAAAGGGAGAAGAACCATCTATTCCTTTTTCAGCCGTTGGATTGGAACTTCTTTCTCAAATCTACCGTCCGGATTTCGCGTGCAAATGACGCGGCCCTACACGTGCGGCGTCTATTTGCTGCTTCTTTTTTTTCTTCTTCTCTCTTTTCAAATCATGAAAAAGGCAGATGGTCGTAGATGTTACGCGATGCCGTGAGATTCTCTCTATTTATAAATAATTTCAAACTTTTGTGGTTTTTTGTTTTTTTTCTATTCTTGATTAGCATGTCATATTGTTGAAGATTACGAAGAGGAAAAATGAGGTCTAAAGAATAATTTGTTATAGCTTTAAGAATAAGAGAACAGGAACGTATATAAAGACATAAAGACAAACTAAGAGATACAATCATTACATGTTGAAGCTTCCATGACCATGACACAACTTCTAAATGTACCATTGAATCTAACTTGCCATGCTTAACGTGCTACCAAGAAACACACACACACACTGACACACACAATCAAACAAAAATAGCTAGAAAATAAATGATTCATGCTTTGATTAAACCTGAGATTCAAGAAGCTACCATTCCTTCAAAACCTGTGTATGAACACTTCAGGAGGTTCTTCCCTGCAAAAGACGAGGAGATATCGATACATTTGACGTTTCGCGTGATGATTAAACAGCAAAAAGTAAAGAAAAAGAGCAGAGCAGAGAGAAGAGTGAGGGCTCACTTCTCTTTAGCTTCTTGGTAAGTGTGGCTTGATGCAACGGCTAAGAGTTCTCCATCGTGGTTAAATGCCAAAGACGCGACGCTATTTGAGTACCTTGGCAACTATTGTAAAGAAACACACAAGATTATTTAGGATAATAAAGCCAAGAACAGTAATCTAGAGAACACAATTCATGTTTTAGTGTTTGATACCTCAAAGAGCCTTCTTCTGCTTTTAGCATTCCATGAGATAACGTAGCCTTCATTGTCACCAGTCACAAATGTCCCTGACCCACTGTGGCAAGATGAAATTGTGAGCCAGAGGACCAGATCATGTAAACAATAAGATGGTGACTGAGGCAAACATACCCTGGACTGAATTCAATGGCGTTTATGCATGCACCATTGAGTCTTCCTTTCATAGACTTGGGATGGCATCTGAAAGTGTACCTAGCATGAATCAATGAGAGAAATACAAACATTAAGTGAGCTAACTAGCCAGCTTGATATATTTTAAAAAAAAATAATGGATTCCCTAGAGACTAGAGTGAGAAAGATTGAAACTTGAAAGTCACCAAAATGAATCATTTTCCCCATTTGAACTTTCATATAGTGATCCATCATGTTGACTTACTTCATCTCCCCGGAGCATGACATATTGGGAAATTCCAAGGCTACTTGTCCATCTACTGAGCCAACTGCATATCCTGCAAAGTCGCAATTTCAAACATTTTAGAAATCAAACCAAACCTCAACCCTGGCCCATGGTCTATGTAAACCATGGCCACATTACCTGAAAATCACGGATTCTTGTTATTATATATATGTTTACCTCTCGAATAAGGTACAGAGGTGACACATCGGATTGGCACCTCTACTTGTGATTCATAAGATTGAAAAGGTTGGTCTAAGTTACGCAAATCATATATATGCATTGACGCTTCAACGCAAACTACTAAGTTGTTTCCAGATACAGTGATGCATCTCACTGCATCACCAACTTCAGTCGAAAATAGAAGACGTTCTCCTTGCCGTGTATCCCAGAATTTGATCTTCTCATCCAAACCAGTAGAGATAACTTCACCTGAGCCGCATCACACCACTTGAAATTAAAAGGTTGCATATTTAGCACCAAAGGTTACTTTTGATAGAATCAACACTGTGGTTCTCGTATTTCAACATGGATTTTAAATCAGTTTGCCAACGGGACAGTATAAGACAAAGTCTTTGATTCAAAACTCAAAACCTGAAAAAAACCCTCAGAAACTAACAAAATGTGGAATTTCATATACTAATGAACGAAAGATCCTATTATTAACTTAGTAGCAGCGCCAACATACTTGTAATTTATATCATTTCAAATTCCAACAAAGCAAGTTATCCAGTTTAGTTATATTCAGTCTATAAGGTGTGGAAATGCATTGGGAAATTCATTTCTATCTCAATATCTTATAATCCTGTGATTAAACTGACAAAAACTAAGCGAATTCTGATAAAAGACTGATGCCAAGCCACGCTTTTCAACATATTTCAGGGGATGAGTTAACAAGCTGACCTTTTTCATAAGAGTACACGACGGATGTTGCAACGTCATCATGTCTTCCAATTGTATCAACTGTTCCAGCATTGAAACCGTACCTGACAAACAATATCTTGAACCATTGAATCTCCATTTCGAATATGTAATCGAAACAAATGAGTTCCTTACAAGCATGAGGTTTAGGGCCTCTACATTGGGTTATCAGGTATGAGCTTATGTGTGTTCTTCATGTTAAGAATAAGTGATAATCAAGATAATATCTTTATATACAATTCAAAAGCCATTTATGAAATTCTGAAAAACCTTCGTTAAGAAAAAAATTGCAAACCTTCGTATGAGTCCATCGGAACCAGAGCTATATGAAGTTGATTCATTCTCGAAACAGCAATCGAGAAGAGCAGCTCCAGAGTACAATTCTAGAATCAGCGAAGATTTCTCCACATTGTACAGTCTCAGATACTTCACAAACCAATAGCAAAAAGGGAAATCAGATCAATAAACAAACAATTCCTCATTACGTCTAAGACCAAATACGGTATCCATTTGAGATCCGAGAAGAGAAGAGAAGAAAACTCACAGAATCCCAAGAGGAAACAAGGAGATTGTTTGACTCGGGGGAGAACCTGAGCCTCGAAATCGAATCCTCTATTGGGTTTTCAAATTCCAGTTGATTACCGCTCATGTTTCTTCAATCCTCAAGAAACTCTCCAAGGAATTGGGAGCAGATAGAATCTCAAACGTCACTATAAACGAAGAAGAAGACCCCGAATTCGAATTCCAAAATTGGAGATTTCAAAATTATAGAGCGATTGATTGATTAAACACCAAAGGAAAATGAGACAAAAAAAAACACTGAGGAAATTCAAAATTCGGATCCCGCTCCCAAACGGGTTAATGGGCTTCTTATAGGCCTACATATATCAGTCCATACTCTTAATGGGCCTACTCCGATATTGTTTTTGCTTTTAACCACTCTGTACTCTATATTCGTTGAGCCTCTCAGTCTCAGTAGAATGCTGTGGAAGATGATGTGTTGAAAGGAAAGTCAATCGAGTCCTAGAAATATTAATAGTAGATTAATAAAATTAACCGATATGATATTTAATAAACCGTGGTTAAACTATAAAAACTTTAGCAGATTGCAGACATGTCGAAAAGCTTACAAAACATATATGTCAATATATACCCTTATAGAACGGTTACAACTTAAAAACCAACGACCATATTTTTCTTCTTCCTCTAGCAATTAGCAGCTGCTTCCTGCGCAACACAAGAACACCAAGCTGAAAATCCAGTTATCGAGGCCAAGTAGAGACCCTACTTTATGTCATTAACCGAGAATGATTCATTTGCCACGTTATGGCATAAGCAAACATATGTCAAGCTTAAGATTCTTTGTGAGTGTACCTAGCACGTTCGTTTGCGTTTGAGACTTTTGATCTGCAACGTCATGTACTCAATCACTTCTTTCAGTGTGGCTTTTCTTTTTTTCTTTGAAATTCCACAGTGCCTGGACTGAAGCCCCACCACTTGAATTACACTCGTTGCGCTCCTCCAGTGCTGTCTTAACCGCGTTCTTCACATCTTCTCCCCACTCTTCTCTCAGACTCCTAAGTTGCTCATCCACTTCCTGCACCATTACTACTAGTTTACCAGAATGCAGAATCATAAAATGGGAAAGAATCTCGATGGAACAAAGAGACATAAACAAACCTGCATTTTGTCTCCTGTCCCTACGAATTTGAATGGATGCCATGATGGAACATTCTTGAGGTTTTCCTGCCATTTCGAGCAAAGCATGGCGTGTTGCACACCAGCTTCTTCCCCAGTGAATCTCTCTTTGCAAGCTTTCATCAAAGGCTTTCCATCGATTTCTCCCATCCTCTTAATTCTGATGTTGGTTCGATCACTCAACATTTCTCTCAATCCCTGAAAAAAAAAACAATGAATGTAGAACAATTAGTCACTAACATTTCACTCGCCTACATTATACCAGCACTAAAAGAACATGGAAGCATATATAAAATATATAACCGTAATCAATTCATCACGGGCTTCTTGTATCTCATCAATGCCTTGGCGATCTTTTATCGTGAGGGCAGTGTTAGTATCCTGTAGATATTCTAACGTAGAAGACTTCTCCTCCAGTTCTTCATTCATTTTCTTCATTTTCTCCTTAACGTCCTCGTCATCTTCATCTTCCACATGCCTCATGACTTGCAGCTTTCCTTTCAGCTCTTGAATTTCCATTTGAAGTTTCTGCTTGCTAGCTAATTCCTTCTCAAGCTGAAGAATCTCTTTCAAAGTCTCTTCTTTTTGCCTCTGAGTTCAGAAAGAATAGAGTTCCAATCATTAAACACTTTGAAACTCGGCATGTACACACATATATCTAGTTTGAATCATTTACTGAAAACACACCTTGTGTTCTTCCACAAGTCTCACCAAGCGATCATCAGTCTCTTTCTGGAGGGCATCGCTCTGCCATAACAAGAGAAAACAAAAAGACCATCAGGACCCTGGAATACATGTATAAACGCATAAAAGTTTACTAAAACTGAACAAATGTTACCTTCTTCTTGTCTTCATCAAGCCTTTGTCTCTCCAGTTCCGTTAGTGCTTCCTTCTTGTCCAATTCTTTGGACCAATCACTCAGATTCTTCAGTTTATTTCTCAGCTTTTCTTTGTCTTCTAAGATCCTGACGACGTTGAGCCGCGAAAATTCCTGCATTCTTTTCGTTTCTTGACAAAAAATATTACCGAAACAAGAGTCAGAAAACTAAACCTAGATGCAGCCGAGTAGATACATAAGCAATCAGTATTCGGTACAAAACCTTCTTTATAAGCTTGGTCCAGCTCCTCTTTCTCTCTGAGAACTTTGCGCAGAGAAACCGCCTTCTCGTTGCACTTGTACTGGACCTTGTTCAGATCCTCATTCGTCATAGCAATTTTATCTGCTAGATCATCAACCACAATATTCGTATTCAGCATTTCCTCCTTAGAAATATCAGAGAAACTTCTCAGTTTCCCTACTGTTGATAGGTACTCGGCTATCGACCCTTGAGAGTTGTAGTCATCTGCACGTGCACACCAACCATATTCCTTGAACCTCCAGTCTCCTGTTTTAACACTCCAGTCCTTTTTCCCGCAGCGGTTAATCTCATATTCTCTCTCAAGCTCTGTGGCACTCTTGAACCCACTCATACCACTGTTAAACTTGGAGATGACGGCAACTACGGAATCCTGCTCAACCCAAAGGGTTTTCACCTCAAGAGGGTTGAATCTAGCGAGCTTTTTCAACCAGTAAGCTGAATCAAGGAGCAAGTTCTTGTCATCATTTCTTCTGAGTGGGTTGATGACAATCCCCATCCAAGGCCAGACATAAATGTCACTAGACTGCTTCGACGAGGACGAGGTAATTATTTGTAGGCGTGGGACTTGATGAGCATCACCACCAGCAAGCTCATTCTCCATGTACTTTCTGAGAGCGAGGTGGTTTGCTTTCTGCTTAGCACTTCTACTCGCGGATCCTATGGCGAGACCAGTGGCATGAGCAAGCAGATCCTTGTACTTGTAGTGTTGCTTCTTCTTCCCTGAGCAAAAAGGGCACCTGAATGTGTCTTCCTTCAGCTTAACCTTGTAGTCCCCTTTCTTGAGTAGCTTGTAAGGATATTCATCACAATAGACATCAATCTCAGACTCACTGATCTCTGACTCTTCATCAGAACTGTTATTCATCCTGTGGGTTTCTGAAGCCTCGAGTGATAACGGAGAACAACAAACAAACAAACAAAAAAACACCAGGCCCATTAGTTTCAGGAACGAACGCTTAGAGACAAATCACTACTAAGTTTTGAGAGAATCAAACCCTAGAATGCAGTTCAGGTGGAATAGAGAGAGAAAGAGATTACCTTAAGAAAGCAGTTTTGTTCGAAGAAAGTAAGAAATGGCGATGAAATACTGAAGAAATCAACTTCTCTCTAGCCAAAAAAAAGACGCCAGGGAAGATCATACGAGGGTCAAAAATAAGAATAGAGACGAAAATCTAGAAACTTACGAGGAACGGCCGTGCAGAGAACGATGACAGTGACATAGAAAAGAGCAAGTAGGTAGGAATAGCAACCGTCAAAATAGTGTCTTTTTTGTTCACTCGATATATAACGATTGGTTTCTGATTTATTAAATATGTTTTAGTTTAAATATATTATAAAAAGTCGAATTTGTAAGAAACTATAGTATAAAATTCGAATTATATGCACAACACAATTTCTTAATAACATGTGTGTATAAGGCGCAACCAAGAGAGTTATGTTGTTTCGTACCAGTGCAAAAAAAAAAAAAAAAATGCTCCAGCGAGGCTGATTCAGAGTTCGATGACATGTTTAAAAACATGCCGTGAGGATTGAGGAAGAAGAAGAAGAAGAAGTCTAGGCCAAAAACATAGTTAACAAACTTTGAAGAGAGAAGTTGCATATATATATACAATGGGCAGTGTCAAGAAACAGTCTTTGTTCCCTCCATACTAAACTCCAAGAACAGCAACACGAAAAAAAACAAACAGACAAAGTCACTGTTCCAAGAAACAACTCTAAAGACCATGCCTTCTTAATCACTCTGGAACATAAAAATCGAACCTGACATCCACAGAGCCATCAAGCGTATCTTTGTATTCCACGTTGGTTATTGATCCAGCCTCGTCCACGTCTTGGTACTCTGGTTTCACCCTCCTAACAGGCACCGTCACCGAGTAAATGGTCCCGAGGTCACCGTCCGTGGAGACATTCAGCTCAACTTTTTCCTCTGATTCTATCTCCACAAAATCCGACAGTGCGTGGATAATGTTGTTGACTATTTTCCTTTTAGCGTCGTCGCTGACCGCACACCTGTCTGAGAAGAGGATCATCTTGAGCCTCTGCTTTGCGATTCTTGCGTTGGAGCTTCTTCTCGACGCGTGAGATGGGAAAATTATCTTCCACGCTATGTTTAACCGGTCAAAGAAACTCATGTTGATTGCATTCAAGAGAAAGCTCTCTATCTCTTGCTCGGCTGGGCTTGGTGATAGTTCGTAGTCTCCTGTGTTCCTTGCAAATACCTTTGTCTGACCACGTGTGTTCTCGCGGCTGATCGACACTCCAGGACATTTCTGGGTTTCCAAACTGTTTCCGCCATTGCTTATGAAGCCCGTGAAATCAACCTGCAAATTTACATAAAGAGTAACATCCAAAAGAGAACAAAAGATCAAACTAGATGCATCTGAAAGCTCAATTATTGTAGTACATCTATAGGTAAAGAAACTGTAACATCAAGCTTATCTAAACCTAATGGCATGGTTTGTAACAAAATTGCACGAGACTAAGTATGAGCTACATGGTCCATCTATGTAGGAGAAAGATGAGAAACCAATGATAATCTTGTAGCTCAAAAAACATATCAAGGTACAAACACGAGGCTGAACAATGAAGATGGAGTCAGTTGCTTTTCCCAAAAACCACCAAACACATCTCAATGGCCTTTACTGGTATTTACTTCCAGGTGCTTATGAAACAAACAGAAACAGAGATAATAAACTTTACACTGCTCGAAAAATTCAAGCGATGAGCAAGCAATTCTAGAGCTAAAGACCTGTATCCCTTGTTTTCCGCGAAAAGACGAATTCAGATTCTTACTAACAAACATAGACCCTAGAAGCGAAAGATCAACGTTGGTAATAATACTTCTTCTGAAAATAAACGAAATCGGGACACCAATTTCACAATACCCAGATCCCAAAATTCGCGCTGAGGAGAAATTTCGAATCGTAGAGTAAAGAAGACAGGAAATCGGACCTTGGAAGAAGGTAACGAGAGGCGTTTAGGATGGTTATGATAAGGAGATACTAAGCTCGCAGAGATCCTCAGATTCCCAGACACTGCCATTTCCGAGAAGTTGAATTCTTCGCCTGAGAAGCGAATCTTTCTTCGTTTCAGTTAAAGAGAAAAGGGATTACGACTCACACGACTGATACGAGTAAAAGGCTACCCAGCCAACTCAAGAAACGCTGTCGTTTGAATACAAATCAAAGCGTCGTCGTATTATTGAAGTGCGGAAGCAGCAAAACGGTGTCGTTTTGATTGCAAGTTATAAACGTGGTCGTATTGTTGTCGTAGAGAAGCTAAAAACGCGAGGTTAACTATCGTTATGGAAGTAATAAAAGTGTCGCCGGCGAGAAGCGAGGCTTCTTCTTCGCAACCCATATCTTTGGTGGAATCAAGACAATCTCCACTACAAATCGAATCAAGTCGAGGGATTTTGGAAGAGAGCTAAACGAACGAGCAAAAATAAAAATTCAATTTTGATTGTTGTGAATGGGTAGATGGAGAGCAGTTGCTGCTCTTCTTCTTCGTAATCAAATAGTCAATTCTTCAAAGCCTTTTCCATGTGTTTGGAGACACCCGGCGCTTGGTTCCCATCGAAGCCAAGCTTCTCGTTTGCTTGATTTCCGACACTTTTCAGCTTTCCCTTCTCCGATTTCGATTTACAACAATGACTCTGATTCTGGGTCGGGTGATGTATACCAAAACTACGAATTTGGAACCAAGGAAGAGGAAGACAGAGGGAAGATACCTATCAAAGCCTATTTTCTCAGTACTAGGTATGTTTTTGCTTATCGAATTGCATAGAATCTCTGGAGACTCTGTGGTGTAATATCACGTCTTTCTTCACACTAAATGATGGGTTCTGACTTCTCAGTGTTAAAGTTTCAACCTTGGAATCCTTATGCTTGGAATGCTTTACCGCCAGATATAGTGATTAGTTGTGTGTTTTTTTTTCTTTTTATGATTTGGTTTCTCAGATTTATGGTTTTGGCAGTATTGATTTGAAGGGAATGCAAGCTGACAACTTATGCAATGTTGTTCCTCCTACCTCACGGTCTACTAATTCTATTGCCCTCAAATTTTCTGATTCTTCTTCTCGAATCCCTGTAAGATTACTCTGCTGTTTCGACAGTTATATTCAAGTTTGGTATTCTATTTATGCAATGATGTTTGAATGTGGTGAACCCTGAAAAGTGAAATCACTGTTATAAGTTTACTGATACTTGAAGACTTGCCTTATCTCTTGTTCATTTTACTGATACTCAGTTGTATGCCATTATACCATGGCTTTGATTTGCGTTATGGCTTTAATTGTGGTTACGAAACCCAAAAGGAAGTCAAGATTTATGTTGTGTTCTCTTCTTCACAGGCGCTAGACGAGAGGGAGAGTGTAAGCAGCTGCCGGTTCATGGTTGTCTTTCAATACGGTTCTGCTGTTCTTTTCAATGTTGATGACGATGACGTTGAGTCTTATCTCGACATTGTTCGTAGACATGCTTCTGGGTTGCTTACAGAAATGAGGAAAGATGGTCAGTGTCCTGTAACCATTCCGCTGCTTCTTACTACTTAGAAAATCAAAGCTTTACTTCAATAATTGTCTAGTTTTGCAAATGAACTGCATTTTGTGGATTTTGTTATGTTAGATTATGCTGTGAAGGAGAAGCCTTTGTTGACTGAGGAAATGCGAGGTGGCCCTGACTACATTGTTCTCAAAACTTTGGATACTGATAGCATCCGTATTATTGGGAGCGTTCTCGGGCAAAGTATTGCATTGGATTACTTTGTTTCTCAGGTAACTTTTTCCTTCTCAATGTCCTTAACCAATACAATTATATATCTGTTTCACACTGAGTGAGAGATGGTGTTGAGCACTGTAGGAAACTGTTAAATGATGGAAGTTTGAGATTTATTATTCTCTCAGGTTGATAAGTTGGTAGAAGAGTTTGCTGGTATAAACCGCGCAATGGAGAAAACCGGAACTTTCACCATGCACAGGAAAAAGCTCTTCCAACTTGTAGGGAAGGCTAATTCTAATTTAGCTGACGTGATTCTCAGAGTTGGTTTGTTTGATAGGTATTCTATTTGTGTTGACAACATTTTCATATTCTAATATTGTTTTGTTTGATCTCTATATATGCTTTTACTCATATACAAAACTTCAAGATCTTGATCTTGGAAATATGCTCAATCTTGAACAGTCTCGTGGAAACAATGTGTGTACATAAATGAGACTCATATGTTCCGTTTTGTTCTCATAGATCCGAGATTGCTTGGAGAGAGGCTAGATATGCTCAGATATATGAGTACCTTAGAGAAGAGTACGAGGTCACTCAGAGATTCGGGAATCTAGACTTTAAGCTGAAGTTTGTAGAGGTATTATCATTATACTACTCGGTCGACTTTTGTTATCGATAATCGGTATTCATGTTTTTGGTTTTTTCTTATGTGATTCTCTGTTTTCATGTGCAGCACAACATTCATTTCCTCCAAGAGGTGATGCAGAACCGACGATCAGATCTTTTAGAATGGTGCATTATCTTCTTACTGACCCTTGAAAACTCTTTATCTATTTACGAGATTGTTCGAGAATCCACAGGAGCTTCACTCTGATGCTACAAATCATTGTAGAGTACTCAAAAAGGAATTCTTTATTACTCTCAAGTGTAGTTCATTTGTTTTGATTCTCAGTTTACATCTGTAATAAAATCAACTTGAACTAGCTAGTTAACGCTGCTTATGTCAAATTACGGTTTCGGAAACTAAGATCAAATACAAATGTTATGGTTCCTACTTTGACAACATCAATCCAGCCTTCTAAGCAAGTACTCAATTTGGACTTCCTTTGTGAGGGGCATGATCCTTTCTCCATAGAGTTTTGCCACTAAGCTAGGGTTAATTTTGTAGGAAGGATCAGCTCCAGTCTCTGGATCGTTGATCGTTATGTCTTGGCCAAAAATTCTGGCTTTAATCTCAACTCTTTTCTTGATTACTTCTTCAACCGCTTCATACGTCAAAAGCCGCAACAGCTGTGTCCGGTCCTGGAGAGCTCACCCAGTTTTAACAACACAAGAAGATGCATATAAATGAATAAAGAGAGGGCATTTAGCATGAACAAAAATGGGAGTACTTGTTCTCGGATGGCTGTTTCATAGACAGAGGGGTTTTCACGAAACTTGGCCTCAGCAACGAATTTACCATAGTGAATTCTCTTTGAAAGTATCTGCAAACAGAGCCAAATGAAAGTTTCTCAGTTTCAAGTCTCTCATTGAGCTCAATTGTAATAATCCATGCCAAGTTTTCTTGCCTGCAAACACATTGTGTCACAGAGAGCAGCTGAACCACAATTACCATCGTCCCCTGGCTTGACCAATCTGGGAAGAAGGTGTCTGAAATACATGTTCCACACCTTCTTGTTGATGTTTATCGAATCAGCGCAATGATGCAGAACCTAAATTATTCCCAACAGAGAAGAGAAAACTTAAGACAAGAGGTTCATCATCCTTCTACTTGGGTCGTATATAATAATTAGCATCACGCCATCAGAATCTTGAGTATTATCTTACTCATTAACTTTGTACTTTTATATGTATTTGTATATTTATCTGATAAAATGCAAAACCTTTCAAGGCTAAACTTCACCTGTGGGTATTGAATCGGGGGAAGAATTGGCTCCGGCAAGCATTGTGGGAAAAAGGGATGCTCATCGGGACTCTTGTACCTGTCCACCTAATTTCAAGCAATAAAATCAGCAAGAAAGAGAAGATTTCCGAAACCATAAACCAACTTTGAAAGCTAAGCTTGATTGATTTTTTCGACCTTAGCATGGAGCTGTTCAGTTTCTCTGACCATAAACTCGACCAAAGATCCTTGAAACCCTTCCATAGCAAAAGCATCTTCGTCATATGTATCAGCGTTGTAGCGATACTGAGCTCGCTCAAGAAGATTGAAGATAATGCTGTCCTCTTGACGAATCAAAGAGTGTCGTATGCTGTCAAGCGTCAAGCTCTCACTCTCATCGACTCGTAGCCCCCTTGAGTATCTGTTAAAGAAATAGCCAAATCACATCAATGCCTTATCTTAAGAGTACCCAAAAACTTGATCAACTTCAGCTAAAAACACTATGCATCAAGGAGTTGACAGATTGTATATATCATTTTACTACATAAGAAAAAGACAGGCAAAGATTTGTCACAACAAGATAATCTCAAAAACTTCTAGGCTCTGCTAAGAAAATGTGTTAATTCTCTGAAGGTCGAAAAGAAATTGATGATTAAAAGCTTCATCAAACCCACAATGTACACATCAATCTGCCAACACGTTACAAGTACACAACTTTATTTTACCGTACAGCTCAGGCAAGTACCATGTCTGCAACAAAACAGCAAATCAGCTTTAACCCATCAATAAACGATAGACACAAAACGAGCATAGCAAGACAAAGCAATTTTATTAATTTATTTTTATCTCCGGTAGAAACAAGAGTTATAATTCTGTAAATCAATGGCGGAAAAAGACAGACAACTGTAAATAAACCGAACACATGGCGTGCACAAATGCTCTTTCCCGTTGAACCAAATAAGAAACAAATTCATTTACCGGATCGGTGAAGCTGCGGAGAGTCGAAGGGAGAGAGACCCAGCTATTCCAAATCTCGATTTACAGGCTAAATGATACGAGACGGGTCTAGAAGAATTCGCGAGATTGAAGGTTTGCGAATCGTAAAACGTGGGTCTGAGTAGCTTAGCCTCCATCGGCGATAAACCTTGTCGGTGTTAAATCTGCAGGTGTGGTGACCGGAGAATCACAAGGAAAAAGAGAAGCAAAGACAATATATTTTCAGGAGAGGAAAGGGAGAAAAGGACAGAGGAGAGATTTTCGGTGTCTGGTTAGTAAAAGCAGTAAAGAGACGAAAATCAGAATACTTCTCCAATTCGTTACAAATTTTATCCGGACAAGGATGGAATCACGTGTTTAATGTTTCTTCGATTTTATTTTTCTTTTGTCACAAAAACTCTTTCTATCATTTTTTGCTAGGAAAAAAAAAGGATATGTGTTTTATACTTTTATAGGATGATTTCGAACCTTTTTAATCAGTTGAACTAAAACATGTAATTTTTTGTTTGCAAAAACTATGACATTTTCACACTATTGAATAGGATTATGATACTCTCACAGTTGGTAATTCATTTGCAAAATTTGCTTCTTTTTTTGTAACAAGGGATAAATTTTTTTGTTTATTGTATCATTATATGAGGTCGATTGACACATGTTGATGAATGTATAATATATGAAAAAACGAATGATAGGAGAAAAATTCCACTTTATGTTATCTTCAGCCAGCCAAAAATAGTTAAGAATTATCTTCAAAAAATTTAGAAGAGATTTTTTTTTAATCCATTCAACTAAAATGTTCATCTCAAAATTTCAGATATTAATCTACTTGTTTATTTTGACACTAAACCAAGATACATAATAAATAATAAAATATATTTATGTGCTATAAGTTCATTGTAGAACATGATAAATAAAACATTGCGAGGAGACCATATGATATTTTACCATATGATATTTTTTTTATAAAATGTATATATTGATAAAAACGACTGGAGGATGTGAAAAGGATCGTATTGGATTACGAGTGCTTAATTTGACGATAGAGAAAGTAAATCTGCTCGAAACGAATTCTGACACCATCATTTTTGTTAACTATCAAAGCCACTGGAAAATAATCAGATACTGCGTCAGCAGTTTCAATAGATTCGGTGAACCCTCTCGACCAAGACCTGATTATGTACTTGTGGTTTACAATAATATATAAGACGTACTCGAAATTTTTACCTCTTTACTTTACCTTTTCTCCACTTTTAGATGTAGCTAATCTTCTTTTTTGTTTATCATAATATAATTTTCCACTGAGAAAGAGTATGTCCTTGTGATTATTTTACAGAAGAGATCAAATATTAAAATCAATACGGTTTCTAACGTGTTAATAATGCATAAACACGTTACCGTTAATGTGAGTGTATGTATCAAGTATCAACTATCAACAAAAGAAAACATATAGTAATATAGTAATAAATTATTATATGTTTTATACTTTTGTTTGGCACCCACCACCGGTTTAAATAATTATAAACATTCCACGTTGACTTATATCGGTCGATGAATTTAAAAAATTTACATAGTAACAAATATAACAACTAAATTGAATAATATCTTCATGTCCATCAAAAATATGACACGTAGCTAATTCGAAAGAAATATGCTTCCTCGGAAGAATGGTATTTATGTAATAATCTCCACAATTAAGCCTTTTTTAAAGGAGATGTTTTGTTTAAGTAGAAGATCAACCAATCAGGGACGAACAGAAAAAACAAAACTACAAAAGCATCCAAAACCAATCCCAAAACCGTAATTATCTTCAAAGTTAGGGCCGTTTAAATCTGACTCCACCTTCAAACTGAAAACCTCAAAATCGCCTCGACAGTGGGACCCTTAGGCTTTTTTAACCTATAATCTATTGATGCTTCATTTAGAAATTAAGTAGTGTTATCATCAAACTTGTAAATTAGGGTAACTTTTTGGACTCATCAAGTGTCTTAGCTTTTAACATGTCCTTGAAATTCGTTTTTATGTTGGATTTTTTTTTTTGGTAACAAGTTTTTATGTTGATATTAATTATTAAGTTAATTTTTCCTTTAATCATCTTTTCTCATTCCAATTAAGAGAGAGAGTGACCAAGATTTCCAGTCTTGTTTTAGTGTGCATGAGACGAGAATAGAGACCACATGTATCACATATACTTTCTGATCATTTACGCTAATTATTATTTATTATTTAGATATATATGTAACTTTGTTCCAAATAAAGCAAAAGATTTTTTCAAACTCCATCTTCTGACAAAATCATATATCGTAAATTATGAATGGGCTTGCAACAGTTTGAATATAGTCTTTTAGCGCAAAAAAAAAAAAAAAGTTTGAATATAATGTTTCATATGCAAACCGGAGGACTTTTATTAAAATATGAGAAAATCAATGGAGGGTATACTTGTAGTTTGCTTTTTTTTTTCTCAAAATCTCATTCATTAAACTTCAAACCTCAAGTGTTTTTACAAAGCTTTCTTATCATTCTCAATAAAAGAATTTATCCAACAAGGCATAATAAAATACAGCTTAAGGACATTAATCATAAAAGAAGAAGTCTCATGAGCTATTCTATGAGCCACTCTATTACTATCTCTAGGGGAAAAGACAAGATGATGATCTTGAAACTTTGAGAGAAGAGCTTTAATGTCCTGCTGAAACATACTTAGACAAGGCCATAAATTTCCATCCTGTAAAGCATCCACTAGGCTTTTGGAATCAGTTTCAAAGATAACCTTTGAGTAATTAAGATTGCAAACCATAAGTATCACCCATCTAAGTGCTTCAGCCTCAGTTTCAAGAACCGATCCCATCTGGTGTAGAGTTTTTCCCCCTATCCAAACCGCATTTCCATGACAATCTCTTAAGGCCCAACCAATACCACACCGATCACCATTCAACCTCCATCAACATTACACTTAACCCAGTTTGGCGGTGGTGGAGTCCATTTTGGATGAAGTATGGTTCGGGCAGTTGTCTTTGGTCTCTCATCTTCAACCTCTAATCTTGAATGCCATTCTTCAGCATCATCCAAAGCCTTTTTCACTAGATCCTGAGCTCCAAGTTCCTTCCCATTAAAGAGAAGATCATTTCGATTTTTCCATAATCTCCACATGATCCATGGTACAACTTTCACACCATCAGTCGCTAACGGCTGTTCATTTGCAATGTTGAAAACTCTGTAAAAGTTGGTGAAAAAAGATTCAGACATCTCACCATTTCTTGTAGTTTGCTCAATGCACAGCACTGCTGGATTTTTAATATAGAGACTGTTTTTCAGATAAGGAAAAATCGAAATTTTAAGAAATAATTGAGAAATTTTAAATTTTGAAAAAATATGTTTTTGAAAATTGCACTGTTCAATATGTATTAAGACGTTTTAAAATTCTATTTTTAATAGATAAATTTTAAAATTAAAAATGATTTAACTTATGATTGGAGAAATCTTATTACGAGTCTCATACTGTCTAAGTTATATTCCATTTTTTTCTCATAGGTGTTCAAATTTTTTTTTTTGTTTGCTGGAATTTATCCAATAACGTGTAGTTCATTTGAGAAAAAGAGAAGATCATGTTGGTCAGTTATATTTCTCTTGCTGATATTTCTTATGATCATATCCCATCTTATAGATCACAAACGCCACGTCCACCTCTGATTTCAGACCCATATCGTGTCTCAACACAGTTTATAAGGTCATATCCAAGCTTTTGGCATCCAGACTTCAGAGCATTCTCACTCAGGTCATCTCTTCTTCTCAATCGGCTTTTATGCCTAGCAGAATTCTAGCTGAGAATGTATTGTTGGCCACCAAAATTGTCCATGGTTACAACAGGAGCAACATTGACTCAAGGGCAATGCTCAAAGTTGATTTAAAGAAAGCCTTCGACTCCCTGAGATGGGATTTTATTCTCTCGGCTCTGAAAGCTATTGGGATACCAGAAACCTTTGTAAACTGGATCAACCAGTGCATCTCCACTCCTTCTTTTACGGTTTCTGTTAACGGGTGCACTGGCGGCTACTTCTCCAGCTCGAAAGGTCTGAGACAAGGCGACCCGCTTTCTCCATATCTTTTTGTCCTTGCCATGGAAGTATTCTCCAAACTTCTCCACTCTCGCTTTCAGTCTGGTTATATTCACTACCACCCAAAAACAGAGGACCTAAACATCTCTCACTTAATGTTTGCGGACGACGTCATGATCTTCTTCGACGGTGGGAGTTCGTCTCTTCATGGAATAAGGGAAGCATTAGATGATTTTGCTTCTTGGTCAGGCTTGCGAATGAACAGGGAAAAAACTCAGCTGTTTCAAGCTGGCGTGAACCATACTGAATCAGTAGCTATGTCAAGCTTTGGATTCATGATCGGTACACTGCCAATCCGGTATTTAGGCCTCCCTCTAATGCACCGTAAACTAAGGATATCTGAGTACGAGCCTCTCCTTGAGAAAATAGCGGACAGGTTCAGAGCATGGGTAGTCAAATCCCTTTCTTTTGCGGGTAGAGCTCAGCTTATTGCTTCTGTGATTTCAGGAACAGTCAACTTCTGGATCTCTACCTTCATGCTACCCAAAGGATGTATCAGGAAAATTGAATCTCTTTGTGCAAGGTTTTTGTGGTCAGGTAATATTGACAGCGAAAGGGGTGCTAAAGTTGCTTGGCCTAAAGTGTGTTTGCCTAAATCAGAAGGAGGTTTGGGCCTCAGACGGTTCTCGGAGTGGAATAAAACACTATGCCTGCGTTTCATCTGGCTCCTTTGCTCGGGAAGTGATTCTCTATGGGCGGTGTGGCAACGTTATCATCACTTGAGAAACCAAAGTTTCTGGCAGGTTCAAGTTTCACCTGCAGACCCTTGGACGTGGAAATCCATTCTGGATTTGCGTCATCTCGCAAGAAACTTCTTGAGGAAAACTGTGAGGAATGGTCAGACCACGAGCTTCTGGCTAGATCATTGGACGCCGCTTGGTCCGCTTATTAACTACCTGGGAGACGACGGACCGCGTGATTTAAGAATACCCATCTTAGCGTCGGTTGCTGATGCCTGCACCTCTGCAGGGTGGAGAGTGCCATCCCCGAGATCGGAGCCTCAGCTAAATGTCCATATTCACCTCACAACGATCAGCTTACCGATGAGTTCTACTGATGAGGATGAGTGTTTCTGGTTAGCCAATGGAAAGCTTTGCAGGTCTTTCTCTTCTTCGATGACTTGGGAAGATCTTAGACCTCGCGAAGGAAAAAAACACTGGGCCAAGATTATTTGGTTCAAAGGCTGTATTCCAAGGCATGCTTTTAACATGTGGATTGCAAATCTGAATAGAATCCCGACCAAAGCCAGAATTGCTTCTTGGGGAGTCAACATCTCTCTGGACTGTTGCCTCTGTGCAAGGGATGTAGAAAACAGAGATCACCTCCTCCTCACTTGTCGGTTCAGTGCTGAGATTTGGAAGATGGTGCTCGCAAGACTGGATCGCAATCAACCGATGTTCTTCTCGTGGGCCGAGCTTCTCTCATGGATGAGTACGAGATCTCCCCAAGCTCCATCTACTCTCAGAAAGCTAACAACTCATGCAACGATATACCACATTTGGAGGCAAAGAAATAATGTCCTGCACAATCAGCAAACAATATCACCGATGGCCATCTTCAAGATAATTGATCGAATGGTTAAAAACATAATCACGGCGAGAAGACACAGGCGTGCTTTCTCGGACTTAATGGTGCTCTGGATCCGATGATCTGGATTCTATTGTACATGTTTCATAATTTTAAGTAGTGCTCTCCTTGTTTTTTATTCTTTTTTGCCAAGGAAGCTTTGTTTAGGTCTGCATGTTTGTATTCATTTCTCTTCATTTATAATGATATTAACATTCTTAGGAAAAAAAAAAAAATCTTATAGATGATCTAGTAGTTAGAAAGTTTTTAATTTTTATATAGTTGTATATAGTCGATGAATGGAAATCATTTTGTCAAGATCATGAGACCCTTTTTGAAAAAAAAAAAAAAGATGTTAAGACCATTGGTCAAAAAAAGAAGAAGAAAGAAAGAAAGACCATAAGGCCAAATGGTTACTTACTCTTCTGCAATATTTACTATGTTATGACTTATGATCAATATTGTAAAGCACGCAATAAAAACAAAGAATATAAAGTGGACCCTATTTCTTGTTTGATAGTATCATCAGATTCATCACTATTTTTTTTTCACGGCCGTTTCATCACTAGTTTAACACAATTCGTTGTAGTTTCCCAAGAACTTGTTAAGATCGAACATGTTTTCAAATTTCTGGATAAAATTTGAACATTAATGACATTATAATTATAATTATTTATTTTTGCAGTCAAAGCACATATAGAGAAAGATAATATTTCCTCAGTTAATGAATCTACGCGTGTTTAGCAAACAAATGGAGATTTGAACTCGCTTAAATTTAATAATAAAGCAAAATTTACAGGATTAAAGGGAAATTAATTAACTATAAACTGTGCGTTTTTGGCATTTCATGAAACAAAAAGGGGTTCTTGCAGGAAATATATTTGTCTTCTTTACTTGTAAAATGTATTTAAGCGAGGAAGTATCACTCTTTTTATTGACCAAATCATGGGCAATATCATGCTGCCAAAAACTTTTTTTTTTTGGTCTGAATGGTTATCATTAGACTAAGCGTAATTTCAGTTTACTCTTATAAATTTTAGGGTAAAAGTTAGTGTGTATTATCTCCATTTCATTATTAACTAGTACAAATTTGCCCAAATACCGAAAATGAGAATTAAAATATTCTACCTAATTGGTAGCTTTTTAGCTGAACCTAGAGTAACTTCAGATTTAGAGAAAAATGTTACTGTATTATAATCAACCAATCACAGTCTTAAAGTAAGCAAAAAAACGTAAATGTTTGTCTAAAGACTAAAGGTAAAAATGACTAAAAAATTATCATTTGATTGTGTACCTTTTTTCCATTTTGAAATTAACGTTCCAGGATATAACGAATTACACAATACTTCGTCTGTTCAAAATTATTTGATATTTAAGGTTTTTGCACACAGTTTAAAGATTCATTTAATTTTTATTTTTTTATACTAAAAATATTATTTATAATCCATTTAAATATCATTCAGCCAATAACAAAACAATTTGCAGAATATAAAAGGTCAAAAACTATAAAAATTCATTAAATTTTACATTGAAAAGTAAGAACATCAAATAATTCTGAATAAAAAAAACCTTCTAATTAAAACATCATATAATTCTGAACAAAGGGAATATTTTTTCTGATTAAAAAAAAATTCTGTCAACAAATTCGAATATCTAAATTTAGAATATAGGTGTTTGACACAATAGTATACCAACACAAAAACCATTAAATGTCTTAAGGACAAATGTTATTTCTCTATGTTTGAGTGTCTATACAATAATCGAAGCTTTTAAACTAATTATTTTAGGTATTTTTTAATATGAAATAAAGAAAGTAATTTTTCTGAAATATATATATATATATATGTATGTGAGTCATACCATCTAAAATGCCACCTCATCATCAATTTTCTAAATATATTAGTTTATAACTTATCTTAAATTTAGTTGGTTTTAAATGGTCAATTGCAACTCATTTATTATTCAAAATATTAACTATGAGATAATAAATAATAGAAATTTTAACATCAACTATGAGAAAAATCCACGACATACTATTTTTAATAAAATAAGAACAGTCCAATAAAATAGTAAACTAAACAAAACCACGCATTTACACAGACTTATTATACTCCAGCTTCCTATTTGATTAGCTGATACTATTTGACGTTTATTACGTCAAAGGTGAAACATCCGACCATCCTTGCTAGTTGCTATATAGAAAATAGGAATAAGAAAATACTATAATTTTTATTAAAAAAGAAGAAAAATACTGTTGTAAAGAGAATTTAATGCTGATCTAATGTTTACAGTAGCACGACTTAACAAACAATTATTTCTTAAGAAGATGTAACAGACGACGGAAAAAATAGAATTTAGATACAAAACTTTCCATTTATTTCAAAATTTAAGTAATTTTTTAACTTGTGATAACTCAACCCAAACAATAACTAATAAAGTACACTTACTATACGATCTAATGAAAATTAGGGAACCATTAAATTTAGAAATCAATTGCAATTCAAATTGAAAAACATGAGAAAAGCCACTTTAAATTCTCAGCGTAAGAAAAATACTGGACGTTATCGGACTTTCCGTCCTTTCCGGGTCTCTTCCTAAGTACTTCTATTTACTAAAATATGAGCTTTCTCTTTTGGAAAACAAAAGAGTTAGGCATGACAGATCCTCAAAAGGATTTTTATCCTTGGATCTTGTGGTATATTTGGAAAGCGAGGAACAACAAAATCTATAACGGAAAAGAAATTTCCCCAGTAGATACCTTGATCCACGCCAAGGTTGAAGCAGAAAGTTAGAAGATTGCAAACCAACCAGAAGAAGTAGAGGACGAACCAGATGAGGCGCCACTCACTACTTTGCTCCGGAGTCCTCTACCCGATGTCGAGAGGTTACCGCTGTGTCAGGTCGATGCTTCCTGGATAAGTAACGGCCTGGTAAGTGGGCTCGGATGGAGTCTAAAGGATGAGAGGGGTGGTGAGATCTTTGGCCTACAGGGCTGCCGCAGAAGCCTATCGGCCCTTCATGCCGAATTGGAGAGTCTGTTATGGGCTATGTCTTGTGTGATAGAGAGACAAATCTTATCCGTTCACTTTCAGACCGATTGTTCGGATTTGGTAAGCATGTATGAATCTCCATCGGATTGGCCATCTTTTTCATCAGAGCTGGAAGCCCTTCGTATTCTTCTGGAAAACTTTTTGGATTTCAACCTATCACATATCCCCAGAAGTTCAAATGTCCGAGCAGATAGTTTTGCAAAAGGAGCTCGAGCAAGAGACGAAATTTTCTCCCAAATCATTTATAACGAGCCAACTGAGGATGATTTTTGGACCAATTTCTTAACGGGCCAAATGTGATGTAATAATTGGGTCGTGGAAAAAAAAAAAATACTGGAAAAATGTAAAATGATGAGAAGCAAAAGAGCAAAAAGAAAAAAAAAAGAGACTAGATGTTGACAAATATATCGCGTCTCTGTTGTTAGAAGGGTCGTTCGTTTCATATAATTTTCTCCCTATTTTATTTATTTATTTTAATTTTTTACGGGATCTCTCTCTTTCTCTCACTTCACCGAACTTCTCTCTCTTCACTCTATATGGAAAGAGAAAACACCAAATCCGAGAAAATTAATAAAAAGAATATAAAAAGCTCTTATTCTTTTTTATTATTTGCTTTCTTCGTTTTAAGAATCAGAGAGAAAGAGAGAGAGAGACAGATAGAGAGATAGCTCTAGAGAGAGAGAGATTAGAGTTAGCCCAGGGAGATCGACGACGATGACGATCTGAGCTGCCTTTCCTTCTCCCATGGAGTTTCCATTATTTCGCACTTTGTCTCCTCTTCGTTTTTAACTATTCCTTAGATTTTCTCTCTCTCTCTCTGGGAAAAATTCGCTTTCTTATTTTTAGTATTATCTCCGCAAAACTTTTTTTTAATATAAATTTGGCTTTTATTTCTATATTGTTCATTTGTATAATTTTTGTCGCCGATTTGGGAGTGAGTGTTTTCAATAATCTACGCTGCTAAAGATTTTTCTCTGTTCAAAGAAGCGATTAGAGAGGATGTGGGTCTGAGGTAAAAGTCTCTACCTCCGATTTTTTTTCTTTATTTTCATTTTTTCCAAAGTGGTTTATATTATTTCTGCTACTTAAAAAAAAAAATTTTAATCTAGCTGATTTTCCATATCTGTCTCTGATCAAATATATTTCTAAGGATTTTTGTGTGATGTTGTTTTTTGATTGATGAATTAGGTTAGGCATTTTTGACTGAATCGATCTCAGCTTCTGTCCTCTGCATACTGTTCATCGTACGGTGAATTTTGTCAGATTCTTTTTTTCTCTCTTTTAACAAGTTTTTTATTTTTTTTATTTTATAGTTTTTCGGTTTGCGAGAAATCGATTTCTCAATGGATCATCGCTTTGATTCAGCTTCACCAGTAATGGCGACTTCTCTGTTTATTTTATTGTAGATTTCGTAGACTCCCATTTTCTCGGGAAAAAATTTCTACATTTGCCTTTTCTACTTGTTTATCTAATTTTTTCTTTAGAGCTAAATTTTAGCTTCGTTTTGTGCAGAATCTTACTCGGATCATTCATTTATTGAGCTTGATAAGTCAGATATGATAATCGTCGGTGACTTTCTGGCATTGTAAATCTCTCGCTAAAACTTCGTAGATTGTTTTTTTTTTTGTGAGGAATGGGAGAAATGGTTCACTGTGAAAGCTTCTTGCCCTCGATGAGGGATCACAGTGAAGATTCAAACAGTTGTAGCTGGTCAATGTACTGTGGAGATAAGAATTTGCCATATGGGCAATATCAGAATGGTTTCTCGGTGAGAGCTGCAGCGGAATCTTACTCTGGATACGAGAGAGATCTCCTGAAACAAACAATGCTTGAGCACGAGGCCGTATTTAAGAACCAGGTATCTAATGGGTTTCATCTTTTGCTCACAAATGGGTTTGCTTTATGTGTTTTACCATTGACCTTTTTCTTGTTTGAGTTTATGTGTAGGTTTATGAGCTTCATCGTTTGTATAGAACACAGAAGAGCTTGATGGATGAAGTAAAGGGAAAGAACTTTGTTGACCATATGAACCAGTCTGAACGTACACCGGAAAGTGCAATTAAACGTGACCTGCCTGGATTTCTCTTGGGAAATGGTGAAGGAAGCAGCTCTCAAGCTTGCAATGTTCCTATGCAAAATGGGATTAGTTCAAAGGGCGAGGAGGTGGTAGAGGTTAGACCTGTGAAGGTCAGGAGAAAAATGATTGATCTTCAGCTCCCAGCAGACGAGTATCTCGATACGGATTGTGAAAACACGAGTTGTCCACCCTACGAGCAGTCAAAAGCAGGAAATGATGTTGGTGAAAAGCTGTTCCTTGAAAGAGGCAAAGCTTCTTCTGGATCTTCTTTGGTTATGAAGAACTCAAATGGTTTAACTGACTTGAACGAGCCAGTCCAATGCCAACAATCAGTACCTGTCCCTTCTTTCAGGGATATGTATTCTCTTCATGGAAGAAACGTTGCACATGTGCAAGGCCAGTGTACAAGTCAAAATGGATGGATGGTTCTAGAAGCAGGTGAGAATTTTCATCATGTGGCGAGTCACATGTTCTTCACTTTCATTTGGTTTCTCTAACTTTTGTTTTTGCGTCCTTCTGCTCCATTTAGTTTCATCTCCGTGATACAGTAGCTTCTAATGTGTAGCAATTTTTGCTTATCTTCTGATGTTTTTCTGTGGCTGCGTGCTTACAGGGCACGGAAAAAGCACTTCAAGGGACAAGTTATGTCTGCCTTCCCATTCGGTACAAGTTCTTTCTAACAATGCATTTCAACCTCTGGGCTATCCTTCAACTGATCAGAGGAAGTTATCGGGCGAATGGGAAGCTCGTCAAAGGAATCCTGAAGTTTCATATGATAGCTATGTGGAATCAAGCGTGGCATCTAATGCTCCAAGCTTGTATCATGGCTACCGCCCTGAAACTGCCAGACCCTGGAGCCATTGGATTTCATCATGGGAGAACCAAAGCAGCAGCTCAGTTCAGAAATCCTTGCCACTTCAAACGAATCCATTCTTGAAATTTAATACACAAGCAAGAGCAGATTCCAGTTCTGAGATGAGAAGCGGGCTTTACCAAGGACTCTCTTCAGGGTCGAAGGAATCTGCCTTTAATTTTCCATCCGGAAAATTTAACCATCTTAACAACGGCACAAAAGGAGCTGTTACAAATGGTTCTTTGAGTGAGGCTTTGAAGCATGGGAACCTTCAAAGACCAAAAATGCAGGACTGCTCTGCTGGGTTGCCCTGGATAAAACCTAAGCCCCCTAACAAAAATGGACTAATCAATGGTGGTTTTGATTTGAATGCTTCTGCAAATCAATTCATGGATGGAAGTGAAGCGGGTGACGGCTCGAATAATCTATCTCCTCACAACGGTTTGAGGTCTTTTTCATGTTCTAATGATGCCAACTTGGGACAGGTTGAAATGGCCGGTTCACAAAGTAATAGAAAGATGCTTGGATTCTCAATCTCTCAGAAGCATTCTAATTACGAGGAGCACCCTTCCCTTATCCCTTCTTCTGTGTGTATCACTGATCAACGCAAGGAAGTAAGCACATTCGTGAAGAGAAACCTCGATATCAACTTGCCATGTGAAGCCTCGGTTTATGAAGCCGTCGTTCTGGATAAGAAAGAAGATAGAAAAGCTGCCACGGACAGGCACTACATTGATTTGAATTTATGTGCTAGCGAGGGTGAAGATTCCGGCGTGTGTTCTAATCCAAGAGTGGAAACAAAAGCAACTACGTTGATAGATCTGGAAGCTCCCCCGACTATTGAGAGTGAAGAAGAAGGTCAGGAATTGGCAGAGAAAGTTGAAGCTGGAGACTCTGTGGATGAACTCATCAAGTCAGCAGCAGAAGCTATAGTCACAATCTCACTATCTCACCACTGCAGTAATATTGATGAAGCTGCTTCGTCTTCGACCGATGCAGTTGCTAAGGACCCGCTCTCTTGGTTTGTGAACACATTAGCCTCTTGGGGCAATGATTTAGAGAAGAAGCTTGATACTTGTTTAGAAGCCAAAGACTGTGAAGGCGTCTGCCGTGAAGAATGTTCCTCAGGGGAGTTTGATTACTTCGAGGCAATGACTCTGAACTTACCCCAGACCAAAGAAGAAGACTACATGCCAACGCCTTTAGTCCCGGAGTATCTGAATTTCGATGGGACGGAATCTATGGGCATCACAGCTAACCGACCAAGAAGAGGACAAGCAAGAAGAGGAAGACCAAGGCGAGATTTCCAAAGGGATATTCTCCCTGGGCTTGCTTCTCTGTCTAGGCTTGAAGTAACTGAAGATCTTCAAATGTTTGGGGGACTTGTGAAAGCCACAGGCTACAATTGGAACTCAGGAGTGGCCCGAAGAAGCTCGAACCGGGGTGGGTCTAGTCGAGGAAGGAAACGACTGGTCAGCAACATTGACAGAGCTCCGGTTTGCTCGTCTTTCGAGCAGCCAATAAATGGAAACAGTGTACAAATGGTGGGACTGGAAGATAGGAGCCTTACGGGATGGGGGAACGCAACAAGAAGACCAAGGCGACAAAGATGCCCTGCAGGTACTCCCCCAACAGTGATCTTAACATAAAGTTTTTCGTAAAGAAATCCGTTTTTCACGATTTGAGGAACATTATAGAGGGAAACAAAAAACTAGAGAAAGTAATGTGGACAAAACAGATCGATGTTTTATTATTCTCAATCACTCCATGTTTGTGGGTGTTGGTTGCCCTTTTGTATATCTTGTCCTCTCTAAAGAAGGGCCAAAGAAAAGAGAAAAACATGATTGTTTTTATATTAGCCTGGTTGGTTATTACAAAATCTGCGTCCCTGTTTTCAATTGCCTCACAAGAATATATATTCCTACATGTAGAGCTCTAACTAACCAATGCTGTTAAGAATCTATGATATGTTCTTCACACATTAATCTGTAAATAATCTACTTCAAGCGTTAGATTCTGGAGATTCCCAAGAAACCTGTAGATTTCCTCTGTTTCGAAACAGGATTCTTCCCCAGCTCCGAATCTGAAAACTTTTTGATCGATCTCGATCACGCTGTACCCAGGAACTTTCTTGAGACTCGAACTCTTCATAGCCGATCTCATTCTCCTAAATTCTTCCCATTCGCCTTCTTCAGCATATATATTGGACAAGAGAGTATAATATCCTGTATCGTCAGTAACAATATCCGAAAGATCTTCTTTTATGGCTTTGACCATATCCATTCTTTGATGGATTCTGCAACCATTGACCAGAGAACCCCAAACGCTAGCATCAGCTAGAAAAGGCATCTCTTTGATGGTTCTATATGCTTCTTTGAGATCACCAGAACGGCTCAAAAGGTCGATGAAACAGGCGAAATGCTCTGAGTTTGGTAAGACGCCAAAACTTTTCATCAAGTTAAAGTAGAATTTACCTTCTTCGACAGAACCAGAGTGACCACAAGCAGAGAGAATGTTCATGAAGACAACTTCATTAGGTTTCATTCCTGATTCCACCATTTGATTGAATGTAGATATGGCGGATCCTATCCTTCCGTGCATTCCATAGGCGTTGATCATACTACTCCACGACACAATGCTCTTACTCGAAATGGCCTTGAAGACAGTTTCAGCTGAGTTGAGATCTCCACATTTTGCATACATGTCGATTAGAGCTGTATCAGTGTAAAGATCGTTTAAACCGCAAAGAATGAGCTTGTGGTGAACCCATTTCCCTTTCTCCAGTGAACCTATGCTTGAGCACGCTTGGATAACCGCCAAAAATGTAACTTCGTTCATCTCGAGAGAGTTACAATACATATAGTCAAAGAGGTTAATCGCCTCTAAGGAGTTACCATTCTGAGCAAACCCACAGAGCATTGAGTTCCATGTCACGACGCTCCTATGCTTGATTTGATCAAACACCACACACGCTAAATCCACAAGCCCGCTCTTAGAGTACATGTCGATCATCGAGTTTTGCACAAACTCGTCTGAAACATCTGTCCTTATAACATGTCCGTGAATCTGTTTCCCTAGCCGGACTGCATTCTCGCATGCTGAGATTGAGCTCGCCAAAGTGAATGTGTCAGGTATTATTCGCCGTGTCACCATCTGTCTAAACAAGCACAATGCCTCAATTTTCATACCTTTATGTACATATAGAGATATAAGAGAGTTCCATGACACAATGTTTCCATCAGCAACTACACGTAGAACCGTCTCAGAGTCGCTTAGTCTTCCGGATTCAGCGTACAGCTCGACTAAGGCCGGAGAAAGGGACTCGTACTTCGGATCCATCTCTCGTCTAACTGCAAAACCATGGACTGACTTGCCTTCTCTAATTAACCCTACCAATCCACAAGAGCTTAAAACGCTATAAAGGGTAACCAAATTCGGCTCCATTCCAGACTTCAACATCACACTGAAACTTCTCAGTGCCTTTTCAAAGAACCCGCCACGATTGTAACTAGAGATCATAGCAGTCCACGAAACAGCATTCTTCTTAACCATCTTTTCAAAGATTCTCTCCGAGCTAAACAAGTCACCGCACTTACTATACATTGTAAGCAGAGAATTGCAGAGTGTTTCATCGAAATCAAACATTCTCCTCGTTATATGGCCATGGACTGACTTGGCGATCCTCAAGCATCCAAGCTCAGCACATCCTTCGACCACGCTGATCATCGTCACAGCATCAGGCTCGACACCATCATCCACCATGCACTTAAATATCCTCAATGCTTCCACCACCTCACCATTCTCTAAACAGCTAGAAACAAGAGTACTCCAAGCCACAAGGTCTCTCACAGGCATTCCGTCGAACACCTTCTCCGCATCACTTAAATTCCCCGTTTGGCCATACATACACAACAGAGACGTCTCTATCACAGCGTCATCGTCTACACCGCTCTTGATAATCCTCCCGTGGACTTTCTTACCAACACCCAGATGATCCCTCGAGCCAGCACAAGCCCTCAAAACAGATGGAAACACGAACTTGCTGATCTGGGTCTTCTCTGAAACCAACCTGTGGTAGAGATCAATGGCCGTGTCGAGTAAGTGGGACCAGACGTTGCATTTGATGAGAACGCCGTACATGAAGGAATCAGGGTAAGGAAAGGCTTCGAAGACGAGCCTCGACGAGTCAGGAGAACCCATGAAAGCGTAGGATTCGATGAGCTTCGTCACAGGAAGAGGGTCACTACGGAGACGGCCGGTGACGAGGAGGTGAGCATGGAGCTGGGTTACTGATCGTAAGTTCGAGCATGATCTAAACAATGGCATGTACTGCGTCATCTTCAGCTGATCAAGAACATTAACAGTAGAGAGAGAGAGAGAAAAAGAAGAAATTTTTGGCTATAAACTATTAACAAGATTCAAACATAGATTACATTAAAAGCTAAGAGAAGGTTTTTATTTTGCTCCCAGGATCAACACGAAAGGGTAGCTAAAATCTGAGACAAACATGAAAGAATTAAACAATTTTTGCACAAAAAAAACAGCAACACATACAAATTGACTGGATAAAGTAACTGTCTTTGATTTGTTCATGGCCGTTGATAGACGTATTTTGTTCTTGGGTCAACGATTAGACCTTTTCCTCCATTAACTTCAAGATCATGCCTGTCAATTTTCACACAACACTCAGTAATTTACAAACAAATCCAGCAACTGAAGAACACTTCAGAGAGTGAAAAGAGAAGTAGTAAACTCAACTGGAAAACAAAGTCTGGGATTGTCAGTTGCTCACGAGGAACATATTTGAACAGCTGCAGAAGTCGGTCAGCATATACAACTTTCTTCCAAACCTTTATTGGGTGCAACAAGGAAAGAAAAGACGACGCAAATTAGACTTCTTTAGAATGGTTTAAGTCTTGGGGGAAAAGGTTGGGACTTTAAGGACTTTACCACATTATCCACAAACAATTGCATAGCTAAGACTGTAGCCTTCAAGTGGAAAGTTGGATGAAGAACATAGATGGCCTGGACGAAGCAGAGATAATCAAGATTAGGACAAGGAGGAACTTTCCTCTCCAAGAAGACTGAGTAGGTGTGATTTCATACCTGAAGGTTACGCTGGTGTTTGCGACCAAGTATCTGTTGTAATCTTTTCATCCATCCCAAATCTGGTTGGCTGTTTATGCACAAGGCGAAATCGAACCAGTAAAAGCAAAAAATGTTATTGCAGTTTATAAAGAAAAAAAGTGTCTTTTATTTTCCACTAAACAAGAGTAAGAATCCACTTACACTTGTAAAGATGCTGCAGAATGGAAATAGACAATCGAGTAAGGCTTTTGTATCAAAGGTTCAAATTCCTGTAAATTTGTACCAGATCAAGTCAAAGAGCATCAATACAAGGTAGTATTTAAAAGACAGAACTGGTGTATTACAGTGAGTTGGAGAATCATCAGGACGTATGATTGTGTACTAACCTTTATAACATAAAGCACAAAACGCTCCAGATCAAGACATCGCAGCAAAAAGTGAGCTCCTACAACAACCATTACAGGATGACCCTCGGTGTCAACACCACCACGGTACCTGAAGAAAGAAAACAGAACGGGCTTTATTAATGTCCGTGTAGTCATTAGTCATGTGGCTCTCAAGAGGCAAAGGCTGAGAGAGAAAGAAATCAAGGACATAGAAGTCATACACAATTTTCATCTCTGCAATTTCCGCAAGGTTGAGAGAATTGGCTTTTGCTAGGTATCGCGAATGAAGCGAGTATTCCTCTGCAGCAGAGAGAGGGGGTCCCCCCAGATCACCAAATCCTAACAATTTAACAAAATTGAATCCACTCTGTGCTTGTGCAGTCTTCTCCCATTGTTCTTTGCGCCTTTCATCTGGATCTTTAATCAAAGACATGAAGGCGGGATCCAAATATGAATCAAGATGATTCGAGTTCCTGAAATCATATAGGTATCAACAAAGTGCAAAGAGAGGGGGACAATAAACTGAAAAAACTGAAGCAGTCAGAGTTCACCAACCTTCGTACCAAAGCAAGATCAGTGGCAGGTCGCTCGACCATGGCTGGAAAAGATCTCGCTGGAGGTTTATTTGGCAATGCCTGTATTCTGATTTTACGTTCGTCTATAACCGTCTCACCATTTTCATCCCCCACATCAGCAGGGAGCTTTGAGATGGCAACCTCTTCCTCGTGCTCGTCTCGAGGAAAGTAAAGTGGAAGTAATCTATATTAAGAGAGTCAAACTTTTAGCAATGATCGACATTGCTTCTGCATCACATAACTATAAGCAATTAAGGTATGTGCGACTTATATTCAGTTAGAAACGGTTACATGCTTTAGTCTTTATGTGAATAATTCTGAAAGCTACGGTTAACAATAAGTGGGCAAATAGACTATTGGGATAACACAAAATAGGTACAGGTTCTCACAAACCAGCTGCATCGAATACAAGATACCTTTTGTAAATCTCCGTATCAGAGGATGTGGTGGTACAAAAAACGACAGCATTAATTTTATCTTTTTGCTTCTCCAGAAAGCGGCGTACAGTTCCTGAAAACCACACAACAACATGAGTTGGAAACAAGAAAGTCATTTGTCGAAAGCAAAGAGACCGTTCAAGAAATCCTACTTATGGCAACATGAGCAGCTGGTTCTCGCGGATAATTTTTGGCCTCTGTGTATATACAGCCCATAGCGATACTGCAATATTGTATGTAAACCAAAAGTAAGTTCTTGAAATTCACACCAACAACAGAACTCAAGAATCTGATTGTTGCAAAGAAAAAGAAACTGAAGAATTTCTTTACACACACCTTTGAAGCCCATTGTCTATAAGAAGCTCCAGACAAGATCTATAGCAGTGACTTAGAGCATTCTCAGCTGCGGTATGATACTTTACTGCATACTTGGGTCCTACTGTATGGATAACCCTCCTGAACAAGAAACCAAAAATCATTTCTTGGAGTTGCGGATTAAGAGATTGACAAACCTATTCCACAGTCAAAACGGAATGTTTGCTATTTAAGAGATAACATGCCTATCCACCTTAATTTTGAAAAGTCCCCAGATATCACAAGACGTAGCACTCACATAGCATGAAAAAACTGTACACAGTCAAAAATGGAGCAGCTCTAGCATAGGGACAAGGATAATTGACAAACATAGCAGAGAGTGAACTCAAGGAGTACAATTTCATTCTTTTTGAGCCCTCTTAAGTAAACAATGAATCTTAGACTGTCTTTTACATCACCAATTACCTCGCTGGTAGATCATAAGCATTTGTTACTTTCGCCATCCCTGTCCGGCATCCACCCTGCCAAGAAAGAAGGAATAAGCGAGAGAATCCTATTCACCCAACCATCTAATATAATCCCTTTTTCAATAAAAAAAAGTCTCTAAAAACTATAAGCAATAGTGAAGGTAAGTGTTTATACCAGTGTAGCACATTGTTCTGCAAGGCCAGGTCCAGCAGCAACATGTAAACCAGGACTGCTATGCGCCTCATCCAAGTTCTGTCCTCCAATACCAAGAAAAATCAACCAAATCAAAAGACAGCACACGAAGAGCAACTTACTTACTCGCAAGCAGATATAACTCCCTGACACCAGCTTACCTCATTTGTCGAATTCACAACAGCATCAACCTCAAGGTTCCACGGTTCCCCTCTCCAGAGGTATATCTTGGAGTTAATCTCGTGATCAACAGGAAACTTAGACACCATCCCATTGCCGCTGCTTCCTGCTTCAGAAGAAGAAGCCAAAGGGTTTGCGTAGCGTGGATTAGAATGTGCTTGATCTCCTGTTTCACCCTCCAGAGATGACCTCTGCTCAACATCACTCCATCTTGGAACTTGATCCAAGGTCACTACGTAATCGCCACTCTCTGTTGGAGTGCCACCACGAGTGGTTGTGGCCGTGGGAACGGCCTGATACATCATTGCAGATCAAACCAGAACCACCTTCTCCCCCTCCTCCTCGAAAAGAGGGATTTTTTCTTGGGAAATTCAAGTATTGTAGCAGAAGATAGTGCCAAGTCTTTGTATGTTCCTGCCAAAAGCTTATTCACTGGAAATGGGAGACAAAAGAAAGTAACAAGAACGGTCATTTACATGAAGAAAAAAAAACAGAAATTCAGTCAACAAGTTATGAAATTCCCAACTACCATTAACGAATCATCAAAATTAGACAACTATTGCATTACAAAAAACCTAATAATTCCAAATCAATCATAGTCAAAAATATGAAATCAATCACATCCCGAGAAAACGAAACTGCCAGAAAGTGTACAACAACAACATCAGAAGAAAAGACGAAAACTTCAAATATTGAGAAACAGCGAGATGACGGAAATTAGAATCCAAATCGTTGAGATTTTCAGGAAAATCGAACAGAAGAAATAAAGAGAAGACACGAGAAGTCGTCGATTCAAAGCACGAGCCTTTACCTGAAATTCGATCACAAAACAATTCCCAAATCTGAAATTCTACTTCATGTGCCAACGAAGGGAAGCTTAGAGAGAGAACATTTTTCTACAACTGTGATGATAGATGGATCGATGAGGTAGCCAAAACATCAAACAGCTCCTCAGACAATAAAATCAGAGAGAGAAAATTACAAAAATACAAAATTGGGTTTGTACTTTGTCGTTTAAGCGAATATACCTCAGCCCAAACCCTCTGACTCATTCAGAAGGTGTTGACAGTCAACCGCGCGAAAAAAAAAACAAAATTTCCCAAGTCAGAGCCGTTAAAACCGTCGGTTCTGCAAAATTGATAATTTAACCGTCACGGAGTTGTCATTGGCACGTGCACATTGGTCAATACTCGTTTGGCTAGTTAATTCATCTACCAACTAAGCGACGTCGTTTTGGGTTTTTTTTTTGGCCATTAAAAACAACAACAAAAAAACAAAAAAAGCATCACGGCGGATCAACGAGGGAGAGAGAGAGAGAGAGGCTTTCGTTTTCTTCTTCTTCTTCCTCTTCTTCTCTTCCCCGTCTCGATCTCCGCTTCGAAGAATCATTGTACCCATTATTGAAGGTTTTAACGGTAAGTAAATCTCAATCGCCGTGATTTTTCATTCTGCTACGGAACCTTTTTACACCTAGGTTGCTCTTTTGATCAATTTCGTCTTCTGCATCTAAATGTGAATTTATGAGTATATTGAAGGTCGAAATTAGGATAATTAAAGAATTTGTTTTTTATTGGCATTTACCCTGTATCGTACATTGAGCTTTCAAAGGCAAATACGTTGTTCTTTTTTGTTCGCCATTCTTCTGATCTGAATCATGAACATGTCCCCAATAGTTTTTAGAATTCAGGTACCTTCATTTCTTCTAATGTCACAAGTTTATGCTTATCTGTTCAATTATATTCTGAAAAGGTGGTCTTTTTGTGTGAACTTTCTCATATATATTGATTGCTAACATAACAATGGATTCCAGGTTTGTAAAACTGATGGCTTGTTGTCAAAGAAGCTCTTTTAAATCTGGAACTGGAAGGGTTACTGGTTAATGTTGGTACAGTGGCTCAGGGTTTATAAACTGTGGTGACCATTCTCAGGCTAAGTTTGATCAAATGTGGAGCTTTGCATCGAATGTCATTGGAAGTATCGGGAAGAAGTTCCCTAAAGATCAAGCTCAAGCCTCTTCACATTGCTCAGACGACGAGGTTTCAAATGTTAGCAGGGATGATGAAGGACTAGAATGCCCTATATGTTGGGAATCTTTCAACATCGTCGAGAATGTTCCTTATGTCTTATGGTGCGGTCATACTCTTTGCCAGAACTGTGTGTTTGGTCTCCAATCTGCTGTTTTAAGACTCTCAAGCCAAGATATCAGGATCCCATTCTTCATCTCTTGCCCATGGTGTCAGTTGCTTTCGTTCAGGATTGTATACAACGGTAATCTGAAGTTCCCTCGGAAGAATTTCTTCCTTCTCTGGATGGTTGAGAGTCTGAATGGTGACAGGACAAGCCATGGTTCATTGGTCAGTGATAACCAGCAATCGGTTTTGTCTCCCAGGTGTAGTATGTCACTGGGAAACCACTGCTGCAACAGCAATCTGATTGTAAGGCGTAACCAGGCTCCACAACTTTTGTCACATCATGATGATGATGACCACCATAGTAGCCAACCAAGCAGACAACACTTTTCTTTTCATAAGTCTCTTGATTTCTTCATCTCCTTCACCTCCAAGCTTCCGTTTGTGATAATTTTCCTACTGATCGTATTCTTTGCTATACCGAGTAGCCTCATCATTCTTGCCCTTTACTTCCTCCTCACAGTTCTTCTAGCAATTCCATCTGGTATGGTACTATATTTTGCGTACCCTATTCTGGAAAGGTTGGTTAATGAAATAACATCGTGAGAATGATACTGAGCGCATAAAGTTTGAAGCTTTCATGATATGTGGTAGTTTTGCACCTTTTTAAAATATTGTTTATTGCAAGATTGGGCATTGTATTTGTGATTTTGAGTTCTAGTACTGTTGTGCAACTTTCTGAAGTTTTGGTTTGCAGATTTGTTACGTAATTGATCATGTGTGTTATCTATCTAATACTCTAGAAATAAACCTTAATTGTGTCTGGATTTAACATGTTGGACAATAATTATCAGCAGTTAAGTATGTTCAGCGTTACATTTCCTGCAACTTGCAGAATTTCAGAGGCATGTAGTAGAGGGACTCCGTCCAGTTGTTCTCATGAGGTTTGCTTTCTCCTTAACCTTCAACTCTTCCTTTACTCGACTCTCATATGCATGTGCTCTTGCACTCGCGACAATCATCTCTATGCTTTCATTTTCGTCCCTGAACCTCTGCATCGCCTTCATCTTTGTCTTCTCTACACCTCTCTGCATACTCATCACATCGAATTACTCTTAGTTATTACGGAAAGAATCAGTTTTTGGAACCGTGGAAAAGAGAAAAAAGGAAGAGGCACCTCTGTTCGATGAAGCTTTCTCTTTGCCTTTTTCTTCCTCTTGTCTTCCCATAACACAATCTTCTCACTTAGCTTCTCGTACCTGCAAATCACAAACCCATTTTAGGTGCCTTGGAAGCAAATTGTATCTAAACAGAACAACCGAGAAAGAAAACATTAACACACACTTCTTTCTCGTTTTGCCTATCTCTGTTTCCTTCCATAGATCCAACGCAGGTCCCATAGGTGCAGGTTCGCTGCTCCTGGTTAAATTCATAACACAATAGTTTGTCAGAATCGAATCTTAACGTTTGGATAGTGCCATAAACTAATATATATAGAGTATAACGTTACCTTCAGAAATTGTCTAAATCAGAGCACGGTTATTAAACTCTACGAAAAAACAGACATATATATATATATATAGATATATCTCGCATTAGGAGGCAAGGAAGGTGTAGTTTGTGAAAGGCTGCTTAAGCGATACCTTTCCTTTGAATGAAGCCATAAATTGAGGTCTCGCAAAGGGTTTCTAAAAAACAATTCTCTTTTAATTAGCAAGTCCAATTCAAAAGAGATTATCCACTTTAATAGATTCCTTGTTCCAGAAGAGAAGTTCCCTCTTATGTAACCCTTTTCTTCTTTCTCTGCTTTAAGTGAGATTTGTTTAGCAATTCATGTTAGTTTATGGGATTTTCCTACGTAACATTTCAAATTAATTTTCTTTATTATAAGAACACCATAACCAAACCTAACACAGAGCCAACACTAGCAAAGCCTTCTTCAAGCACAAGCCGGAGCGTTGAAGTCTTTAAGAGAGACAAATTAAACACTGTGGAATCTTGCTTAATATGTATCGGCGTCGATGAGTCTACCAACTTAGGCTACTTGGCTCAAGAAAAACGGATCTTGAATCTTGTCGATCAGCGTCTTGTCAACACATGCGCCTAAGTTATAGATATGGTGCGTGAGTCCATCAACGACGTCACGACCAGAGTGAAGAAGAAACTCATTGAACCATTTCTCATCGTAGAAACCAGCTGGTCCTAAAACCTTAGGCTGAGTGGTCTCATTCGGATACAGCTTCTGCACCACTCTCTTCAGCTTCTTCATGTCTTGTGCGTATTGTTTCACTTCCACTCTCGCCCGATACTCCACATGAGCAAAGCTCGTTTCATCAGATCGTATGAGTTCATCGCGTTCTATTCTCCAATCCAGAGTCCTTCCTCTGTTTTCCATTTCTTCCTACCGAACAGAGCATTTAGACCAAACGTGACTTTACCTCTGTGTATAAAAGATTCGGCCGAGGAGGAAGGTTTATTTTATAGACCATCAGAGTCAGTTACGGCACAATACTACTAATTGAGAAGGCCCATAAACATCATAAAAGCCCATCCTTGTTTATATACAAAGCAATCGGAGACTTTAGAGAGAGATACAGCTCTCAAATTAATGGAACTCATGTGTTTCTCTTGATCATAAACCTCTTGTCTCAATCACACCGATGGATATGGATGCAGTAAAAACAAGGAAGTAAAAAGAGCAAGATCCTTGGAAAATAATATGTATTTCCAAGCTTGTTTCTGCCTTATTTCCATCATAAATCGATAAGCCCAAAAACAAGCATGGAAATAGCAAATATAGTTTTGCTTCATAATATATAGTAGTGCGCAGTACAAAAAGAAACATCAAGAAAATAACTAAAAAAGAAAGAGAAAGATTTACAAGAAAACTGAGAAGAAAATCTCGACGGAACCCTAGCTTGCTCTGTTTCTTCACCCAAAGCAATGTCGTTTTTCTTCTCTATACAGTATAAAATTGGCCGTGACTCACAAGAAAGGGTTTTTAATTTTCAGTTGTGAAGTGGGTTTGGGCCGGAGGGGACGAGTCTTTTGTCGACGCCGTACCTTTGGTCGATCTCTGGAGGAGGAGGCGGAGGAGAGAAAAGCGGTTGTCGACTGCTTCTATGGATTCTTTCGAGCTCAATGCACATAGAGCGTGCGTAAGGACGTGAGAAAGATTCGCATGAACGGTGAGGATAAGAGTAGTACGCGTGTTGAACCCTCTTGTTGGCTCGGCGGGTTTGATTACTCCACTTTCCTGCTGTTGTTTCGGTCGTTAAAAGGAAGAAGACGATGAGGAAAAGGATGATATTGATCGGACGGTTGCGGTTAATCGGCATTGTTGCCGATCAAGAGAGAGAGAGAGAACTCTGAGATTGGCTTGCGTTGTCCAATAGAGGAAGAGAGAAAGAGAGATTCTTGGAGAAAGAAAGTTGAGAGAGAGAGAGAGAGAGAGAGAGGGGGAGATATTGGTGAATTGCGAAACTGAGAGTTTAATGCTGCATCAGAGGATGTGTATGATTATGATAAAATTTTGAGGTAAAAATGTTAAAAGATGGGTCTTTATATACTTTTATATTTACGTTTTCCAATCCATAAATGTCAATCCGTGACCTTGTACATTACGAACCATAAATTTTACTTTTCTGTATTTTGATTTGTTCAATATATTAAAATAAGCTTAATTGGTTAGAATAACAATGTTCAATATATGTCGTCTTGAATAACAAAATCTGTGTATTAGTATCACTAAGTTTATTGCAAAAAAAAAAAAAAAAAAATTATAGTCTGAGTTATTGCAATTAATGAAAAAGATTTGAGTTTCTTATACAAGCGAAGGTTCTCTTTTTCTCAATCTCACACAGGAAAGTAAAAAGTATAAATGAGGGACAAATATTTTATATGCATATAGTAAAATGTAATAAATAAACATAGATTGTCTTAGCCAAAAGGCCCCAAAAAAAATGTTTGTATGATTACTTTTTTACAGTACTAGATATGTAAAATTTCAAAAATTTAAAGCCAAGAAATAGACAAGAAGTTGAATGGTAGCTTATATTGGGTGGTTTCGTGGACCTCAAGCTTATCCTCAGTGTTGTGCAGAATCTCTTCTTTTCTTCCTTCAGTTAAGAGCTCTGTTTTGCCTCCACATTGTTTGTTAAATTTACTTACAACACTGATTATATAACACTAGTCATGATCTACAATTCAAACTTGAGAAGTCAGCAAGGAAGAATGTTGCACAGCCATGACCCTTGTTTTGATTAGACATCTCTACTCGGTGTCCAAATCTTTAAACAATATCAGATGTTGTCCAACCAAGAACAAGAAGAACAAAATTAAACCCTTAAACAGTGTGTGTCACTAAACTCTAATTTATGCAATGTGTCTCTCTGGAGGAGTTTTGCCAGACCCAAAATATATACTCTCTCTCTGTTCTTTGCGGTTTCTTTTTTCGGATTACTTATGTGCCAAAGAGGAACTTATGGATCACAGATCAAATATCTCAAAAAAATCATAGTGCAGGATCGAGAAGGAGGAGGAAAATGAGTCACGAGTGATCTTAGATCCTGCGAAATATCTTATGTCCTTTTTGGCTTTCACAGCTTAGAGCCTTAGACTCCTTAGAGAACATTTCAAAAAGACTGCTTGGAAGCTTTCTTGACTAGCAAGATGCAAGAATCATAAAGCAAAGTGTTCAAAATCAATCCAACTTGACTCTAACGCTGTTTGTGCACAGCCAAACTCACAAGGAATCCAATATCAAGATTTAAAGCTAAGATAAACCCTAATTCCAGGGTCTTCTACTTTTTTATTATGTATCCCCTATATATTGATGACACCAATATAATGATCAAATTAAACCAACAAACTAAATTTCAACTATGGGCCCTGAAATCATTAAGTTACCAAACGAATAGGGAAGAGAAAAACGAGATTGGAACGTTAGAGAAGTACAAGAAACAAGCAGAAAGCTAAATTATTTAAGGGAAAATGGCTTACTCTGACATTTTCTTTCAGTCTCTGAGAATAATTGCCAGAACTCAGAAGTTCTAAGTCAAAGAACGTGCATTTATTGGACCCATAATTGTTAGTACGGGCCATTGTTATATTATAGATTCAGCCCAAATATAACGAGTTAGGCAAGGGTAAACCGAACCGAAATAGAATGAGATAGTTCGATTTTGGTTATGCTAAATAACCGTTCGGATATAAATTTAAAATACCTATACAAGTATTAACCGAACCAATATAGATATGGCTTTACCTTCGTAAATATTTCTCCGTAATTTCTTTAACTCGACATGGGCCTTCTGCGACTATAGTCTATAGATAGACACGGCTAAGCATCAACATTCATGTTTTACGAATAAATGATCAAAAAAAAAAAAAAAAAACTAACATACTGCATTTCTGAAACATGTTAATTGTTTTCCTGTTCTAAAAGATTGGTTTATTGATTAATTAGTTAATTGAATCGTGAACGTGAGAGTCATTTTCGAGAAGGGAGCAAACGTGGTCATATTAAAATGATGGATTCGCAAATTCTCTCTCTCTAGATCTCTTTCATTATTTGTTATTACAATTATGATTTTTTTTTGTTTGTATAGACGATGATTTTGATCTTTATAATGTTAAAGTAATGATGATCATATGTTAAATTAAGAAAAATGTTACGTTATATTCCGTGAAAATCGTATGATCAAATTCCAAGTTCAAGGTGCATCGCATCTGAATGCAGATGCCACATGACTTATGTCACTTTATGACTCGATCTCGCACCATGGCCCCCACTTTTGTCGACGCTGACTGATCTTATTAATTATATATTAGCGTATAGTCATCTATATAGTAGTTTGATTCTATAACTCTATAAGTGGTTAAGGTGGTATTATTTGTCTGTGTTTGTATTTTACCTATTCTATAGACTTATCATCTTAAACATTTCGTATCAAAGGAATTTGTTAATTACAAATTTAAACACTTCAAAATTAACGTGAAACCTCTAAAAATTTAATACTAGATAAATAAATGAAATATAAAGTAAAAATATTTGATGGTACCAACTTTGTATCAGTCTAAAAACTAACAGAACAGTATAATAAGATAGCTTTTAGAAAATTCTGCTTAATTATATGGCTCCGGTAAAATTATAAATATACACATAGCTAAGAGAATGTATTAAAATGTGACTACAATGTTATTTGTTTTCTTAAAGTTAAAATCTAGTTGGAGACATTTATAATTTACTTATTGCATTAAAAAAATTTAGTGTTGTCTGCTTGATCGATCCATCTACATTTATTTTTGAAGAGGTTTAAATGTGATAATTGTTTAATATTTTAATATTTTTCTACTTCATGATCAATATTAAGGATATTTCTTCTGAATTTAAACTTATATGAACATGTATCATAATGTTAATTATCAGGATTATCAAATTATAACTTCGAATTTGTGCATGTCATTTTTACTCATGTAACCATTTCAGGTATTCAAATAAGATACTATATTCTTAAATTAAAATCATAATATAATTATCACACAGTCACCCTTACTTTTGGGCATTCTAATTGACATTGATTTTATTAACCTACATCTCTCATAAATTAAGTAAATGACTTTTACCATTTTTTCATAAGTAAACAATATTTTGGTTAGTACCCTCTGATCCTAAAGTTAGCAAGTGTATCGCGCGTGATGTCTTACGAATAGCATGTAAGTTTTGTTCTGATAGCTAGCTAGTATGCTAATCTGAAAACACGCTCTCGTGCACAGTTCATGATACATGATCACTAATTTCACAAATTGTTATTATACAAATAATTTTCAAGAAAAAGTGGATTATTTTCCATCTCATTATGAAAAAGGATTAAAATTATGCTAGAGAAAACATAGTCTTTAGTGTTTTAATTCTAAAACAAGAAAATGTGAAATACTTACTAACCGACGAAGAATAAAGCGCTTACATTTGAGTTTTCATTTGCGTTTGAAATTTGTGAATATTGGTACGAGGAAAAGTGCAAATACTGCATATAACAGCTAGCGTTTGCGTTTAAATCAATACAAATGATTACAAACTCTACTGTTGATTTTATTTACAATATTATACCATGATTCGAAATCCGCATACGCATTATTGATACTTTCTATTCACAGTTGATGAATTAGGCGAGGATATTGTATATCGAATAACTAAATAAAAGAGGGCCTACGAGACTAAAGATAAATTGTGGGAATACTAGTAGGTGTCACTCTTGCGTGTACGCACAAATGATTCTCGACGTAGATGCTAGCGTTCTAGCCCCACGGAGAGCGATAGACCCAGCCCCATAAATGGCAAAGAAAAATATTGCTATCTATATGTGTATATTAACACTTGATTCTTTGATTATATATATGGACAAGGTTAAATTTGTATATTTAATCATCAATCCAAACACACGTAGACCGTTTGTTACAGCTGTATTTATATATGTTGTTAGCGTACTAGCGTGTGGTACATATGTTGCATGTTTTCAACAATATTTTAACAATGGTTAGACATCACTTCGACATGTGTCTGATTTTAATCCATTTAATTTTCAAAAATCGATTCATCTGCTGATTTTCTAGACTTCCTATTAATAATTTGGATGTTAATTCAATTTTTCCACTGGGGAAAGTTTACATGATTCGCGAAGTTATATGTTTTTTCTTGAGTGCGACCATGAACGTTTATTTGAAGGATTGCAATAACAGTGAATGTAGTTATAAGATAATCATGAGGATCAACAAGTTCCACGTGGCTGGTAATTGTTTGTGGATTACATCCGCTAGATTCTTGTCATATCCAACACGGACAACACGAACCAAGAATTGATTACTTTCTAACTAGATTATTTTCAATCAAAAATTAAATATAATATACTTTTATTCCTGTTTCTTAAACATGCTTCTTTTTGCTTAAGAAAAATCAAAACGAAGCCTTTAATTTCTTTATTTATCTGCTCGTCTCATCGATATAAAAAGGAACCTGTAAATCGTATATAACTTTGAAAATAACTGCAAACAACTCCCATGCATGTAGTATATACAAAGTAGGATAAATAAATAAATAAAGATTCATCTTTTTGGAATTGAAATAACGAGGAGAAAAAGAAGAAGAAGGGAAAAAATCCTTTGGAAAAGGGGTAGGTAAAGTAAAAAGAGTAAATGCAAATCCGACTCCTAAAATAGGAGTCGATCTAGGAGGTAAAAGTAGATGTAGGCCCCACCTCCCCGTTTAAATAACATCCTCCCGTTCCGTTCTTTTTTACTTGACCTTGACGTTGACGTTGACGTTGTTTCTTCTTTTTTAATTATCTTTTTTCTTCTCATGAATTATTATTATTAATTTCCGAAATTTCACAATCGTTCTTTACAAAAAAAAATAAAAAAATCTTTCGGGAGTGGAGAGAGAGAGAGACAGAGTCTGATCGGTCCTTGACGAGACACAACACTTTAACGTTGCTTCTTCAAAGTTTTTTTTTTTTAATTTTCTGCTCTTTTAATTTCTTCTTCTCTTCCAATCACAAAGAAACCCTAGTTTTCTCTCTCTACCTATTATCTCTCTCTTTCTCTACCTTCTTAATCATGAACGATCCTGAAAATCCCGATCTGAGCAACGAGTCAGCTTGGAGACAACTCACAGCTCCAGATTCCGACGACTTCTTTGACAGAGACACTTCCAATATCCTTTCTGACTTCTCCTGGAACCTCCACCACTCTTCTTCCGATCATCATCGGCTCGATTCCGGTGTAACCCCAACCGCCGGAGTCCGATCTCCGGTCACGACGAATCTACACTCATCAACTTCTTCCTGTTCCTCATCTTTAGCCGTTATAGAGGTTTCAACCTCTAATAATCCCTCAGCTACTTCCAGTTCAAGCGAGGATCCAGCCGAGAACTCAACCGCCGCGAAAACACCGGACACACCGTGAGTTTTTATTCCGACAAAAAGAGATGAGACGAGAAACACGTGTCTTTTTTTCTTTTTTCTTTTTTTTTTGTTGACAGGGGTCCGATCGTCATTTACTCATCATCTTTGTGGTGGTGGTGGTGGTGGTGGTGGGGAGGGTTTTAAACTTGGGGCCAAAGCCATAAGCGAATATAAATCCATTTTTTTCTTGAGTTTTTCTTCTCAAGAAATGGAGAATCGATCCGTCCGTACAAAATGGTTTATTTAGCAGAGTCAGTGTCGTGGGAGGGAGAATTTAGTAATTTTATAGTGATGAATTTCGTCGGTGGCAGTTTTAGAGAGGAGAAAATAATGATGAACACACACTCACACACACACAGAGCGCCGCTATTGCGGCTGTGATATTAGCGTGCACTCTACAACATCTCTCTCCCTTTTTTTTCTTCCTCTCCTCGTCTCTTTTTTCTTGCTTTTATTATAAACTATTCTTAGGTCAAAAGTGTTTCACGTTTTAATGATGTTTAGCTTTAGTATAGCATAATTAGTGTTATGTCAATAGTTATAAATATCCTTAAATCATTAAATTCTGTCTCGTAAATCGTAAAATATATCATACACGCTTGCTCATCTTTTTATATATATATATATGTAGGGTTTCTGAGTCCACGATCCATGAAAATGAGTCCTCCTGAGTATGATTTGCATCCTTATAGCAATGTAGAATTAATGGAGGATTTTTTTACGAGTCTCCGTTTTTAACTCAAGAAGCGTTTTTTTGTTACATGTTCAAGTTAATGATGTATTATTGAAGCTCTTCTTCGTTGTTGTTTGACTGTGATTTATTAGTATCATTAGCTAGATCGATGCCATTCGTGTTACATTTTATATATTTTTATTTGGCTTAACTTTGTTAAGATTTAACTCCCCAAAAAAGACAATATTAGCATGAGAATCTATGTTTTGTAAGATCTTCAAATTTAGCTGCTCAAAATGGTTACTCTGCATGTGATTTCTGATGCTTAGTGTGTGATGTACTCATCTTTTGAACTTTTGTGTAGAAAGAAGGAGAAGAAGAAGGCTCAAAAGCGAATTAGGCAACCGAGATTCGCATTCATGACCAAGAGTGATGTGGATAATCTTGAAGATGGATATCGATGGCGTAAATATGGACAGAAAGCTGTCAAGAATAGCCCCTTCCCAAGGTCTCCTACAATCATTAGTTTCTTCTCATTCGTTTTCTTGATTAAACTATGGAATTATATCAGAAGATCCATCGATAGTGTTCACAACATGTATTAGCTATAATATATTACACATTGTTCATTTGTTAATGTTGTTTTTAGGAGCTACTATAGATGCACGAACAGTAGATGCACGGTGAAGAAGAGAGTCGAACGATCATCGGAAGATCCATCGGTAGTGATCACAACATACGAAGGACAACATTGCCATCAAAATATTGGATTCCCTCGAGGTGGAATCCTCACAGCTCATGACCCTCGTAATTTCACATCTCACCACCATCTTCCTCCTCCATTGCCAAATCCTTATTACTACCAAGAACTCCTTCATCAACTTCACAGAGACAATACTTCTTCTACGCGATTACCCCAACCTACCACTGGAGATGCACCTGCAGTGTCTAATCCATCAGAAGAAGGCTTACTTGGTGATATTGTACAAACCATGCGCAATCCTTGAGGTAACTTCTTACATATATTGATATATATTAAAAATCTTGAGCTCCTATATATATGTCTATTTGTTAATATTTGTCTATATAGTCATAGTAGTGAATTCTGAGCTTTATTTATTTATTTTCGGTTTGCAAGGGTTTTAACTTTAAAAGTACCACAGATGCATAAAGAGTTACTTTTTAAGTCCGAAACTCAAAACCCAAATCAAGAGATATCTTAAGTGGGAGAAAATTCTCATGCTCTGATAGAAACGAGTCTATCTGATGTAGATGCATGTCCTTATGAATATATATGAGGATCAATATATATCGTGTTAGTCTAATCATTGATGCAACCCACCATCTCTCTTGTGGAACAATTTAGATCACTTGATAGATATGTCGGCCAGTGCCATTTTTAGCATTCATTTTTGCATGAAACATATAAAAGTTGGATGATGCATATATTATAATAAGTGGATGATTGCTACTAGATCTCTCTCTCTCTTTCTCTCTATTTATATATACATATATATATATATATATATATATTTCTATGCTAGTGACTGAATGAGGAATAAGCACTGGTGTATAATGCCTTTTGTCTTACTCGTATTGCTACAAGGCATATATATAGGCTTACTTATGTAAGGTAGAGATGAGCCCGAAATGGGTCGGAAAGATAAAAGAATTGTCAACAAATATTAATAACAAAGCTCAACTACTCCCACTCAATGTCACTATGATGCTAAATCTCTCCTTTTCCATATATATATATATATATATATATATATAACCCTTTTTGTGTGTATTCACATTAACAAAATTTCATGTGTGCATGAGTAATGACTATGTATCCTGGTTAACCTGTGTTATATGTGCATGTATACACTAATACATGAGATACATGCATGACAGCATGAGGCATGCGGTTTAAGTTCTGAGGGTAATATGTTAGGTCACAGGAATAAATGCTTTCTGTTTTAGCTAAAGACAGCCAAGAAAGAAAAAGGGGGAGAAAATGAATAAGAAGAGATATATGAGCATCTTAGCTCCACGAGTAAAACCCTTTATTACGTACATTTGTATATTACATGTATATATATGTATATATATATATATAGAGATTAGAGAGAGAGTCTTGGAAACATTTGTTATAAGAAGATAGATGAAAAGGGCTATATAAAATACATTCACATTAACATGATATGTATATATCTATGACATGATAATAATATCAATCAAGGACAAATACAGTGTGCTTGCATGTTTTTTAAAAGATGAAAAGTGACATATAAAAGTGTCTGACTTGTTTGATATAATCTCCCAGGTACCATCTGAAAGTCATCATCATAACCTTGGTAACAATAGCTAAGGAGGTGCTAACTCATTATAGAAGATATTGCAGACCGGAAAGCGATATGGCGGCAACGGGTTGTAAGCAGAGATCTATATATATTAATTTCGTCGCTGATCAATCGTCAAAGGCGTCTCAGTACCGGTGGTTGCAATTTCTTAAGGTTTATAGACGTATATATGTCTGTATTTATGTCTGTAGTATAATTTTGATGTTCATCTACTGACTTATGTGGATAAGTGGATTCATCATCCATCCCGCATTTAGATCCATATGTATGTGCACTTTAGAAAGAAAGAAAAAACGTGGAGGATTTCCGGAGATATATATATATTTTTTTAAATATCATTTTTACGATTATTTTAAACTTTTATCTTTGAAAGATTTTAAGCAGGGTGATATTTACTGTATTTTACTTTACCTTTATGAACTTTACAGATTGCAGCTTATATCTTGCATATCACAATTTAAATCGGTGAACAGAATTCGCAAATGTATATAGAAAGAAGATAATGAATTCTTGTTTGACATCTTAATGCTTTGGTAAAATATCTTCTAGTGATATTTCGAGCTATATTGATCAGTAATATCTTCTAATGCTACTTCGAAGTCATTTCGAATATAGTGACAATATGATACCATTGGGACGGATCTACAACAATTTTTTATAGGAGACAAAAACTTATAAATACCTATATGTATAAGATTATATATTAAAATATAAATATTATTAAAGATGAAATACAATTATTATATTAATTTTATTGGATATTATTCAATATAATTACTTGTTAGAAATGAAACAAAATTCATTTTCTAAATGTTGAAGAAGATTTTGAAAAAACAAATAAACTGCTACCAAAATAAATATGAGATTTTAGTAAATGACAAAAAATGACGCCAACAAAATATTGAAAGAGTATAGTTGCATTAAAATTAAATTGGAAAGAAACTAAAAATTATAGAAACTACCTATGTAGAAAAGTAAAGTATGTAAACTTATAGCAAACAATAGCCTTGTAAAGTATAACTTGTGAGCTTTAATGTTAATGTTCTGTTTCAAACATGTAAAATGAAAAATAGTGAGCAGAAAAGGGGAAGTGAATGGGAACATCATTAGTGTCCTGTACAAAGTAACATCAACATGTAAAACTCTATAAGGGCAAGTGGGCAACTGCACCCAATTGAACGACGTACGAACTGGATGCGATATGTTTTGTTCGTTTGTAAAAGTCGAAACTTGTGGCGATATGTAAAGCCGCCTAAGAGCACCTCCAACGATAGAATATTCATTTTGGGTATATAGAATATTCATTTTGGGTATGTAAACAAATAAATATTAATATTTTAATATAATATAATTATATAATTAAATTTTAATTTTAAATTTAAAAATTAACCAATGTGAAAGAGACACATGTAGATATTCTACATAATGGGGTTCTGAAATAAGAATTTTTAGAACATTCTCTCTTATTTTTTTTAATTTTATTCTTTATTTTAATTGCTAAGACTCTTTATAAAACTCTGTCTAAATGCCTTAGAAAAGCTTTATTATTATATGACGTTTGGTGTTAAAAGAATGCAACAAAGATTTTAATTCAGACAGTGCAATAATTTTGTTACATAGAAAAGAAAAGAAACAGAATCAACAATAATATATAATTGCCTGTAGACAAACACAATGCCTTGAATAATTAGTTCATATACGGAAAGTTCTACAAACATGTCTTCAGTTGGCTTACTAGTTACTATCTAAATGGGCTGTGAAAGATCCAAAAACTAACACATAAACAACCAAAGCACCTATATACAGTGCTCAAAAAATCGCTAAGCGATAGGCGGGCGGACGGGCTCCGACTAGCGCCTAGGTCAAAAATCGGTGATTAATCAGTGATTAATTTTTTGATTAATTTATATTATATTTAATTTTTAGTTATTTATATTAATCTTTTTTAGATGATTTTGGAACTTAAACTCGCTTATATTTGATTTTGATATGATTTCATTGTAATTTAATTGAATTAAAATTGTTAATTAGGGAATAGGTCGTCAAAATCGTTAATTGGTTAAGTATTGAATGTGATGTCGTTTTTAATTGGGAAAGAACTATAATTGGGCTGATTTTATGCCGATTTCAAAAAAAATATGGAAATTTTATTAATAAAACTGGGCTAATTTCATTTTTTTGAGTTTTTTTGGGTTGATTTTCAAAAATTAGGCGACAATTTTGTTTTTTAATCGGACTTAGGCGGTTTTAAGCGAGTTTAGAAGGTTTTAGGTGGTCCTAAGCGGTCTTAGACGGTGAAAAATCGGAGAACTACCTAGAGCTGCCGCCTAGCACCAAGTCGGGGCGGTCACCCATCGCCTAGCGCCTAGGCAGCCGACTAGGCGGTTAGGCGGCCGAGTTTTTGAACAGAACCTATATATAACCAAAGGGGAAAAAAGAAAAAACCAAATTCATTGGCATACATATTGGACAATCCATAGCTTTAACAAAACGTTGAAGCCAGGCATCACCTTGAATCCATTTTAGACCATATATATAGTTCTCTTTTATAAAAAGAATATATAAGTTTGCATTCATCACTGCAAACAAAAATATGCATATGTTGATTATCAAACTTCAAATATGATATGAATGCATTAAATTGTTATCAACCACGCAATAGAGCTTACACATATCCAAAATGCTTCCAATGCTTAAATAGAACAATGTCTCTCCATTACACAGTAAAATCATTATAAAAGTTAGGGCCCAACAAAGTTTCTATGGGCTTGGGAGTTGGGAGTACAAGACAACCCAAAAACAAGCAACGTTCGAAAATGTTTGAAAGTGAATTTTGTTTTGATAAATATTGTTTCATAGAAAAGCTAGGCACCGACTTACAACAGCTCTGCTTTCAAGAATGTCCACACAAATATATAGAAAACTACTTAAAATCCAGGAAAAAAAATTAAAAAAACTGTACTACTTTGGTGTGTAAATGTGTGTTGTGTGTGGCACATCACACGTGTCGTAGCATGACGGCAAAGGTTGTCTTGAGCACATGGCTCAGTCCTCAATAAAATCCCCCATTCTCTCAGTTTTTTTCCTTCTTTCATTCTCTTTTCTTTATTGTTACCGTTAGGTCTCGTCTTGATTCTTGAATAAAATTATTTTTTTTCTTCATCAAAATGTATTCTTCAAGACAATCCAGTCTGAATTCTGGGAGGAGTGGATGAATTGAATATGTACGTGTAGTTTCGTAGAGGAAATAGTATAAATCAAGTTAGTATAGAAACTATATTATATATGCTTAAAAAATAGAGAGTCGGTTCTAATTGTGATATTGTCGTTCTGCATTCTCGCTAATCACATCTTTAAGGGCGTAATTTTTGACCGTTGCTAAAATAAATGAGTTTATTACAAGGACAGGTGTTTTAAAAGAACTCATCTGAGATACGTAAATCGAGGTGGCAAAATTGGTAAATAAAGAAGAAATCTGGTCCCCTTTTTACTTATAATCTTTCGGTGCGCCGAATAGTTTTCACTTTTCACAGCACAACACTACAAAAACAAAATTGCTTTTAAATTTAATTCTCTGCAAAAAACCACATTGGGTTCTTGTAGTTTTTATTTTTTTTACTTTTTACCAACTATTCACTCAAATTTTACCTTGCACTTGCTTCTTTTTATAAATTAAAGTTTTGGTTAGTAATGATGGTTGTTTAGTTAGTAATCGCCTAATCGGGTTTAAGAAAGTAAATCTTAAAAAAAGCCGCAAAAAGAGAAAGTGCTGGACATTGGTCGTCTATACTTATATGTAAACATTGTCACATTTGCCGTTATTGTCTAGAACTCTCTCTCTCTTGTTCTCCAAAGAACCACCGTCTCAAATCTCTCAACTTTGATCTGAGCTTTTTAGATTCTCTTTCTCTCCCGCAAGAGATCTTTGAATCACACACAGTCATGTCGGTTATACTTCCTCTGTGTCTGATTCTCTCCATGATTACCTATTCAAGTAAGCCTTATTTCCTCTGTCTTTTATCTGCAAAAATGTTTAGATTTTCATTGAAATTTCGCATTTTTATTTCTTCACCATACTGTTTCCCTATATTCTCCTTGTGTCAGTTCTGAGAAGTGAGATCAAATACATCTATTTGCTGATACGAAATTTCAGAAAATTTTGTATTAGATCTCTCATATTTTTGTCTTGGAATAGTAAAACCAAACCCTTTTTAAAATTCTGATTTTTTTTTTCTGGGTTAAGTAAAGTTCTAATGATCTGAGTTTTTTTTTTCAAACTTTTGAAAAGATGCGGCGTATTGTGTGTGCAAAGACGGGAACGAGCAAGCGCTGCAGAAAGCAATAGACTACGCTTGTGGAGCAGGAGCTGACTGTTCTCAGATCCAGACTAACGGAGCTTGTTACCAACCTAACACCGTCAAGAACCACTGTGACGTCGCCGTTAACAGCTACTACCAGAAGAAAGCTTCCTCCGGCGCCACCTGTGACTTCGGTGGCGCCGCCACCATCACTAACTCCCCTCCGTCAAGTACTCATCTTCTTCTTCTTCAATTCCTCCACTTTTATTTTTGGGATCAAATCTCCATTGTTTGTTACTGATTTATTTACCTCTTTTCTTCTTTTTTCTCTGAATCTTGCAGCGTCTTCAAGCTGTTTATCTGGTTCCAGGTATTTTTTGTTTGTCTTTTATCCAAATTTTTATTTAAAAAAAAATAAATTTGTCTTTTTTATTCATTCTTGTTCGTTGTTTAGTGTTGTCTTTGGAAGAGTTTAGTAAAAAAAAAAAATAGCCTAATTTTGTTTGTGCTTTCTGGGTAGATAATTAGATATGCTACTGTTTCTTTACCACCGACTAAAAGAACCATTTGATTTTATCTTTAATCCCGTGTTTAAATTTTAATTTTTGGGGAGACACAATGATAGTGATTTAAGACCAAACGAAAAGACAAGGAATCTTGATGAAGATGTATCATTTCACCTTTACTAAAAAGACATAACAAAAAAAACAGTTCATCATTTCACACATGATCCAGATGAGCATTATCTCAAGATTAGTCCTTTAACAATCTTTGCTCACTGATAATTTTTTTTTGACTACTTTGCAGCTCTAGTGGGACCCCATCCACCGGAACCCCATCCACCGGAACCCCATCCACCGGAACCCCGAGCACCGGGACCCCAACCACCGGAAATCCAACCAGTGGCTTCCCATCCACCGGAACTCCGACCACCGGGACACCTTCTACGGGAATGCCAAGCTCCGGGAACCCTTCCACTTCAAATGGTATGCCAAATTCCGGCACACCCACAAACGGAATGCCAACTTCGTCCTCGTCTTCGGTTTTCCCCGGCACGACTCTTGGACCGACTGGGAGCGGTGGACTAGGCGATCCAAACGCTGGAGAGAAGCTGTTGGTCCGAACTAACACGGTGGTTTTCTTACTAACCGGTGTAGCTATGCTTTTCATATGAAGGGTTTTAGAAGAGACATCTCACACACGGTTGTTTGCAATGGATGGGCTGAGATTTTGCCAACTAGCTTATGGGTTGTGCAAATCCGATAAAGCCATATCCTTTTCTTTTTTTTGTTCTCCTTTGTCTTTGTAGGATTCCTTATTAGGTTGGCCAAGAGAGAGAGACATGCTCTGCTTTAGTAGCTAGTTATTTTGGGATGTACAACTTAATCAAGAGCTCTTTTCTTTGTTTTGTAAATCCGGATGATGATTATATGCTCTCTTGTTTCGATTGTTTTTTTTCTTCATCTTTTTACCTCCTTGGACTGGAGGATATTTCTATCTTTGAATTCTTACGATAATGTCTCCGTATTATTACATAGCATATATACTCGGGATACAACTTACAATGACGAATAAAACTAATGCTACTTTAAACACAAAGTGAATTTTGCGAGGAGTTCATAGGTTTGTGACTTAAATCTAATCAAGGAGTGGAGAAATTCGTTGGTCGTTTTCACTGACAAACTCATCAAACTAAACAATCGAGGAAGCACTTTATCAGCTAAAGACCAAAAAGACCGTCTCTTTCGTTGTGGGTTCTGTTTTTTCCACTATGCTAAACAAGTAACAACGTTGGATTTCTAGATGCATGATCGTACAACGTTGGATTTAGTTTCATACAGAAAACGGTGGTTGAGTTAATAAAATTTTGGTCTCACAAAGATTGCTCCTAATACTATATAAAATGTGAAGACTTGGAGAAAACTGAGCACTTTTTACAATTTTTGATTCTTTTGTTTGAGAATTTGTTTTTGGGGACTAGTTTGGAATCGGGTGCGGCTAGTAGTGGTCAAGAATCTGATACCCCATCTCTACGCAAAGCTGCTTTCTCTCACCCCTCCGTTTTCAAGCTGATTCTTAAAGTTCCTTTGATTATTTAGCTACAGAACATTTTTGCATCTCCTTCTTTTCTATTTCTAATCATATAGACAAGCTTCTTACCAAATACCAACTAAGCTAATGATTTATTTACTTTTAGTAATTTAGGTGGCTCTCAAAACACACAAGTACATAACATTTCTTATTTGTTGTAACAAATCCAAGATTCTCTAATTTGGGTTCAATACTGCCATAGTGCCATCTAGTCAGATTCAGCATTTCGTAAAGAGATATTCACAGATTGCAGATAGAAACTTCTTTTGCATATAGTTCAAGTAAAACATTATATAACAAATATAGAATAATGATTTCACATTATCTGAGTTTAATGTTGATCTAATATGATTGGATTCAAGCTGAAACAGAAAAACCGTAATCTAGTAAGAACGAGGCTGTTCATGTTTTACTTAATAAGACTCTTGTTAGGAAGATTATGACACGCTTAACATCATAGAATGAATTTGCCAAAAATCTTCCATTTATTTGAATTGAGAGAATATGGCTGTGTGGGCTTGGTAGGATTAGTTCATGTGTGGTCTTTATCTCAACTTGTTTGGGCTTTGTGAGAGTAATTCCCTCAAACTAACAAAAAAAAAAAATGCGCTAGAAGGAGGGGTCGAACCTCCGACCTTGTGGTTAACAGCCACACGCTCTAACCAACTGAGCTATTCCAGCTTTCTTGCATACATTAGTTATATTAATATTTATACTTATATTTTTATAAATGGGAAGCAAATTGAATATGGTCTTTCTCTCAGACAGAAATGGATTGATCCATGCTTCATAGAATGTTCAGAAAAATTCTAACTTCAATCCAACGAAGACACTTCTCTTCGTCTTCTCCTGAAAGTCCATCACTTTACTCTTTCCTCAAACCTTCTCTCTTCTCCCACAAGCCAAACACCCTCACGCCCTCTCTCTCGCCGCCTCAAACCCCCAAAACCCTATCCCAAGACCAAAGATCCTCCATCGAATCTGCCCTCCATGATTCCCTAGCTTCCCACAACACAGATGAAGCATGGAAGGCCTTTCGATCTCTCACCGCCGCTTCTTCTCTCCCGGAGAAGCGTCTCGTCAATTCCCTTATCACCCATCTGTCCGGTTCTTGCGGAGATGGTGAAAACAGCTCGCACAGACTCAAGCGTGCCTTTGCTTCCGCTGCTTACGTCATCGAGAAAGATCCGATTTTGCTTGAGTTCGAGACTGTCCGTACGCTTATGGAGTCCATGAAAGTGGCCAAAGCAGCCGCGCCTGCGTTGGCCTTGGTGAAGTGTATGTTCCAGAACAGGTATTTCGTTCCTTTTGATCTCTGGGGGCATTTGATCATCGATAGCTGCCGAGAAAATGGCACCTTGGCTGCGTTTCTTAAGGTGTTTAGAGAAAGTTGTAGAATTGCAGTCGATGAGAAGCTCGATTTCATGAAACCGGATTTGGTTGCGAGTAATGCTGCTCTTGAAGCGTGTTGCCGGCAGATGGAATCTCTAGCTGATGCTGAGAATGTGATTGAATCTATGGCTATTTTGGGTGTGAAGCCTGACGAGTCTAGCTTTGGGTTTCTTGCTTATTTGTATGCTAGAAAAGGGCTTAAAGAGAAGATAAGTGAGCTTGAGAATTTGATGGATGGTTTTGGGTTTGAAAGTAGAAGAGTCCTTTATTCCAATATGATCAGTGGGTATGTTAAGATGGGTGATCTAGATAGTGTTTCTGATGTGATACTGCATAGTCTTAAAAGAGATGGAGAAGAAGACTCTAGTCTCGTTGAGGAAACGTACTGTGAATTGGTGAAAGGTTTTATCGAGAGCAAAGGGATAAAGAGTTTAGCAAAACTGATAATCGAAGCTCAGAAATTGGAGTCTAGGTCCATTGACATTGACATCGACAGATCAGTTGGGTTTGGAATCATTAACGCTTGTGTCAATCTTGGATTCTCAGATAAAGCACATAGCATTCTCGAGGAAATGATTGCTCACGGGGAAGTATCGGTGGGGCTTGGAGTGTATTTACCAATCTTGAAAGCTTATAGCAAAGAATACAAAACAGCTGAAGCTACACAGCTGGTTACAGAGATCAGCAATTCTGGTCTTCAACTAGACGTCGAGATATATAACGCGTTGATTGAAGCGTCCATGACGAACCAAGATTTCATATCTGCGTTTACATTGTTTAGGGACATGAGAGACACAAGAGTGGCGGATTTGAAAGGGAGCTACTTAACGATAATGACAGGTCTCCTTGAGAATCAGAGACCTGAGTTAATGGCAGCGTTTCTTGATGAAGTTGTCGAAGACCCTCGTGTTGAAGTGAATTCACATGATTGGAATTCGATTATTCATGCTTTTTGTAAATCTGGACGCCTAGAAGATGCGAGGAGGACTTTCAGAAGGATGGTTTTCCTCAGGTATGAGCCGAATAACCAGACGTACTTATCATTGATCAATGGATATGTGAGCGGCGAAAAGTACTTCAATGTTCTGCTCTTGTGGAATGAGGTTAAAGGTAAGATGTCGTCGATAGATGCAGAGACGAGGTCAAAGCTAGACCATGCTCTAGTCGATGCGTTCTTGTATGCGTTGGTCAAAGGAGGGTTCTTTGACGCGGCGATGCAAGTGGTGGAGAAATCTCGGGAGATGATGATATTTGTGGATAAGTGGAGGTATAAGCAAGCATTCATGGAGACTCACAAGAAGCTCAGATTGCCAAAATTGAGGAAGAGGAACTACAAGAAAATGGAATCCCTTGTTGCCTTCAAGAACTGGGCTGGTCTTAGCACATGAAAGGACAGAAGCCTAAGATATTGTCTCTAGATGGTGTTGTGACACGTGGCATTGCTAATATGGGGAGCATTGGATTAGAGATTTTAGTTAAAAAAAGATGGCGCCAAAAGAAGTCAAGGTTTGATTAAGACTAGCTAATCCCTAAATTGTAGGAATACCTTTGGTTTAAAAAAATCTACAGAAGAAAAAAAAAAGAAAGGCCAAATGGATTAATTCTTTCAATTTGTTCAACGTTTTTCCCCTTTTACTCTCAAAATTTTCAAAGGATTATCCTTTTCTGTGTGTTCGTTCTGTTTTTAAAAGATTAACCGATTCCAGCCTCAAGAATAAAGTTTACAGTTTTATGTATCAGAGGTTCGTGCATTTATTTGAGGTCAAACTTTCTCGAGTTCATCATCCTATATTGTTGTTTGTTCTTCTATTCTTTTGCCCATTTTCCATTTGAATTATATAGACAGAGAAGAATCACGAGGAGAGGATTACTAACGAAGAGAGCCATTGCGGGTAAAGTAGAAGGTTGAGAAAGCAAGGGTTCATTGGAAATTTACATGGATATTCGTAGGTATAAGTAATTCCTCTGTTTTTACTTTTCTATAACTCGTCTTTATGCTGCTTTACATCGAACTTTAACGACTTAATGATAGGTCTTGTTGTCCATCAGAATATTTGTATCACAAAGTATTGGATTTCTTAGAAATCTTGACGGATATAGATTGTTTCAAGGATAAGGATATTGTGAAGTAGATGACTAAGTTTTTGTTTTTGCTTTTTCAGCCATGGAAACGAATCAGAAGAAGGGGCACAATAGAAAAGCTTTTCATCTAAAGAAGCATAGAAAAGCGGATGATAGTAGGAGTTTTGATCCAAGACCAACGAACAGAGAAGAGACTGATGAGAAGCCGGTTTTATTCCAATTGGGGAGCATTGCTAGTTACGGGGTGGTCAGTGATGTTCCTCTCAAGGCAGATCCAGAGATCACCACCAGCAGATCTCCATCTCCTTCCATGTCTTCATCATCTCCAACCTCTTCAGGGAAAATAGTCGAGGTCAATGCGAAAGGAAGGAAATTTAGCTTATCGTTTGATAGTAGCGCACATAATAAGGAGCTCTTAAGCCTTTCTTTGAAATTATGCGAGTTACAAGGCTCATCAGACACACCAAGGTCACAAGTCTCTGGTGTGACTCATGCTTCAGTGGAGCCTGCCCTTTTGTCGCCTTCTGTTCAAACGATGGATAGAGAAGGATCTGACGAGTCTCAGACAAACTCGTTACCGACCTTGGAGAAAAACTTGAGCACAGTTTCGAATGAGTCTCTGTTTAGTCTCAGCATAGGCGAAAACGCCATAGCGAGAGATGAGCTGTTTAGTTACCGTGATTTCAAGGCTGGAGAAGTTTTGAAATCAGGTGAGCTGTTATCATTCTCCCCTTCTGTTCATGTTCCGGTGGATTCTTATGATATGGGAAAGAGCTTCGATATGGAGGAAAAAGTGAGTGGCACATTGCAAACCGACAGTGAGGATAAGTCATCAAACTCAAATGTGTCATGGAGGAACATTGGAGAATGCAATAACTCGGACGAAGCACCATCCAGCACGCAGTCAGTTTCATATCCAATGTGAGTGTTTTTTTAACTTTATACATCATCTCGTTATAAGTAGTCTTTTGATTGTGTGAAACGAGAACTTTGTTTTTTGTTGTTGATGATTTGCTGTTTTCAATGCAGAACGAAAAAGAACAAGAAGAAAAAGAAGGCAAAAAAGAAGAAGGCGATGCAGCATCAACAACAGCAGAAGCAGAAGAAGAGATGTTCTTGGTTGTGTTGTAAGAACACTGGATCATGTTTCTCGTGCTGCAGATGGCCAAGTTGTGATTACGACTTCTCTTGCTGCAAACGTATAAAGTGTTGCTCGTGCTGCTGCAGATGGCCCAAATGCGGCTGCTCTTCTTGTGGTTGGCTCCTCTGCTGCCATTGGAGCTGTTGGAGCTGCTGTTCCAGGTGCATTGCTACTTCCATATTCCCACATTATTTAATCTGTTATTTTGTCTCAATCGAAAAGGTTTACAACAAAGTTTTCTGTGTTTGCTACAGTTCTTTGAAGAAAGTAATAGATGATGAGATGACTAGAGGAAGTGAAGAGCAAAAACTGCAAAAACCCGAGTCCAAAACACCTCATAAATGGTTTTGTTGTTTTCCTTCTTGTTCTTCCTTCTGTTCATAATCTTTACATTAGATTCTTACCAAACTCTGTTTTTTTTTTCTTTAGATAAAGAGATAAAAACTATTAGATTTTACGAATGTAAATGTTTCTTGCTTTTTGGGGACAGTTACCCGAAAAAAAAAAGAGAGGATGAACAACAATTTGGTTTTCTGTTATAATCAAGTCAGATGAAGTAGGAATATCATATTATTACGCAACATAAGATTTAAGAAGATTAGGTATGAGGTCACATACTCACATATCTTGTGTAATTATCTAACAAAATCAACATAGATTATCCTTTGATGTTGATGTATCTTACATTGAACGTCGACATTTTAGCTATTAATCAGCTTAATTTGTCAAAAGGATATATCAACTATTTTTTGTTATAATTCATATACGACATGCCATGTTTATTGTGAACTTTGAAGCTCAAATACATTGGACTAGAAGAAGCGCAAACTAAAACAGTTTGGGCCAATCATATCTCTGACGGCTGACGCAAAATTTAACGTCATGATGACGTAGATCGACAGAGGAATACACGTCTACATAAAAACCGTGACATGATCGTTATTTAACTTAGGAAAAAAAAAAATTGATGAAACGATTTCGGAATCTAATCATGGACCAATTAATAAAAGTAGGTCCCACACTTAGCCGGGCTGGTCAAACAAGAAGCAGCCATGTGGAGACCTCTCTCTCTATATACTTATAAAATATAAATAAATTACTTTTCAGACATTGACTTGGCGTGGGTCCCATCCTCTCAAAAGTCTGTAAAGACAACGACAAAAAAAAGTTTAACGACAGAACCGAGAGAGACGCGGCTGAGAGTGAAACACTATCTATCTATCTAATCTCACAAAAAAAGATGATTAAAGTTTTACATTTTTCTTCATTTATTTACTATCACTGATGAATACAGACAAACTTTAGATCTTAACTTCTTAAAAGAGTAATAAAGTAAGTAGTGTGTTTTGAAATATTTTCCTCAAAACGAATTTAAAATAGTTTATGACGGAGAAAGAGAGATTTTAGTTTTTTTTTTCTCTTTTCTTTTCTCCTCTTTTCCTCGAAATTCATACTTGTTTGACTGGTTCCAATACGTTAAGAACTTTTTTTTTTTGAATTGGTTATTGAACCAAGAAATTTTTGTTTTACTTTAATGTCGTTTTCTCTTTGGGTAAAGAAACTTTCTTCTTTTGCGACTTGAATTTCGAGAGAAAGAGAAGAGAGGGAGATCAAAATTTTAGAAAAGACTTCAATTTTTTTTTGATATTTGGGTTTGCGAGAAAGGGGAAAAACATAAAAAAAAAATTAGGGTTTTGATTTTCCTTCTGCGTTTTGCCGTCGTCTTCTCTCTCTCTCTCAATCTCTCTTGTGGAGGAGAAAAATGAAAAGAAATCTCTTGGCTTTGTTCTTGCTGCTTAATTTATTTGCGTTTTCGTTTTCTCGGAAACTTTTCTCCGAGAATGCTTTTCACGATGAAACCGTTCTTCTGGAGTTGAAGAGTAGTTTCTCTGATCCAAATGGTGTTCTCTCTAGCTGGGATCCGAACAGCTCTAACCACTGTTCTTGGTTCGGTGTTTCCTGCAACTTCGATTCTCGAGTCGTCTCTCTCATTCTCAGAGGCTGCGATGAACCTCAAGGTAGTCTTCATCTCCCAGATTCATCTTCTTGTTCAAGTAGACTCGGTGGCGAAATCTCTCCGGTGGTGGGAAATCTCTCTGAAATTAGGGTTTTGTCTCTTGCTTTTAACGATCTTGGAGGTCAAATACCAGAGGAGATTTGGGGATTGGAGAAATTAGAGGTACTTGATCTTCAAGGTAACACCTTTACTGGTGAATCTCATGGAAACAGGGTTTTGAATCAAGGGCTTAATCGCATCTCGAAGGATTTGAATCCAGTTGATGAAAAGCCTAAGCTTTGGATTCAGAGGTTTCTTGCTAATTTCGGAAAGTCGTTGAAGGTTTCTAGGTTTTCAAGTTTCTCAGGCAATGCTGTTCGTGGAATCGAGCTTAGGAAGCTCATGAGTTTCAACGAAGAAGAAGACGGAGTGACTCCGAACTCAGACGAATCTCCAGGTAAAACCGGGTTATACCCGATTGAGATCGCTTCGATTGTGTCGGCTTCGGTCATAGTCTTCGTGCTTCTTGTCCTCGTCGTCTTGTTCTTCTACACGAGGAAATGGAAACGAAACTCTCAGATTCAAGTAGCAGAGACAAAGGAGATCAAAGTGTTTGTTGACATTGGTCTCCCTTTGACTTACGAGAGCATCGTTAGAGCCACTGGTTACTTCTCTAACTCCAACTGTATCGGTCACGGTGGCTTTGGTTCGACGTATAAAGCAGAGGTGTCTCCAAACAATGTCTTGGCTGTTAAAAGACTCTCTGTTGGTAGGTTTCAAGGTGATCAACAGTTCCACGCAGAGATCTCTGCTCTTGAAATGGTTAGGCACCCGAATCTCGTTATGCTGATTGGTTACCACGCGAGTGAAACCGAGATGTTCCTCATCTACAACTACTTATCCGGTGGAAACCTCGAGGATTTCATCAAGGAGAGATCAAAACCAGCTCTTGAGTGGAAGATCCTTCACAAGATTGCTCTCGATGTAGCTCGTGCTCTGGCTTATCTTCACGAGCACTGTTCTCCTAAAGTCTTGCACAGAGACATCAAGCCGAGTAACATACTCTTGGACAACAACTTCAACGCTTATCTCTCTGATTTCGGGCTCTCAAAGCTCTTGGGAACTTCGCAGTCTCATGTCACAACAGGCGTGGCTGGAACGTTTGGTTATGTTGCTCCTGAATACGCAATGACTTGCCGTGTCTCGGAGAAGGCAGATGTTTATAGTTACGGTATTGTCATCTTGGAGCTGATATCTGATAAGCGAGCTCTGGATCCTTCTTTCTCATCGCACGAGAACGGGTTCAACATTGTCTCGTGGGCACATATGATGTTGAGTCAAGGCAAAGCCAAGGAAGTTTTCACAAAGGGACTATGGGAGACTGGTCCGCAAGATGATCTTGTCGAGGTTCTGCATTTAGCACTGAAATGCACTGTTGATAGCCTCTCTATAAGACCAACGATGAAACAAGCTGTAAAACTGCTGAAGCGAATCCAACCTTCTAGATTGTGATTAGAAGAAGAACAAGTGTTGTCTTTTAGAGGATTTGTACAGCAGCAAAAACAAGTGCGTAGACATTAGAAGCTTTTTATTAGCTTTTCCTTTTTTCAAGTTTGTTTCTTGTTTATCATCTACTCACCATTTGCATCATCAATGTTAAAAAACAGATAAAAATGTTGTTTCTCCATTCTCTATATAAAGTAGTAAAAATACAAATATAACTCTTAATATTGTAGAAACTACCAGAATCAGCCAAAGTATATGTTGTCTGTCTGATCTAAAACTCTTAAAAACATCTTCTTCTCTAAACTCTGGTCAAGTGATCAAATGAAGAGAGGGTTAGGGTGTTTTGTCTATAAGAGATTATTAGATGGAGAACAAGTGTTGACAACAATGTGTCTAAGAGGATGATCAACATGAGGACCACCAGCATGTTTAACGAAATCAGCAGGAGACAAGAAATCGCCATGGCAGACACACATGATCCTCACTTCTTCTCCATTGCCGTATCTATACAGAATACCATCAACTCTCTTCCCATTTGGTCCATCTCCTTTGGTGAACACACATGGCATCTCGCTTTTCCCTTTCCCTTGTGGCTCTATCTTCATGTCCACTGAACTCAATCTTCTCAGCCGATTACTCGGCTTTGCTGCTTCATGTTGTTGTTTTTGTTGTTGTTGTGTCGTCGAAGGTAAGCTTCTTGCTTCTTCGCTCGAACCTAGATTCATCCAAACAACAACATTGGTAAGTTAATCACATTAATTGGTAAGTTTAGTTTATTTGTATATCTTCAAAACTAAGCAAATGACCTTTCAGGTTGGGAAAAGGTGAAATCTTTGCATCAAGATTTAACCTTTCTTTTAGATTTGATGTATCCATTTGCTTATAATTTAAGTTCAACAAATTTAAAGCCTTGTGTGTAATGATGATGATCAGAAATCAGAAAAGTACCTTGATGAGATTTGCTTTCTAATTCACCGGAAGAACTTCCGACGCCTCCGCCGCCGCCGCCTTGGGACTCAACGGAGCCCTGCAGTGAATCTAAACCAGCACTATGTTGCCGCAAAATTCCGCCGTTGTTAGCCGTCGCCGACCACCGTGGCAGCCCCGACGACGGTCTACCTCGCCGCCTAGATGCGGTGGCGGCTTCTCCCGGAGTATTTTTACTAGTCTCGGTTGATTTGTTGCTGTTTCCGCCGCCGCCGCCGCCGCCGATACGAAGCTTCTCGCTTCTTCTTCTCTTAGCCGCCATTCTCCGAAGAGTCTGCATCTCTTTCCTCTTCCGCCACTCTTCTTCCGACTCCGCCGGCAACGACGTCGTTCTCATCAAACCCGTATGCCGCGTCGCCGCCGCCGCCGCCGCCGGTGTCTCCGGCTTAAAAGGCTTCATCTCCGGCTGATGAAGTTTCTCCCGGAAAAGAGGCATCGTCACCACGACGGAGGAAGATCTAACGAGCTTGTTGCTTTTGTCAACTCCGAATCTCCCGCCAAGAGATAACCCCAGATTCAACTCGATACCGTCTTCCTCTGTTTCTTCTTCTTCATAATCATCATCACCTTCCTGTGAATTAGAAGAGATAAATCTCTGAAGCAAATCTCTTGGGAACATACAACTATTGCTTCTCGCCATTTCTCTACTTCTCTCGTTTGCTTCCTCCATCAACAAGAAAACTGCAAGCTTATGTAACAGTAATAATCAAATAAAAATTCAGACTTTGATCCCATCCATATCTTAGAGAGAAAAAAAAAAGCTCCCAACTTTCTCTTTGATTCCTTTCCCTAAAAAAGATTCACATGTTAAATTTATTTCTCAGAAATTGGAAGACCAATCAAAAAGAAATTACATATGTATTCAACGGATGAGACAGAGAAGAGAACTCAAATTCAGCAGATGGAAAACACAGAATATTCAGTTCTATTTTCACTTGACAATACCTATTATTTAGCTCGTCATTAGTATAGTACCATAAAAATCCCCGTAAATAAATATTCTTTATTAATATTGTTTTTCTTTTTTTATGAAAGTTATTCTTTGATATTTACAGAAATATATATATATATATATATATACAATTATTATAATCAAATTCGTGACTATCAAAGCCTATCTATTAGCATGTACATACGTTTACACATTATTTATTTAATTTATGTAGTTGAGTAAAACTATAAAGAAAAAAAAAAAGAATATATAAATATGTTGGGCACGTAATAGGAAAGAAAGCGACGAGAATAGCCCAAAATGTGTGAAAAGTACCGAAGAGCAGAGAGAGAGAGCAAAAGAGCCAAGTGGCAATCCGATTATCCCTCGAGTCGACACGTCTTTGTACGGCTACAGAGTATTTTTATTATCTTATTTCTTTTTTGATCTCTTTGTCCCCTCCCTTTTTTGCCCTATTATTATTGCTCTACACTATATTTTTTTAACACGAGAAAATAAAACAATTCCATTTTTAAATTGTATTATTTGCTGGCCACTTACGTGTCCATAACAGCGTAAAAGGTGTGGGAGGCGAACACGTGTTGTGGTAAACAGTATGGGACACGTGTATTCTCTTTCTCGTTTAAGTCAGAGTCAGAGGAACGGCTAGGTTCTCGGACCCAGGTCCTACAATGGTATATATAAACATTCCAATATACGTATAAATACAATACCAATACTTTATGAAACAAGAAAAAGAGTGAATTGAATGAATAAATATTATGTTTATTCCTTTTTGAAAAAGAAAAAAATAACATTTATATTCTTTTTTCATCAACATAAGACGTGAATTTCTTTGGCCCGAAGTACTTCTACTAATTTGTTTTTTTTTTTTTTTTGGTTTTATCAACATAAGACGTTGTGAATTTCTTTCGCCCGAAGTACTTCTACCAATTTGTTTTCTTTTATATGTTTTTTTTTTAATTATACGTTTTTTTTTATTCTTTCTAAATTTTTTTAACAAAGTGGTATGGAATTTTGACTAATTTGTCCGTCAAATAATATTAGAAAATTATCTCATGCGTTTTAATGTTATCGTATGACTGTCCTTCGCATAGAAGTTCTCTTCTAATGGACGTACTAACACGTATTAATTTATAATAATGACAGAAGCAAAAAATTATTGACATAAATCATAATAAAAAATTGTATAATGCAAAGTCATCTTCCAAATTTTCATTGCAAAAAAATATATTTTTGACGGTTATAATCGCAATAAGAAGAATTAAATATAACTTTAATTTTGAATGTTTTTTTAATTTGCGGAATCATATGGTAAATTATCTAATTCAATATTAGGTAGTGAAAATTTTTCTTTTCAGAAACTGTTCCACTAAGTTTAACTCTTGAATATTTTTTTTTGCTTTGCTAGATTTATATTAGATGGTGAAGATTTTCTTTTCAAAAATTATTCCATTATGTTTGACATTACAATTTATATATACACAAAAAAAATTAATTCTAATTTAATATTTACAAAATTTGTGTGCTGTTATTACAAGCATCGATAATTGGTGAATTGGTGTCTATATCTTAAATTACATAAAATAAACAGTTAAGCAATTTAACTATATCTTAAGAAATTTTTAAAAATAAAAGGAAATGTGAATTACTTCAAATGTATATTTTGTTGATCAATATGCCACTTTTTTAAAAAGAAATGTAGTTTTTTTTATAAATTATATTAGTTTTAGAAAGAGTTTACAACTTATAAATTAATATTTTAATATAAATTCTTATTTATAATATAATTATACCTTTTAAAATGTTACACTTTGTCGATATGGGACAAATTATAGTGTTACAATTTTTTTATTTTTTTATTCTATCTGGGTCAGCTAACCCACCTCATTATGAGCTGCTTCCGCCACTGATTTATAGATAGATATTAAGTTTTATATTTTAAAAATTGTTTTTGAAATTTTTTTGGACTTAGATCAGAATTACTGAAAATATATTCTATGTTATGGAAAATGATATTTCACGGATCTAAATTAAAAAAAATTACATTTGCAAATTTACGGTAACTAGTTCTTAAAATTGTAAAATGTTCAGTTCCTATTTTGATCAAAGATATCCAAATTCCTCTGCAACCACCATGATCAAACGTACGAGCGTGATCTTCATCGTATAAAACAATATAAAGTATAAACACACACCAGATTTATCTTAAGCGCTACCCATTGGCTTGGGGGTAAGGTACGTGGTCCCCACGCGTGCCAGCCAGCTCAGATATCTAGGAGTCCAGTGACACTGTGACAGCCGATACACATCTCAGTAGTCATTTACTGAAATGTCCTCAAATAACTGTCGCGGGAACGTGAAGCATGTCAGAGATCGGGACAAGTAACACGTGTCCAAGTGGGTGTGGGGGATCCTTGCCTTGCGTGTCTAAACATCAGATCGACTTCTCTTGTATTATTTGTTCCCAGATTATTATCTTCCCACACATTATAGAACGTGAAGCATGTTGTGTTACAAAACATGTACACGCATATTATTTTGTTTTAAACCGGATAAATTATGAGTATGGAGTCTATTGTAGAAAGCCAGAGTTTTCTTATTATTTTTTGTCTTCAAGATTCAAATGTTTACAATGGTTCACATAAACAAAATATGATAGCCGATATTCGTTCAACATAGTGAATCTGCAACTATTAAAAAGATCGGTTCAACATTTATTTTTGAACAAGCAGATCGGTTCAATATTTATGGAGACTTGTTGATAAGTAAAAATGTCTTTCTCGTATGCTTTTTTATTAATATAGAAGATTTTCAAAAAAAAATTCCAACAAGATCCGAAATCCGAAGCCATGAATTGATATTTTGTAACGAATTTTATAATTTGATCAATGTTTTTTTTTTCTCAATAAACATGTTGAGTTCGAATGACGACACAATAACGGTATTAGCACACAAAGTTTTTGTCTATACATGTTCTGGTCGTTTTTAAAATATATTTTAATGATCAACACACAAATATAATAGCCGAGACTATATCAGATTCGAACTATATCAGAATCGAACTATTATGGTAACTATGATGATCTTTTGTAACAATATTCTATACTATCTCTAGCACTGATGGTAGAAATGCATTATAAAAAATATTATGAATAAAGTTTAATAACTATTATGTAAAACTAACATAAATAATGCAAAATCCCACTAAAGACATTTCAAGCCGAACCGTTTATACAAAATAAAATATATGGTCAATAAATTTATTTAGTTTCAACCGATCTTTAAAAATTCAATCGAAACCTATATAAATTCCATGATTTTTTGTTTAAGTAAAGTTTTTTTTTACTATTTCTCTATTTGTATGTACCCTGTTATCCTTGCACAAAAGCCATGCTAATTTTCAATATATTTTCTCAATATCATTCCAATTTTATCGGATATCTTCGAAGGGACTTTTAAACAAATATTGCATACAATAATATATGGCCGTAGGAGTCGAAAACTTTAAAAGCATATATGCCACTCACCGGTCGCCACTACTCCATTACATATAAAGCTACAGGTGTTGTCATGGACGCATAACCATAGGAGCTTATAATCGCACTTAATTAGGAGGACCACCTCATTTTTTTGGTGGTCACTTCTATACAACTATACATTTTATTTATTGGAATCAATCATATATATATATATATATGGTCTGAAGAGGTGAAAGTAACTCTCTGGTTAGAGAATTATCTTAATCCTAAATCTCTATATAGAGCTTTGAATTTCATATATCGAGTCTTTGTTCAAAAGGAAGAAAAAAAAATCATATATCGAGTTTTTGCAACTAAACTGTTTGGATAACCAGTTTGGAACTACAAATAAGTTACATGTTGACGCATTTTCTAAGGGAAAAAAGGTTGGTAAGAAAAAAAGATGGAAAAGGGAATGGAATCAAATCTAGCTAAAATCGTTGACGTGTAAGGGTTTTGTAATCCAAACCTGGAGACGAAGAGAGGTGTCAGTGTCACATTTGCATACTTGTTGTTTTCTCTTTATCAAGCAATGCTAATTGCTTTCTATTTCTTTATTTATTTCTTTACTTCTTATTATAACCGCTAATTGCGTTCTTTCTTATAATTTATTACAGATGTACATCTTTTTCTTTGTTTCTTTACAAATTACAATATTTGAATGATGGCGACATTAGACCAGATAAAGCTCATCTTAAATTATTTATTTTGTTCAAAGTGATTGATTTGCAACGGAACAAACCACAGGATAATACCTTCACGTATTCGCAGGAGGAGACTTTATTTATTATACTTAAAGTTTAAAACTAAAAATATGATTTTTCTATTTTTCCTTAAAAAAGGTATTACATAATGATAGTACGATAAGCTATAATAAGAAAGGTGAATGAATATTCGAATAAAAATTCGGAATTAAGCAGAAAAATTGGAAAGGGACCTAAAGAAGTAAAGAATATGTAACGTAGACAAAATAATCTCAAATTGGACTGGATAGCAAACTCTTACCTTCTCTTCAAACAATCAAGTCATTTGACAATCTGTATCTAATTACACTACAAAATTAAATGCTAACCGAACATTTAGTTTTAAGTCGAACAATTTATCTTTGTTCTTTCCAAGTACAAAAAAAAAGTCTAAAAAACATCTATCAAGGCTGATGTAATAAAACTCTAAACTCTTTTAAGTAGGTACCTGAAGAAGCTTAGGACCTACTGTTTATTAAAACGAGTTGCTTATTATATCAGAGAGACTTGAAGAACTTGATAGCTTACCTCGAATTGTGAATAAAGTATTGGACAACAAGATCCTTCAGCTTACTAACCTGCATGATAAAATATAACATCCTAGTATAAAAGTACTTGCTCTTGGTGAAAAGTAGGGAAAACAACTTATTTTCCCCTCAGAATTATGACATAGTAACAGATTCACCTGGAGTTTGAACCCCGTCTTATATCACCCTTTTACAAAGTTTTCAAACTAATTTCCTCCTAAATCGGATATTTCTAAACTTATTTAACCCTGACCATTGAATTGAATGGTTTATGAGGCTAACCTGATAAAAAAAAAAAAAAAAACAGATTTGTTCTATACCAGAACGATTTAAAATCCTACCAAACTGAAAACCCGATCCTGTTAAAACTCAATCACATCTTAAAAAGCCGACCACATTTCAACCCCAAATCTCCAATTTCATGTCCAGCTTTAATTACTGCAGAAATCAGACGATTAGCACCAAAAATTGGGATTTGGGAAGAACAAGAACACTAAATTATTAGAAATTATAAACAGAAACAGGAAAAAATATCTAGTTTTTGCACTGTTTTTGGGGAAAACGCAAAGGGTTTCGATCCCAGGAGCTGAGGTAAGCTCCAAGCCAAACACTTCCTTTGCATCTCTCTTCTTCTTCCAGAATCGGAAACTTCAAACTTAGAATCTTCCGAATTTAATTGGCACAAAGCAACTAGAGTAAAAAACCATTAAAAAAAAAATAGAATCAGCAATAATCAGTAGATTTATGTTACTGGTCGACGTCATAATGGGTTTTTGAGGATTAGTTCGAGTTTAATCGTTGTGCTCTGAAAGTAAAGAAGGCGAAAAAGACAAGAAATGTGTTTTGGTCTTTGACGTTCTTTATGCTTCTTCACAGGCGTTGACAGTGACGAAGAATAACAGTCGACAACGTGGTTGTTGGGGATTTGGGGATTTGTCAAACAAAATTATGCACAACCAACAAATTATGCACAGAGATTCTTCAAAGGAATTATGCACAGCCAACAAAATTCTCGAAATATCAATTTAGGGTTGGTTAAAATTGGGGATTTTGGAGATTTTGAAATTATAATCTGGTCAAATCGGGTTTAGAAATTAAAATCGGGTTAAATTTTGGTTTAGGTGTTACAATCGGTTCATAATTCGGTTTAAGTGTTTTATTAGATGGTTAACTCTATTCTGGTCAACAGTAAACCATAATAAATCACGGTTTGGGGAGATTTTTGATTAGAAACTTTACATTCAGAGTCAAATAAGTTTAGAAAATCTGATTTAGGGGAAAATTAGTTTGAAAACTTGGTGATATACGACGGAGTCTAAACTTCGGGTGGATCTATTATTATATCATAATTCTGAGGGGGAAATAAGTCGTTTTCCCTGAAAAGTAAGTTTGAATCTTTCCTAAGAAAGCTCAGGAATCTATGTATGTAGCAAATTATGGGATTGTGGGATTGTGAGATTGCAAAATAGAAGAAAACATTACCTTTGGTATGGAGATAAGTGGACATCCAGTGCTTCTGTTGACGTGTAAGCCTGTAAGGGCTTTGTAATCCATATCAAGCAATTGGTAATTACATTTTTTATTGGATTCATTTACTTCTTTTCATAACTAACCGCTATTTAGATTTGATCCCAGATGTATTAATCATTCTTTGTTTCTTTACAAATAAGTGAATTACATACTTGAATGATGCGAAAAGCTCTCATCTTAAATTATTCAGTTCTCTAAAACGTGAATGATTCGCAAAACGGAACACAGGATTTTACCTCCACGTATTTGCAGGAGGAAACTTTATTGATTTCAAGTTTTAAACCTATAACTGAAAATCAAATTTATTTTTTATTCTTAAAAAGCGTATTATTACACGTCGATAGCTATAATCTGAAAGGTGAATTTTCGAATAAAAAATTTGGAATGTAGAAAAGCAGAAAACAGTAGAAAACTCGTCTGGTGAAAGGAAAAAGAAAAAGAAAAAATAAACAGAAGAATGATGTCGACTCCCATTAAGGAGTAAAGAAAAAAAGACCTAAAAAGGTAAAAGTGATATGAATCTGTAATGTAGAAAAATAATCTCAACTTGCAAGCGTCTTCCTTATCTCTTAAGATGCTAAATTTTCTATGAAGGCTGCAAATTATAACTGTTCTTGTGTAGTGGCTTGTGTTTTCAGATGAGAGCATTCAAGCTTTAACCTCAGGAGCTCCTCCTTCACTGTTTTTCTGGTTATTGTCTCCTCTTCTCTCGTTTCTGCCACCTTTCCTACGGCTTTTGATAGGCTTGAAATCATCTCCTCCATCATCTGCAGAGCCATTCTGCTGAGTCTTGCTTCCACCTACACTTCTCACACCAGAAGATTTGTTTCCATCATAATCAACTGCAAAAACATAAACATGAGGAAGTTTCAGGCTTGCACGCGAGAAGCTGAGAACTTTCAGATCAAAGATGGGTTGAAAGAAAGAGAGAAGCTTACCTTGCTTTTCCTTTACACGAAGCTTACGATCTGCAAGCCTGAAGGGATTGTTCTTGGCAGCCTGGAAACGACAAGAGTTCGAATCAGAGGTTCGTATGTGTTTTCTTTTAAAGGGGAAACAAGAAACTAGTATTTATCATTTACCTGAAGCACGCTCTGTACAGAGGTAGCAGATTCAAAGGCAACAAACCCGAAGCAAATTCCTTGAACCTGGATGCATGAGAAAAGATTTAGAATTGTTGCTTATGCTTTCATGAAAGGAAACTACGAGAGGTGATGAGATTGATAAAAAGATCATATACCCTGGAGCTTCTGACTTGAATCCCATTTTCTCTGATAGGACCAAAGTCCTTGAACAGTTCATGGAGTTGAGGCGGCATTGCATCCATTGGAAGATTTGCCACGAATATCGAAGTGCCTGAAACCAAACAATACTATCAGACATCCAAAACAGACAAGAAGAGAAAAGACTTGTATAAATCCAACGATTAATGGATGAACCATCCTCTGCCTTCTGACCTGGTTCCTCGATGAACTTGTGATCATTTCTCTTTTCATATTTACTAGCAGCCGCAGGTGCACGAGGTGCTGCAGGTGCTCGAGGTGCTACAGCTGCACGAGGTTGTCCTCCCATGTATTTAGGTTTCTGAACTGGGGCTTTAACTTGAAACGGAGCGGCGTTTCTTGCCGTTGATTGAACCTGTATCACTTTACTTTATAAGTATGCACATATGGCCAATGTAAATAAATCAAAAATCTCAAGAAGAAAACTCACCATCGCAGCCCAAGACATCTTTGCTCCATCAACCTGAGGAGCAGCTGTTCCAGCAACTGGCTCTTTCGGTTTTTGACCAGTGACAGCTTTCTCACCACTGTGATTGATCTTTCCATTGTCCATTGGTGGAGTAGCAGCTCCAGCAACAACGTTCTTAACCTCAGCAGCATTCTTAACTTCAGAAGCAATAACAGAGTTCACAGCAGATGCACCAGTTTTGTGGATCGGCTCAGTCTTAGCCGTTTCAGTTTCCGGCACTATAATGGTTGTACACAAAAGAGTTCTCAATATAGATTTTATGATATGGACACTGTTGCACATATAAAGCTACAAAATTCAATTTAATACAAGAATTAGACTCCCTTACCAGAGTCAGCAACTGGCAGGGCTGTTGGAGTGGAAGCATGTTCATCAACAAAGCGAAAGATGTCGTTGAGGACAACGAATGTACGCTCTTGACGAGCTAGATAGAACATTTGGGAAAACTTCCTCTTGAGGTTGTCTTTTCCAGTCAAGAAACCAATGACCATGATGAATACTCCACCTTCCAATGAGTTCTGAGAATCCACACTCAGCACCTCGGATGTCGTGCTGTCACGAGACAGGAAGTGCTTGTTGATAGCCTGGACCAAGATGATAAACAATGTGTGAGGTTCTCGATTTGCATAGACAACTAGACAATAAGAGTCTTTTAACTCCGGTTTTTGATTGAAGAAAGGTCAGCAACATTAAGCATACAAAATAACCTCGAGGAGCTCTGATCTAGCATAAACAATTATTAGTAGAACTGATTCCAACAATGCAATAAATAGCAGAGAGATTAACAAGAAAAGCTAACAACAACACTAAATGGTATATGCCCAAGAGAACAAAAAGCAATATTGACCTAGTAGCCTAAATAAAAGGATAGTTTCACTGAATTCAAACAATAGGAGTATGGAGAGTAGGGCAAAAGAAGAAGACTTTTTGAATCCAAATTGAGAATTGAATTTACCTCAACGGAAGTAAAAGACAACATAGTACCATCAGGTCCTGGTCTGCTGACAACACTAGCATCTTGATAAAGCTTCCGAGCTTCTTGAGGAACTGTTTCGACAATATGATAATACTGTTCAACAAAAGCCTCAGAGACTTCTTGAGCCGAAACAACACCTTCCTCGGTAGCCATATCTGCGGGAAATTCAAGATCAAACAGATTGGAGAGAAGAACCCAATTAAGATTCGAATCGAAAACCCTAAGATCAGAAAAAAAAAAATCTCAAATCTGAATTCGGATTAAAAAAAGGAGAGATCTATAGAACCAAACCTGGCGGCAGAGAAAGATGGACCGAGGAGAGTCCGGAGAATTTGGCCGGAGAGAAAAAGGAAGAAACTTTTTGAGAGAGAGAAGTGTGATTTAGGTTTCGAGATTTGGGAAGAGAGGAGGGGCGAGAAGGAGAGAGAGAGAGGAGAATTAATAGGGTTTTAGAGAGGTTCCCAGATTCTGCTTTTGATTTGGTGAGAAAAAAAAAGGAAAGAAGAAATATTTATTCCTATTTCTGTTAGAAGGTAGGCTTTTCCTTTCTTTCTTAGGAACTCGGAGAAACACATTACACACAAGTACACAACTAAGTTAATTGTGTTTTGGTTTTGGTCTTGACTAGGACGCTTTTTATGTTTTTTTTTTTTTTTACTTTTTATAACCTTTTCTCGTTGACGCATTGAGTCCTTTGACATAACCAAACATCACACGGTTAAAAAGTTGTAAAGAAAAGAAAAAGAGAATCATCTTTTAACTTTGTAGTTTGTACTCTCTCACTGATCGAGTCAAGTGGTTCGTACTTACTGACGGCAGTGTAGCCAAAATTCTTCGACCTTATGACACTTACCAAGTTACAACTTACAAGCCAAACAAAAATACCACTATGTCATAGTATTATTCACCTGAAGATATGTTAATTTGATGATTTTTTTATTTATATTCTTAATAGAATCTACTGTTATTAGTTTGATTATATCAAAATATTATGTTATTTCAAAACTTTCGGTTTTTATTGATTCTATCATTCTATTTAATTTTTGTGTTATTGAAATATGTATTATTCATATTTCAACTAATAAAACAAAACTTCCAAAATATTATGGTGTCCAGTGGTGGAACCAGAAATTTTTTTAACCGGAGTCGAGGAAAGCATCCAGCATGAAATTAGGGGATCACTCAAAAAAAGTTCAACAAATTCTTTCAACAATAACATGCATTAGTAAACTTAAATTCTAATTTTTGTAATTTGAACTGGATCAATTGACCACTCCACACTCTATGTAACTCCGCCACTGATGATGTCTATGGATATTTTGGATCTTTAAAGTCATTCTAGTGAAGATTTTGATAAATTTTACAAAAATTTCTTTACAAATATCATAAAACTCTCAGCAAATTTCAAGTGTCTTTAACTTTTAAAAATACTGAATACAATTCTCTCTAAACCTCCCATAGTTGGGAGTCTTGGAGATTTTTTTTCCTATTTGTAAGAAACAACGAATGATAAAGCAACATGTGGACAAACACACCAAAAGGGTAGTCATGCTCGATAGCTTAGAGTGAGATTTAAATCCGAGAAGAATAAAAAGGAATTTAATTTATAAGACACTTATGGTAGGTTTTCGTTAGTAAGAAATAAATATCAAATCATTCGCATATTAATTACCCAAGAAAAAATCGTTAGCAATTAATACGTTTCCAAAATTTTCAAATAAACTTCATTACAAGGTCTATTTTCCTTTTCAGTAATACGAATATAAATATTAAATATCACGAATATCATGAATATCATCATTACAAATTTACAAGGTCGATTTTCAGTAAACAAACACTCACCATTGCAGCAAAGAATCTCTAGCTTCATCAGGCTGATGACCAACTGGCTCTACTGGTTTTTGAGCGGTGACAACTTTTTCATTAGAATACTCAATCTTTCCATTGTCCAGTGGAGAGGAGTTTTTCCAGCAACAACCATCTTATCTTCAGCAGCATTAACAGAGTTCTCCCCAGAAACATCGTTTTTTGTGAATCGGCTCGTTCTTGTTTAGCTAATCAGTTGGCTTCACCATCTCAGTTGCTGGCACTATAATAATAATATATCCACAAAAGAGTTTGTAATTAATATAGAATTAGAAAACGGACATGTACTTTCTTTTTTGTAAAACTTCAAACTTAATCAAATGGAACTTAGACAACTTACCAAATATATTCAGCAACTGGCAGAATTATTGGAGTGGAAGCCTCTTCATCAACATAGCGAAAGATGTCATCAACGAGATCGTATACAGCAAAATTATCGACAGTGTGTTGTGTGTATTAACGACGTGCCAGATAGATCACATTTGAGAAAATTTCCTCTTCAGGTTATCTTTTCGAGTCAAGAAACCAATAACCATGATAAATATCCCACCTTCCAAAGAATTTTCAGAATGGATACTCAGCACCTTAAATGTATTACCATATAGTCACATGAATTTAATGAACTAGTTTCACCTTAGACGAGTTTACCGTGCCACCACCCACGTTGTTTTGTTGATTAAGGCACCCACAGTATTTTAACTTCTTCTTATTACCTTTGCTTCATTAATCTGTTTCCTTGAACAGCAGACCAAAAAAAAAAAACAGCTTTTATTGCTGCATATTGTAAAAATAATTGGTCTGCTCTTGCTAGAAAGTCAAATGAGCAGAGAAATGCTCAAAGAAAGTGCCCTCCCATGTTCCTCCCTCTTTCTTCTTTCCCTTAACTGTTTAGGCAATCAAATTTCACTATTTTATAATTGAATATTCAACAATCAAAACTATAATCTAAACTCTAAACCAATTTTCTCCAATTTGTATTTTCGTGAGACTCAAGAAAACATAATTAGTGTCAAAAACTATCACGATCAAGCAGATTTAATCAAAGAGGCGAGAGACTAACTTAAGCTACAGCTTCACAACGTGAAGGTCTCAACTAAACATTTTTCACCCATCAAAACACAAAACAATACACATGCAAGCACGAACATGCTCCATATATATATTCACATAAACACATACAAACGTGAATACACATTCTCCTCTCATAAACACAGACCAAAAGCAAAAATGGGGAACTCTTTGAGATGCATATCACAAGAACAAGATCCGAACCAAAAGAAACCCTCCATCGTCAACGGAGGAGGAGGAGGAGAGAGTGGCAACTCGGAGAAACACGTACGGAGGTTGTCTCTGATACCATCTTTCCGGCGCCGGACTTTACTACCGTCTCTCTCCTGCTCTGGATCCTCCACGTCTACATCGTCAACGTCGAAGAAAGGAGGAATCAAGACGAAGAAGAAGATCAGAGAAAGACATCACCAAGAACATCACCATGACCACGAGAAAGACTCTCTCATCCAAGAGAAAACCTTAGCCGCTACTAATATCCTCTTTAGCCAGACGCCACGTAACAGCAACTCTGCTCCTCCTTTCCGACGGTCAACCTCCGTCGTCTATCCCTCCAGTACTCAGCCACCTCCCGCTTCCGCCGTCGCCGCCGCCGTAGGTTCCGTTTCCGGCGTCTTGACTCCAAAGAAGTCTACAAGTGGATTCGTCAGAAGCTCCAGCAATAGGCAGAGATCAAGCACTGATCCTGTTCTCAAACCTAATCAGCTCCTAGACAAGGCAAAGCACTTACTTCCTTTCTCCTCTCCTATATTTTCAGTTTTAATTAAATTCGCGGCCATTCACCGAACCGTTCAAACCGGATAGTTGCTAGATTTGTTAAATGTTTTGGCGGTTTCACTATTTGGAACTCGTTTTTATATGAAACCTATCATTTGATATACACACACATTGTACATTTGGGTTTATCTGTAAGTAATCATTATACTTTTTAGTGATTAAAAAGTTGTAGAAATAGATATATTAGTCATAATCACACAAAAGTTTAAACACCAATCTTGTAACGTAGTGAGACTTGTTATAACTTATAAGATACTAATGATTATGATATGATAAATTGATGGAAGAGCAGGAGCTGAAGGTGGAAGGTGCGGAGACAAAACGGTTCGTGCTGGTTCATGGAGGAGGTTTTGGTGCATGGTGTTGGTACAAGACCATAACGCTCTTAGAGAAACATGGCTTCCAAGTCGACGCCGTTGACCTGACCGGTTCTGGTGTCAGCTCCTTCGACACTAACAACATAACCAGCCTCGCTCAGTACGTCAAACCACTCCTTCACTTCTTCGACACCCTTAAACCCAACGAAAAGGTCGAGAGAGCTCGCTTCAATATTTTGATTTGTTGTCTTTGTAATTAATCATCATCAAATTGTTTATTAATGAGCATTTTTGATTTGATTGGTTCAGGTGATATTAGTGGGGCATGATTTTGGAGGGGCTTGTATGTCTTATGCCATGGAGATGTTCCCTTCTAAGATCTCTAAGGCTGTTTTCATCTCTGCTGCTATGTTGGCCAATGCCCAAAGCACTCTTGATCTCTTTAACCAACAGGTTTTGCTTTTTTTGTTCAAAACTATTTAATTCCACATTTTTAATCCTTATTTTTTTAATTAGGGTGATTTTGTTAAATAACTAACAAGGTTTTACTTTCAATATTTACATCTACTTATAGGTTTTGACTGTTATTATTGTAAATTTGTAGATAAAACTCTTATGTTATGAATGCATACACTCTTTTTTGTTAGTGTTCCTTTGTGCAACCATTTGAGTCGTTTGAGTTTAATTTTCACAGCCGGAGTCAAATTATGATCTGATGGAACAAGTCCATATATTCCTGTACGCCAACGGCAAAAAGAATCCTCCAACAGCCGTTGATTTCGACAGATCTTTGCTTAAGGATTTTTTCTTTAACCAGAGCCCCCCAAAGGTAGGTAACACTCATACATTATTAGGCTAACAAAAACCGAACCGGTTTCGGTTTGACTAAACCAGACACTATTTTTTTTTTTTTTTGTTTTGGGGTTCAGGACGTTGCATTAGCGTCGGTATCCATGAGACCAATCCCATTCGCGCCGGTGGTCGAAAAGCTTCACGTGTCGGAGAAGAACTACGGTTCGATAAGGCGGTTCTACATCAAAACCATGGAGGAGGATTACGCTGTACCGGTTTCTCTCCAAGACGCCATGATAAAATCGAACCCTCCAGAACAAGTTTTTCAGCTCAAAGGCTCAGATCACGCCCCGTTCTTCTCTCGTCCTCAGTCCTTGAACCGAATACTCGTCGAGATTTCTCAAATACCTTCCAAGAAAACCTCCTGATCATTGTTACCGGTTATGTAAACCGGAAATAATCAAAACACAACCGGACATAGGATCCTTTAAACTTTATGAGTTAGAGATTGTCATATTTTTTTGTTTGCCGCAGAGATATGAACAAAAACACCCATTTGGGATGGGTCCTTTCTCATTATTTGTAACTTTTATGAAACAGTAAGTAAGCTTTATGGATTTTGATTAATCAATGGAAAATTATTAGAAAAGTAAAATTAATTAGTGGATTACAGTATTACACACACGACACACCAAGTGCTTACTACTTACTAGAAAAAGGAGAAAACGACAGCGGTTTATAAAGTGATTGTTGTTCTGTTGAATTGAACGTGCCAGCTAAGCGTTACCTTTACTATTTGTTTATTTGGTTACATCCGTTATCGGCATTTACTCCTATTTACAGAAGAAAAATAGATTCTGGAAAAAAAAGTAAAAGTGGAACGTTCTCGTTTTATAAAAGAGATCTTTCTCTGAGCTTTTCCCCTTTTGTGTTTGTGTGCCTATAAAATCACAAGTCACAGACATCTCGCTTTCTCTCACTGACTCTTCCTCGCATCTTTCTCCGATCACATTGCCGATAACTAGATCTATTATCGGAGCCGCCGCAGGTAAATGTTTCGGAGTCGCTCTTTCTTTCTTCCCGATCACATTTGTTGCGCTCTTTCGAGTCGTAAGATGCCCAATTGGATAGGGTTTTCGGCAATCGTAGTGTTGTTTTAGGTGTTTGGTTGATGCGAATACGAAGAATCGGATATTGATATACGAGGGAATGTTTATGCTCTAGGTTATCGAGCAATTGCTTTTGGTTAGGTTCAGATGAAGATCGATTGTTTTATCTTGGCTATTTTTACTTCAAAATGGTGTGTGTTTCGTGTTTCAGTATGTATTTCAAAATTGATTTGGTGAGTCTTCTAAATGATGTTATGCCGGTGATGATAAGTTGTTGAATGGCTCTCAAGGGTCTGATTCTGAATTCAAGTTTTGCTTTGAGCTCCTACTGGTTCATGTTTGTGATCTCGTTTTCATTGTTCTCAAGTGAGTTCCGAAATTGGGGACTTTTAGTCTAACGCTCAAGTACCACCTTCTTGTGCTAGCTTTGTTTTGCCTTGTAGATGTGAGTTTTTTTTTTTTTCAGAAATTTTCACCGCCAAGCTGTTTTCGTAAGATTTGATAGTTTTGAGTAGATTTGGATCTTGTGAATAGCAGCTGGATATGTTCTGTGCAAGTGTTTAGTGACCTAGGAATTGAGTAACACAGTCCATTATTCTGTTTTGTGGTTGTTTACCATCAAATTTGTTCTATATGATATAATATGATGCTGATTCAAGATTTCCTCATATGTGCTGAATCCATAGCTTAGTGCCTTACCAAGAGAGAGAGAATGGGTCGTGGAGTTAGTGCAGGTGGAGGGCAGAGTTCTTTGGGTTATCTTTTTGGGAGCGGAGAGGCTCCAAAGCCAGCCGTTAACAATGCTCCAGCTGAAACTCAGCCTGCTCCTACTCCTCCTCCTCCTTCTCCAGCACAGCCTAAAACCGAAGCTCCAAAACCTGTTGATGTCACCAAACAAGGTCCTGCTGGTCTCAATAGCAACTCTGCAAACAATTACATGCGCGCAGATGGACAGAACACAGGCAACTTCCTCACGGTATGTCGACTGAAACTGTGGATACTACTTCAACTGATCAGGTCCTGTCACCTGTGGGCTGGTGTTGGGATAGAAAAATCATCTTTATCTTTCCGTTTCTTAGATTAGTTGCCTGAAAGATGAAGAAGACAGGGAAGAAGTGATGGTTTTCACTTATGGTCTGTAGTTACTAAAACATGTTTTGGTTGTTATGCAGGACCGGCCATCGACCAAGGTTCACTCAGCTCCAGGAGGTGGCTCGTCTCTGGATTACCTCTTTGGTGGTGGACCTGGTGGTAGCAACTAGCAACTGAGGCCAAGCTGGGTCACTACTCTATCTTTCTTAATCCTTTTGTCATTCTTATGGAACCTCTTTGTTCCCTGTCCCCAAAAAAAAGAAAGAAAACAAAAAAACTCTGTATGATGTCTAAATTTTAGTATACATATGAGCTTCTTTGTGATAAAAAAACATATGAGCTTCATATGTTGTATCTTTGTATTTCAATCAAAACATTTGTGATAAGTGAATGGTATACCGCTTTTTTCATTTTTTGTTTTCATGATTCTTGTATGTTTTAATAAAATTTTCACATTTTGAAATGTGATTTCTTAGAGAAAACGAGGAAAACTTATCGAGTTAAAAGTATTTTGATATTTGATCATTTGGTTATTCCTTTATTGATGTGACTCTCATTCGATCTTCTACAACTTTCGAAATTCAGAGAAAAACTCCTATCCCGATTTCTATCCCAATTCATGGAATTGAATTGTGAAACTAATTGCAGAGATACTGGTCTTTAGAGAATTTCATTTTTGTTACCAACTTGCAAAACAAATTTTTAAGTTGGCCCATTTTTTCATTTTATAGTATTTTCTTATTTCTGTGTTTTTTTCCTGATTAATTTCATTATACGAGCCGCGCTGTTTGCCTGACTCTCTCTCTCTCACACACCGGCGACAACGGTACAGCCATAGATATGGATCATAACTCGCCGAGATCTCGACGGAGCCGGAAACCGGAGCCTAAACCCGATATATACGCCACTTTCGTAGTCCACTCCGACTCGGATTCCGATCAAGGTCGAGATCGAGACAAACGCAAGGCCAAGCCCGAGGAGGACGAAAATGTCGATTTATACGCTACAATGGTCTACAAAGGTGACAGTGACGGAGGAGGAGGTGAGGAAGATGACGATGACGACGACGACTCTTTGCTTCCTCCTCTGCTCAAGCGTCTTCCCAAGGATTTTGGGGGCGGCGCGTCGCTCGACTACGACGAGGACGACGGTGATGGTGATGGAGATTTCGGCACGATGATTGTGAAGTCAGATCGGAGCAGTCATAGCAAGAACAGTCCGTACTCGTCCAACCCGCGAATGGCTGTCAGTCCTAGGAGGAGAGCCAGGGGCGACGATGAGGAATCTTCCGATGAGGAAGACGAAGAAGATGATGACGGAGGAGAGTACGGTACCTTTGTTGTGAAATCTTCGTCTAAAAAGGGAAAAGAGAAAGAGAAGGAGATGGATTTGTCAACTATGGGAAGGGCTGTGGCGAGTATGCAGAAATCAAGTTTTGGTGGTAAGAATCGGAAATCTAGGCCTTCCTCTCCTTCTGAAAATCGGAGAATGCAGCAGCAGAACAGTAAGATGTCGACTACGTCCCTTCCAGAGAGCATTACAAGGGAAGATCCAACCACCAAATACGAATTCCTCAATGAACTTGGTAACATACTTTCTCATAGCTTAATTACTTGTTCATCGTTTGCTGCATTATGTTGCTATTAATATATCGATTGCTCCCACTGGTAATCCAATTAGTAGCAGTTAGTTTTTGCTTACTGTATCAAATTTGGAATCTGGATTGGCAGGGAAAGGATCATATGGATCTGTATACAAGGCAAGAGACTTGAAAACATCGGAGATTGTTGCTGTTAAAGTCATATCACTAACAGAAGGGGTATCAAAAAGCTTTTCCTCAGCCTAAGTTAAAATGCAACAAGTGATAAAGCACTCAATGTGATTCAAGTTCTTCTTCTAACAGGAGGAGGGCTATGAAGAGATCCGGGGGGAAATTGAGATGCTGCAGCAGTGTAATCATCCAAATGTTGTCCGGTACCTTGGGAGTTACCAAGGAGAAGATTATCTTTGGGTGAGCATCTTGGCCATAGCTTGGTTATCTTGTTAGATTTAGCAGCTCTTACTGTTTCGAATCAGTTTGCGTTTTCTTTTATAGATCCATTTAGAGATACAGCGCCTCTCGTTACTAATTTCTGTCTTCTGGCAGATAGTGATGGAGTATTGTGGAGGTGGAAGCGTTGCTGATTTGATGAACGTTACTGAAGAGGCATTGGAGGAGTATCAGATAGCATACATTTGTCGAGAGGCGTTGAAGGTATCCATAATATTTCTGTGACTTCAATTCACTTTATAATATTGCTAGAAGCACAAAGAGGAAAGCTGATTTCTCCTGTATTTGATGGTGGCGTCTTCGCTGCTTGAGCACATCTGTTTCAACTTGTCATAGGCCTAATACTTTTGTTTGTATCGGCGTCTTATATGTAGGGCCTTGCATACTTGCACTCCATATTCAAAGTCCATAGAGATATTAAAGGTGGAAATATCTTGTTGACCGAACAAGGAGAGGTCAAGTTGGGTAAGTTAGCTTGGGGAATTATATATTTAGAAACTTGAAGAGTGGCGTTTACAGATGTTGTTTCTATTAGACATGTTGGCTTTTATGCTTTTAAGCTTGAAATCTTGCTCTGTCTTATCAGTTGCTGATTCCAAAGTTCGCTTCCTTGATCTTTACAGGTGACTTTGGGGTTGCAGCTCAACTTACCCGGACTATGTCGAAGCGAAACACGGTAAAGACCTAATGAATAGAGTTTGCTATGACTAATTTATCAAGCTGCCTTTCATCAATTAGCAATTATCCTATCAATTAGCAATTATCCTAAGAGATGTTTTGTGCCTGATGGTGGGATTGTTTAATGTTTTTGTTTGAAGTTCATTGGGACTCCGCATTGGATGGCCCCAGAGGTTATTCAGGAAAATCGATATGATGGAAAGGTAGGTGTCCTATTTGACAATAATTTGGTCTGGTATATTGTTTTTCGATCAGTTTACAAAATTTCAGTTTATGTGGACTGATGTAATGATACCTTCCATTTTGGAATGTTAGTTTCTGACGTGAAGCGTAAACTTCAGAAATTAACATTCCGAGATGGTTGTAAAACCAGCTCTACCGGATCTTATTTTAGAGGAAGTTAGTGTCTGGTTTGTAGCCAGTTAAAAACTACAGGTGCATAAGTATTCTAGAGAGTAGAATCAGGGATCTTCTAATTTACTCCTTGATGACATTTGGACACTTTATGACAGGTGGATGTATGGGCTCTTGGTGTTTCAGCAATTGAGATGGCAGAGGTAATTTCAAATTACCTCTCTTAGGACTACAATTATGTTATAATTGACAGTTTAGCACTTTTTATTTGAGAATTGCGCAAGCAAAACAAGTTCATGACTGTTTTGAGAGTTGGCTGTCCTCAGTCTCTCACCTGGCATGTTATGGAAAAAATGGAGAAAATTCTTCTCCATTTTGATTAACACTCTTGACTACTCGTCACTTACCTCGCGTCTTCCATATTTCATTCTTAATCATTCTGTGGTCGTCTTCTGACATTTAGTTGTGCTGTTTACAGGGGCTTCCTCCAAGATCAGCAGTTCATCCGATGAGGGTTGTTATATTAGACATCTTGCTTTTGTATTTATGGTGATCAGATATGATTTTAGGATGGGCAACTCATATACGGTCCTGTTTTTTTTTCTTTCTTTTGATTTTTTTTTTCTCTGTTTGGAAAATTGGAATGAAGTGATCTGGACTTGAAGCCATACCTAAAACAATTCCTTGCACTTCGGTTCAAGATTGGCTTCTTTACAAGGGTTTCCCTAAATGTGGTTGCCTCATACTGTTCATTAAATTTAGTTTGACGCTATTTGGTTTGGTCTGTTTTGAAACCAATGCCAAGCAACTTGGTGTGGTGAAGTTTGTCCGATACATTGAAATGGAATGAAATCTGTTAGATCTTGCATGGATTTTTCATAGACGTGGGAGTTGTTAGGCTAGAAAATGGGGGTCCTGAAATGCTCTTTCAAGGTCTTCTCTTGGTTGGTTAGTGATGAAAAACTTGGTAAAAGTGGGAAATATTCATTTATTTGCTTACTTGGTGGCCCATTAAAGTTGTTCTCTGTGAACCCTTTTATCTCATCGCGCTATTGTCGTTCTTTAATATCTTTTATATCTTATCTCATCCGTTTTTTCTAGGTTTTGTTCATGATTTCGATTGAGCCAGCTCCAATGCTTGAAGATAAAGAAAAATGGTATGTCTTTAACCTCCTGAGAATTGCCACATTGGTTGTCATTAAGGCAGAGGAGAATTTTCTAAATCATTTAAGCGCAATCGGTACCTTATATTGTGAATGATACTTGTTTGTAGTCAATTCATAAAATTATATCCACAAGTTCTAATGTGCTATAGTATTTGCATATACACAATATGTAATATACAGTGCTTTATCGATTCAATGATATATTACACTAGAAACAATTATCTCATGGGTCTCAGAGTTTTTCCTAGCACTGGTAATTAAATCTTATAATGTGGTTTGCAGCGTACATTTATGAAAACATTGACCTATAAGTGCGTCGAAGCATAGTAATGCAATTTCCTTTAAAGAGTTCTTCTCACTATCTTATGTTGCACCCAACTGTTGGTTGCTACCCTGTGCAGGTCCCTGGTCTTTCATGATTTTGTTGCAAAGTGCCTCACAAAGGAACCACGTCTTCGCCCAACTGCAGATGAGATGCTTAAGGTAAACTTTGATAATCTTTTGCCTGTACGTCAGTGATCGTTAGTATGTGTATCTCGGGGCTCTCCTTTTCAGCGAACTATGACTTTTTATTATGATAAAAGAACTGTGACTCTTTCTTGTCAATATCAGCATATCTTCAGTTTTAGTTGTCAGAATTATCATCACTTTCATAGCTAACATTCAATTTAGTGTTTAAGTTCTCTGTGTTTTTCTGATGCCGTTCATTCTATGGTTTGAATTTCAGCACAAATTTGTTCAGAGATGTAAAACTGGGGCTTCTGCAATGTCGCCTAAGATTGAGAAGTCCAGACAAATCAGAGCTTCAATGGCTCTGCAAGCGCAAAATGCACCTTCTTCAGAGGACACTGTATGTATTAAATATTTCTCAAACGACCATCTCTCTCTTTGCAAGTTATAGTTGTCTAAATTATAGTATATTCTTGTAACAGTCAACACTGGGTCCAAAATCAAGTGACGAGATTGGAATTACTGTTCCTTCTAAACCTCCTAATAATGGATATCAAAATACCGCCGAAGCACTTTCAGCAAGCACCCTGAAACGGCAGTATATACCAGGCAACACTGTGTTGGCTGGAGAAGGTAAGTGTTACATGCATGACTATCTAAGTCCATTTGCAAACTTTAGTATAAGGAAGCCCAATTAGTGGTGTGTTGTTGTTGACTAATGATTACACTTCTCTAAAATGTTCTGTTAACCTTAGCTTGTTACATAGTAATTTACAAGTTGGCAATCTGTATTTTCAAACATTCATGAAAATTGTTGAGTGCATTTTCTTGGCGATGTATAGTAAACTCTGAGAAATAGGTGCATGATGATTTTGTCGGCGGCCTCTTGAATTTTCTTCCACCATCGTTTTCAAAAAACATGTAACTTTAAGTTTGCATTGGTTCATATGGTCAGGTAGTGATTTTGGAACTGTGATATTTCATGGTGAGGATGAGACAGACGAGAGTTACTCGGGGTCTCAACTTGCCAAAGAGAAAGAATCTTCATCTTCTCAGGTTGATGGCACTTCTGTCGGATTCTCAGGAGAAGAATCAGCTGACCCCTGGTATTTAATCTGTTAAAACCCTTTTTGTTTTGTTTTATCGGGAGCATGTCCAATTAATAAGGCGAGTATGTTTTCCTTTGGTATCATCCAGTTTATTAAAAAGGAAATTATATGGAGATATAATAATCAGTATCTGATGATGTACTTGCTTCCTGAGCATAGTTTAACTTGATACTGGTTGCTAGGATCCATGACAAAAAGAATCCTCCTGCTACCGACGTTCCAGCTGAAAATTCAACTTCAGCATCAGCTTCGATATCTCTCGAGCATAAAACGAAGCTAAATAACATATCTGGAACACACACCGAAGGTGGAAGTGATGCAAGCGGCGGTACCTTGAAGAGTGAAACTGTTGGCAAGAAAGCTTTTGCTTTGCAAGATAAGGTCAGTGACAGTTTTGTTCTGTGATTTTCGTACACTATATTACAACAAGTTATATATAATTGGTTATGACGACTTGGATAATTGGCACATAGCAGTTATGGTCAATCTACGCAGCTGGAAACACAGTGCCGATACCATTCTTGAGAGCAACAGATATATCCCCAATTGCACTCTTGTCAGAGAACATGATCGGAGGCATGCAACAAGACGGGAATGGAACTGTAGCCGTTGAAGCACTTCAAGAGCTCTTCACTTCTGATCCTCAATCCAAAAAAGGCCGACGTGGACAAAACGAGGTCCAGTCCAACTTATATATCCCCTCTCTCTCTACATATATAACGTGTGAATCATAATGTTTATATGGGTTATGAAATGGATGCAGATGCCTCTTCCTCCAAGTGTATACCAGAGACTGACGTCAAGCCCTCCTCTGATGAACCTTGCACAAGTTTTAGCCTACCACAGAGCGTACGTATATATATATCAAACCGGTCTTATGGTTTTTGTTTTACGCCTGGCTATGAATCTAGAAACCCATTTGTGTGAATTTTGGATTCCGCAGGTGTTACGAAGAAATGCCGCTCCAGGAAATGCAAGCAACGCAGGAGCAGCAAACCATTCAGAATCTTTGCGATACTCTTCGCACAATTCTCCGCCTCTAAGGCTCTGTTTGTGTTCATATTTGTTGCCTACTGTTTGTATTAGGTCGTCTCAATGAGTAAATTCACTGATCTTTTTTTTTTTACTTTCCGTTTAGCTAATGCAAAACAATCAATTTTGTATTCTCTTGGCAAAACTGCTAGAGATTTCGATGGAAATGGAAAGCATACTTTTGTGTAATAAGTAAATAAAACTCTAATATAATAGAAACCCTAAACCCAATAATAAAAGATTAGTATTATTACAAGTGAAAGTGGTGTGGCAATTGTGTTGAAGAAGAAGCATGGCGAGATACCAAAGTCTGATTGTAGCTGCTTTGTTGCGAGCTTCTCGCCGCTTTATGTCACCGGCACTCTCCGTTAGGACCTTTTCTTCTTCCTCCTTACTTCCAAAGACAACAACCCTCGTCACTCGTCCTCGCTCTTCTCTTTTTTCTTTCTCCATTTCTAAGTTTTCTTCTTCTTCTCCACCTTCTCTTCGACCGCCGAAAACAGCCGCTCGTAATGCCCACAAAAAAGACTCTTTGGAATGTAAGAGAGGACCTTCTCTTCTTTTGATTGCGTCTTCGTCTTCCGGGTTTCGGGTTTATTGTTCTTATAATGATGTGTGATCTGGCTCGTTACATTCTTTTAGGAGCTCCCTTTTTGGTGCTCGTACGTTTGGCGTTTCTCGTGTCTTTAAGGTGTTTGTTAAAATGTCTCCTGCCTTAATGAAAGAAATGTTTGATAACACTACTTGTCTGCTCTAAGTCAGAAACTCTTTTCACTGTTCTTTTTAATGTGTTATTATGGTCAGATTGATTCTGCAGATTTGCGTCATTGATCCTCTCGGTGCCTTTTTTTCTTGTCCATACAATTCTGCTTCATAAGACACTTTTGGTCTTAACACACGCTTTGGCAGATAAAACAACTGATGATGTGGAGGTCGTAGATGATTGGGAAGAAGAAGCGGAAGTAGAACCAAAGGTATCTTCCTTTCTTCTAGCTTTTTTTTACTCATCAGTTCGCTACTCTGATTCTTACTTTGCTATAAGCTAATCCTTTCTTTCTATTTACAGCTTGGCGATGGAGGAGATGGTGGTGGGGTTGTTCTTGGAGGTGTACCATGGGGTGAAAGAGCTCTCTCTATTGCTGCAGAAGTTGTGAAGCAGTCTGAGGAAGAAGATTTGCAACTGTTTGCTTTCAGAACTTCTCCGCGTGGATATATATACGTCAGACTAGACAAACTCTCGAATGAGTAAAGATGACTCTTCACTCTTTTAGTTACAAAGCCATTGCCAAAGCACTACATTTCTGAAACTAAAGTAAGATTTTTGCTTTTTTTTTTTTTGTATCTTTTCGTGTACAAAGATATGGATGTCCTACCATGGATGAGCTTGAGAAGTTTAGTCGAGAATTTAAAGAAAGACTAGATGATGCAGGGGCTACAAAAGCAGTCCCAGAGGATCTAGCCCTTGAGGTAAAAAAAGAGTCTTTTTCCATGAATCAACAATCATTGCTTGCTCAGGTCATTTTGTTCTAAAATTTGTTTCCGTATTGATGTTACTGTCAAGGTATCATCCCCAGGAGCAGACAGGCTGCTGAGAGTTCCAGAGGATTTGCAGCGATTCAAGGAGATGCCGATGAGAGTAAGCTATGAAGAGGAAACAAACTCGAGGAAAGCAGTAAAGAGTGCAGTGTTCCTCTTGGATTCTGTAGATGCAGAATCAGAGATTTGTATCTGGAAATTAGCAGATGTGAGGGAGAATAGAGATCCCAAAAGCAAAGGCAGACCGTTAAGCCGGAAACAAAAAGACCTGAGAGTCAAAATTCCTTTCACAGATCACAAGAAGATAACTCTATACGTGGACTAGTTAAGGTAGATGATGTAGAAGTTGAGTTGCTAGGAAAGGAAGTTCATTGTTACCGAGGGTTTTGCTCTGCTGTTTGTGGAATACTCTAAGCTCACAACCTTTAGGTTACGTTTATCATTCTGGTTTATGTAACGTTTTAGTTGAGATTGTGAGTAAACATATGAAAATTTTCACTCTACTGAGATGTTGTAAGATTTGAACAGGGAAAAGCTGACTAACAAAATTAGAAGAATCAATTCTTATTGAATATCAAGAACTATCATCATCTTCACTCATTGAGCCAACAAGCTCTAGCTTCCGGTATTCCCTTTCCTCTACTGGTTTCATGACATATGGACCATCCGGCTCATCATAAGGCTTTGAGGTTCGGTATTCCCTTTCTGTTATTGATCTTATACCGTTTGGATCTGATTCCACTTCGTCTTCATCATCATCATCTTCTTCTTCCATGTCATCTTTTGGAGGATATCCTCGGGTTTGTGCCAGCAACCATTGATCAACAACCCCACACTCAATTGCGTATCTTGCTGTGCGTTCCAAGTACCCTTTATCGCTTATAAGATCTGGCTGAACCGTAAGCATTCTTATTAGACCTGAAAGAGAGTGTCATTTAGACTTTAGTTAATCACCACCATAGCTTTTAAATTCTTATGAAACAAGACAAGAGGTGAAAAATGTACCAGCAACAATGCCATCTCCAGATGCTGACATATCCCTGGTAAAAGGAGTAATGGGAGCATCTTCCATTCCAAGGACAGAACCATTGTGCTCTTTGGTATAGTAATGGATCTTCGAAGTGCCATTAGTCACAAACAAGACCTTGAGATTTTCATGCCAAAGCGGTTCCACAGTTTCTGGCGCGTAATGGACAAACTTACTGCTGTCATTGTTTTTTGTATCGAACGCTTCAGTTGGCTCGATTCCACATAAGAATTCAAGTTCCTGTTTCGTGACTTCAATTACGTCTGCAAGATCCCACACTTCTTGTATGAAACTCTTGGTTTCTTCGCTTGACTGCCATAGCGGTAAGGGGAGGTTTAAGTCATAGAAAATGACGTAAGAGCTCGGCATT